AATATAGAACTAGCGGATATTAATATACTTTACCTTTAGATAGAATTTCTGTTCTTTTAAGAGAGATTCAGCTCTAGTGTTATTAAGATATAGCGTAGGAATTCGGGATAGCTTTATATTAAGGTCTTTCTATAGCTTAAGTAACTAAGCTACTTCTCTAGAGCTATTATTAGTAGCTATTATCTTAGAATCTAAGCTAGAGAGAGCTATAGACCTTTACTTATTAGTAGCTTAAGAGATTAGACCCCTGTAGAACCTTACTATCTATCCTTAGAACAATTTCCTATTATATTCCGTCCCTTATGTAGCGTTAGTTTAAATATTAAATATATTATTATCTAGCTTTCCCTTATATTCTATTTCGATTCTAAATATTATTCTATTACCTTCTATATATTATAGATATCAGAGGAGAGGTTTCGTGTCTTAGAGGTGAGATTTAAGGAGATTTAATATATACCGCGCTAGCTAGCCTATTATATAGGTAATATCAGGTCGTATAAGGTTCAAGAGGTATATTAAAAAGCTAATAATCTACTGAAATAGTAAGATCTCTTCAGGGGAGGCTAGTATAACACCTTTATCTTTAGCTAACTCCCTTAGTACTATTCTAGTAGCTATAGGTAAGGTATTACCTCTAGCTGTAGCTATTCTAAACCTTTCTAGTAGCTTTTATATATAAGCTGTTTAATAAATCCGCAGAGTCTTATTCTTCCTATCCCTCTTAACTTATAGGCCTATAAATATATTAATAGCTCTGAGGTCTTTATTTTTCTAAGTCTTTAAGAGCTATTTCTTAAGATATTCGTAGTTAGTAGAGTTACTTATAATTAGTATATCGTTAATAAAGACTAATATATACGCTCTATTCTTAAAGATAAAGAGATTAGGGTTAGCCTCTAACGCTTCTAGACCTAGCTTTTCTATCTTATCTTTAATAAGGAGCTACTATTCCCTAGGTACTTATTTTAAGCTATAGAGAGAGCGTAGGAGCTTTAGATATATATCTTTCCTTTTATTTAGCTCTAGGTGAAGCTTATTCTATATCTCCGGCGTCTTATTATTCGGAATTATTATATATATATCTTCTTTTAAGTACGCGTTTAGGAAGGTAGTATTAATATTAATATACTTAATCTCTAGGTCTCTTTTAGCTGTAATAGTGAGTAGTACTTGTAAGGTAGAATAGCGTATAACGCTTATAAAGGTATTAAAGTAGTTAAGGCTATGTTTTTACTTAAAGCCTCTTACTACGAGCTTAGCCTTTCGCTGTACTATAGAGCTATCGGAGTTAATTTTATTACGTAGAACTAGTCTTAAAGATATTAGTTTTAAGCCGGAGGGAGGCTTACTAAAGTATACTCTATAGGTTCTAGCGCTTTATATAGCCTATAATTCCTTAAGAATAGCGGCCTTCTATTCCACTGGATTCTCCCTTAGAGCCTCTGTGATAGTTATAACTTTAAGAGGTCGTATAGGTTCACCCTCTAGCGTAATTAGCGCTATTTAACAAGTTAGTGCCTTATCAAGGATTTACTAAGAGTATAGCTTCATAGTTATTACCTGAGTAGCTTACTTGAAGTATTGTTTTCTATGCTATTTCCTACTATATCTTAATAGTAGAGTATTATTAAACGCGTTTACTAGTTAAGTCTATTTAGGGAGGCGTTAATTAGATACTCCCTTAGTATCTCCTACTATATTTTCTATAGCTAACTTTCCCTTTAAAGGATTTTTAGCTTCTATAGCTAGCCTCTCTCCTAGAGGTCTTTTAGCTTCTATAGCTAGCCTCTCTCTTAGAGGTCTTTCTAAGCCTTTAGTACCCTTAGCTAGCCTCTTAGTAAGTGCTAGACCGGTAGCCGGTAGCAGAGGTCTTTCTACTACCTTATTACTACCTTTTAGTATAGTTTCCTTACTACTAGTATATATAGAGTATATTATATACTTATTAAAGCCGCAGTCGGCTATTTCTAGTTCCTTAAAGGTTTCTACGTTCAGGAGCCTATAGGTTAAAGTATTAGCTATACCTACTAATACGAAATACCCCGGAATCGTCCTTTGCTTTATTTTACCCTGATATAGCCCTAGTAGATATAAAGGGTACGCTATAGAGCTAAATACTCTTATTTTAGAGAGGTTTATAAGCTGTCCTTTATACGCTTCGATTAAAGTGAGTCTAGTAGCTGTTTTATATAGTAAAGTAGTAGTTAGGCGTCTATTCTTTAGCTTTACTACCTACTTAATAGCGTAGTACTATATATTCTCAGGTATCTTCGCGTTATAAAGGATTAAGCGTATAATCTTAGCTAGTTTATATATCTATCGCTTTACAACTCTATTCAGAGAGTATTTATATAGAGAAGAGGGTTCAGGAATAATTCCACTCTCTTATAACTAGTTAATAAACTTAGGACTGAACTCTCCCTTACTATTATTAGTCCTTTAGTAGATAATTATATAGAATTTACTTTACCCTTAAGTTTTAAGCTATAGCTTTAATTTCCGAATAACTAGTTGAATAGTTAACGCAGACTTATTAACTAAGAGATCTACCTAATATATCCTCGTAGTATTATCTACTACTAAAAGGAAGTATTTATAGCCGCGAATTAAGTGTAGTAAGATACTAGAGATATTAGTGTATAGTCGATAAATAGGTACGTTAGTTCTACTATCTAACTTCTTATTAAAGTGCTCTTTTATATAGCTTATAAGGTAAGCCTTATAATACCTCTCTCCCTTTAGCTCCGGAATAGAAATCAGTCTTATTTTATAACTGCTATAAGTAACTAGTTTCTTTAAATAAGCGTAATTTATATAGCCTAAACACTTATAAAGCAGATCTGCCTTTATTTCCTTTATACTAAGCTAATTCTCTATTTATTCCTTTAGTAGCTTTAAGTCTAACGGAATTATATTATACGTAACTTAATATTAAGAATTTATATCTAGAATATATAAACCTCCGTTTCTTATACTTATAAAGGCTAATTCACTATTCTAGTATCTATTTACTAATATCTTAGTTAGTTCCGTATTAATTCCTTTATCTAAGAGTTAATATATCGATACTAGCTTTATAGCTCCGAAGTTAGGTATATACTACACGTCTTTAAGGGTTAACCTATTAATAGTAATATCTTTATAACCTTTAGCTATTAAGTACGAATTAGTTATTATTTTAATATATTTAGCGTTACGCTAGCGCTTAAGTTACTTAAATTCAGCTAGAACTCTACTAAAGTAGCGAGTAGCGCTAGAGTCGATTTTCTAGATAGATTCTATAATAGAGATTATTAATAAAATATATTCTACGTCTTTAGTATAGTAAATCTCTTCTAAAGGGAACATAGGATAAGTATTATTATCTTTAATTTCCTTTACTTTATTAGCGCTATCTCTTGCGTAAGTATTCTTAGCTTCTGTGTAGTCTATGTACTAGTAGCTATAGCTTTTATATTAGGTATACTGATTTCAGCCTAATTTAGGGCGATTTCCTCTTTTTTCTACGCGCCCTCTATATCTTTATTAGCTACTACTCTTACTATTATTATTCCGTCTTTCCTATCCTCTTCTATTCTTATATATATTACTTCTCTTATATAAGTAGCCTTTACCCCTCTAGCCTCTACTATCTCTGCTACCTCTCCCTCTATTATAGCTTCTATTCGTGTAGTTCGCGGCGTTACTAGTAGCTATAAGTCGAAGCTATTCCCTTTATTAAATTTAATATTTATTAAGCTTTTATATAGTATCTTTAAGATCTAAGTCTTACGATTCTAGGGTAAGCGCTATAGTAATCTAAGCTCCGGACACTAGTAATAACTATAATAGCTTAAGATATATATCCTTATTAGTAAAAGGTTTATTATCGCTACTAAGCTTTACTTTAAAGAGTAAGAGCTTTATAATATAGTTCTGAAGTATTTCCTTCCCTAGGATAAACTTTATCTTAAAGAAATCGTCTCTTATATTAGTAAAAGTAAGACTCCCTTAAACTACTTTACCTTCGTCTATATAAATAGCTTCCTAAAGAGACTTAGTGTTATTTAGTTTAATAATATCTCTATACTTAGGAAAGAGAAGCTTAGAGATTAAGTTAATAACTATTTTAAAAGCTTCTTTCTTTTCCTTAGTATAAGTATTCTACTAATTAATACTATTTAGTACGCTAACTTTAGTAAGAATATAATAAAGAATACTAGCCTTAGCTAGCTCTTATTTAGTCTTAAGCTCCTATTTAAAGAAGTTATTAAACTCTAGTAGAGTTTTACTTTTTAAGGCTCCGGCGATATAAGGAATTAGTGCTTTTAATTAAGATAATATTATAGCGTAGTAGCAGATATACTAAGAGTTAATAAAGTGGAGATCTTAATAAAAATAAAGTTTTAAGGTCTTTTTCGATCGATTGGAATTACTACTATATTATAATTGCAGTTGTATAAGGAGTTACTACAGAGAGAGAGAATCTCCTATATAAAGGGGTAGCGTACTTAGTAGTACGGCCTATAGTACTGAGTCTACGCCTATAATCCCCATATTTCTAACATCCTCAGACCAAGTGGGTATTAGTAATACCTAAGACCAAAAGTAAGAGACACGCAGGACCTTTGTACGAACAATACGAGATATCTCGAGAATCGTAAACATCGCAATGCTACCCATCCGATCTGCAGAGAGGCATGTTCGGATCTCGGCAGTACTGGCTTAGATAGCATCTTCCCCAGAGAATTTCCAGGGGAGTGGCACCTTCTATCAAACTTTATTTAGAACGAAGCAAAAGCCTGCCGAATTGTGCATACGATGGCCGGGATCTAATCCTTAAAAAGGGGTCAACCCAGATTTTAGGCGTTGTTTCCAGGGGGCGCAGCGTTGAATGCTGCGCTATGGTTGGTAACCAGGAGATGCTAGGGATGCTGTGCCGTTGCCAAGCGTTAGATGCCCCTCATGCTCATTGCTCGCTAGGACGAGGTCTAGGTTTTATATATTAAGGATCATCCCCCCGAACGTTATTTCTTCTATCTATCCCTACCCGAAACTCTGTTTTCTTACTTAGATTACATTCTTACTCGTTTGATTTTGTTATTCTCTGATCATTCGTGATCACCACATTCGTTATGGTTCGCGCCAATACCCTCGCTGCACTTGCCGCTCTTTCCTTAGTGTCTGTTCACGGTCTCGAGTTGGTTGTGAAGAGTGATGGTGAGTTGCAATGACAGCGGGACAAGATGGAAATATGACTAACAGCGTCGAAGATTCTATCAAATCAACTTCCTCTTCCATTGCGAGCATCCTAGTGGGTTATTACAATGGCAACGAAGCAGGAGAGACACCTGGTCTTTTACCAGAGCCATACTTTTGGTGGAATGCAGGAGCCATGTGGGATACATTGATCCAATACTGGCAAACTACTGGCGACGACCGATACAACGGAATTGTCAGCCAAGCTCTCCAGTTCCAACGTGGGGACAGGAACGATTTCATGCCAGCCAACCAGACCAAGTCGCTTGGAAACGACGATCAGGTGACTTGGGCTCTCGCTGCAATGTCCGCTACGGAACAGAACTTCCCAGCACCGGAAGATACCACGTGGTTTGCACTTGCAGACGCGGTATTCAATGAGCAGGCTGTTCGTTGGGATACCGAGTCGTGTGGAGGTGGGCTGAGATGGCAGATCTTTTCGTTCAATGCTGGATATAATTACAAGAACGGCATCTCCAATGGTGCCTTCTTCCAACTCGCTTCCCGCCTTGCCCGCTACACCGGAAACGTAACTTACTCTGACTGGGCATCCAAAGTTTATGAATGGACGACGACTGTTGGATTGATTGACGATGAATACAATGTATTTGACGGTGCCGACTCAACTCAAAACTGCAGCACCATCAACAAAGTTCAGTTTTCTTACGTTGCTGGTACATATATCAGTGGAGCCGCACATCTGTACAACATCTCCAGCGGAGAAGATCAAAAGATTTGGAAGACTGTGCTCGACGGACTTCTCAAGAAGAACATCGAAGTCTTCTTCCCGGATGGCATTGCTACGGAAGTGTCGTGCGAGGAATCCGGAACCTGTAACACCGACATGCTTTTCATGAAAGGCATCTTTGCCCAGAACCTTGTTGACACCATCAAAGTTGCACCCTATACCTCGGATGATATTCTGAAGGTCATGAGCAGCTCGGCTAAAGCTGTCGCTTCTGCCTGCTCAAGTACCGGATGCTCACCTGTTTGGCCTTCAACTGTGACTGAGTCTGACGATGGAGGCGTTGGACCAGCATTGAGTGCTTTAAGCTTCGTTCAGGGTCTTCTTGTTGGAAAGGCTGCTGCGCCTGTGACGAAGGCAACCGGAGGTGCTGGGTCGAACAGCACTGGTACTGCGACTGGAGGATCTGGCACATCGACTAACGCCTCTGAGTCTGGAAATCCCTCAAGCTCGGGAACTCCTGCACCGACCACTACTGGAAATGCGGCTGTTGCTTTGGGATCCAAGATGGGTATGGGGGGAGTTGCTGCTATCATGGGCTCAGCAGCTTGGCTGATGTTGTAGGTAGCTTTTGAGCATTGGTGGTGTCTACTATGGATGGCTTGGGCATGATAGCTTCCAATGGGTCTATGTCAACTGCTTCAATCCAGTCAATCTCGCCCTGACCCGCAGTCCCAAAACTTGACAATATACACACACTTTTGATCAGACTGTCATAATTCCTCTTGATCTTTCCCCTTCGAGCCACCGAAATCCACTCTACACTCATCGAACTCTTAGATTATCGACTGTAAGCAGAGCCGTGTTGTGCCAGGAAACTACTAGCACGACAACATCAATTGCTAAATAACGCCCATCGGTCGGCAGACTAGATCACATGAACTTGCCGTTCTTCATCTACAACGGCGATCATGGCGTCCCGTTCCAGATTTGTTGTGGTTCGCAAATATGTGCTGGTGCGATGCGTGGGGTTGGTCAATACGGCTTCTAGAATGGGTATGATGAATTGCACTCACATAGATGATATGCCATACACTTCTATACTTGGTGTTAGCCAAAATACCGGAAATATTTTCACAGAAAGTATGCTGTTGGTCACAAGGTATGCTATCTGGAATGATGTTTGCAACGATCAAGTGACCAAATTTGTATAATATTAGCTGTGTTCACCGCTCTCTTATGAAACAGCGTTGATCTGACTGTAGGTTTTCGGATATCCCATTAACATGACATGGGATCATCGGGCCTCACTAAGCCTCTTTGGAGTTCCAGACCCACTACACAACTCTCTCATATCTGCTCACTTAGCGTATTAATCTCCTTCCGTATCTGCCTCAATCTCTGCTGCTGCAACTCCCACTTCCTGTATATATCCTGGCACAAATCGTCCGCAGCCGAGTATCTGCATATTCTGTTAGCTGCATATCATCTCGATGATCCACTTCCATCCACTAACCTCTTCCACGTCTCCCCACCATACCCTCCCCTCTTCTCATAATCCCTATACGCCTCCTCCTTCTCAATATACGCCAATCCACACTCCGCCTGCTCCTCAATTTGCACCTCATGAATCCTCTTCTCCTCCTTCCTCAACCACGCAATCTGATCCGCCTTCTGCAGCGTCTCGAAATCCATACCCTGGAATTCCTCCTTCCAATCCTCATCGTTCTTCAAACTCTCTCTCTTCTCTTCACTACTTCTCACTGCAAAGCTTGCTCCTTGTATGATCCCATTCCGTCTTCCTAGGTCGAAGAGTCCGTAGCCGAGGGTGAGGGATCCGAGACTTAGACCTGCTAGTTCCCAAGATATGAATTTTCGATGACTTGTGAGGAGGTAGGTTGCGAGGCCGGCGTAGCCTAGACCAACGATGATTTTGTCAAGGATTCGGGGTGGTGTTGGGAGGTCTGGTGGTGTGATGGCAGAGTGCTGTGCTGCTCGGACGTGGGTCCGCTTTGCAACGAGTGATGGACGTCGAGATTCCGCCATATTGAGTACGTTGGCGTAGATGTTGTGCTTAGATGTGTTGATAAAAATAATTTGAGTTAATTTGTGTTTTTCTCGTTATTCGTGATGATTCTCAAGGTGGATGTTGACGATGAACGCTGGCTGCCGTTGGAACTCGGAAGGGGATCATTTGCATAGTTCCTTATCTGTCTTCAGGGCAGCGAACTCTATATGTAGTGCCTTTGTACTCGGCCAAATTTCGTGTCCGACGACGAGATGGATCGTAAATGTGGTTCCTGATCCACAACTTTCGGGATCAAAATTGGACCCTGATGACATCATTTTGGTGCCACGAGTCATGTTGCGGTAGAACTTCGAGTCAGCATCGGGAAAGAATATATGTTCTTCCTGAGAGTCTCACGTTCTTCTGTTTGAACATGGGAATGGAAACAAATGTTGCTGCTTGATCGCTACCTAGCTGATTTCCGGTTGTGAAATGTTCATGGTGATGCAGTTGAATTTTGCCACGCCGATCAAGCCTTTCATCAAATCTAACTCTCGAGGTATTCGGTCTCCAATTACTTACCCGTTTCTTGTAGTGAGTTGAATGCTTTCTACGTCCATGTCTATCTCTAAGACTGAAGCCGTGAAAAGTAAACAGATGATGGCGAGTCAATATCCGCTTTTCGTCGCTTTCCCACCCCAGAAACTTAACCGCTTCTCAGTGCAGGCACATGTGGGCAAAGCGGAAAGTCCTGAGTTTTAACGAACAGACTAAATCCAGTTTGACTCGTCATACATATTATGCGTAGTAGAAGCAATGGTTTCATTATGATGGCGCTCTCTCACGCCTGTAACGCAATTCTTCTAAGCTTCAGCAACTGGCGAGGTCTTTGGCTCCCGTACAATAAACTCCTGACATGCAAACCTTTATCTAGCGAAATATGTCTCTTTTCTCCATAACAAATTCCAGTATCATTTGATCATCTTCTAGATACTTCCATAAATCATATTACAATCTTGCCGAATAGCGCAAAACCTAAGGCTGCCCACACTCACGTCTTGTTTACATTTCTCAGCGTGCCGCTCGCTTAGCTCACCAATTCTTACCCCGCACTAACCCTGTGTAATTCACCACGAGTAAAGCTCTTGGCTCTCAACTGTGTCCTTATATATACCACGATTAGATCTCTCCTCGAGTACCAACCGTGGTTACTTCCTAATTACTGCCCCGCATGCCTGTGCTTCTGTGACAATTACGATTGTCGACCACATTAGCAAACTACCATTAGTATTGCGATCTTCACAGTCGGACAAGATCTAGCGCAACGAGACGATAGAGGCAGCCGATAACAGTCGTGCTCAGAGATCCGTGTCTTATTTGTTGTCAAAATATCAGTTTATTACCGATATTCTGTTCGTGTCAAACATCGTGTGAATCTTGACTCAAATGACCTTTCCCTCCAGAAAAGCCAATCTACAATGGAACCTCCGTTCCTTATCAAACACCAAATAACATCTTCATAATAGGTCAAAGCAAAAGTTTCAGGACATGAACTTGTCTCCAGATGTTAGCTGAACATGTTTCCTCCAGAAGGATCGTGGTGGCTGTTAGGGACCAGTTTATACCACGTACAGTTACTCCAAAGCGATGACCAATTTTCACGTGAAGTTCAAGGTAATGCAGAAGGTTTTGGAATCTTCAAATACTGTGGTTTCTATGTTCGCAGAATTTTAGGTCGCTTACGACTGGATATCTTTTGCCATCGACAGCAACAAGGAAAATGGAAGGATCCATTCACTTCCACTATAATAGGCCAATAACAATATACTAATCACCCCGTAACAAAGAACGCTGAGAAGTAGAAAAACGATATAAAACCATATCACTCACGGTCAGCTTGTAGCAGCATCTGACAATAGAAATATGTGAATGCCAAGGCGAGTAGTCTTGAAAGTCTGGCCACTCATTTTCTTAGGTCCATTCTGCATTCTGCATTATCATTTTTTTTTATCAATTTGAGACATAATGAACTCACATGCGCATTTATTATCTCTCAATATTAATCAAGAATGCAATTTTTGAGATATGATTGAATCTTGTCACCTCCCATTTCGCTGTCAACGTCAACATTCATCCGTGCTTCGAAGACAACAGGAAGGCCAAAGCTTCAATCCTCATGTCTCGTCACAATGCCAAGCTCTTCCATGACTCTCCAAAGTTACTAGCACACCAGAATCTTCCTCGTTGCCCAATGTACTAAAATTCCATTGCCCGTGTGTTTGCTGAAGCGATGCTGCCTCCAGAATCTCTTGGTACTCTCTCAAGATCAGCCTCACAATTTATACGTCATGCACATCTTACAAATGCGATGATCTCAAAGAAAAACAATTATTCACTTTAGGAAATCAAAGTCAATATTTGGAACTTCACAAGAAAGCATTGGACACAAAAAACTGCTAAAGTTAAGAGAGAATATAAAAAGTATCTTCTCTGCTACTCAAGCACCACAGCAATGATCAAGAAAAATTCTTCCAAGGCTTCATTGGTGCAGTGAGCTTTCCTTGGAAGGACTAGATGATTAGGCTCTTCATGTTGAAGCAGCACATCTACTCCTTTAGAGCTGTGGAATACAATACCATAACTCTATCTTCTGAAGTAAAGAATTTTGAATTGAGATACTCCTTAATCAAACTTGGAATTGAAATAAATTTTGCCGTCACCGAGCGTCTTTCCGCCACTTAGAACTTTCTTGTCATTTGAATCAAAATCTCACATCACCCGGACACCCACGCATTCCCCTCGCCAATCATCGCCATCTTCCAGCCTAGATCGACATTGACATAATAGAATCCTCGTACACAATGCTCTCAAGTACTAAAACCAGATTCCAGAAGCTATGCCAGAAGGCCCTCTTTACTACCACACCAACCCCAAAAGCCCAATGATAGGGTGATATTTCTTTTTCCTTCTGCCGTGTTATTAAGAACCGTTCAGCTGTTGTGGGCTGTTTATATATGTATTCCTTCCTCCTTGAAGACGACGGAGGAGAGGTTTGGGACTAGGATTTTGGGCTGGAGAAGTGAAGTGTAGTGTAGTGAATGGGGGCTTGGTTGATACAACTTTCCGGGATTTACCTATTGCCAAACTGCCTATTGCTTTAATTACCAACATTCATCACCTAGCATTTCCTGACCAAAAACCACCAAATCTTCAATTCTGACCATATATCCCAAATCCCCCTAATCTCCTCTGCCCTCCTCCCCTCCTCCCCTCCTCCCCAATTTTCCCAATCCCTCACCCCACCAGGCCTATATAAACCCCAAATCCCACCCTCAAACACTTACTCCACAACATAAACTCGAAGAGATACTTGATATTTTTAGGGGAAAGCCGATAGTTTCTTCAACCCCCGCTTACCTTCGATCTCTTCGATCTTCAGACTTCACGCGGCGTGTTTACTTCTCTTTCCTATCCCTTGTCCTGTCTTTTTCTTATGCTCATGTGCAAAGCAGGATGAGCATGTATTTTTGAAGAGCGAGAAAAAAAAAATTGGTAGGTGACAGAAGATGTGCTGTTGTCATTGATTCTTTAATTGTTTTTCCCGCGAGAAAACTACTCACTATCAGATAAGATTACCCCTCTTACCACGTCCGCTGTTGCCTGCCTGCTGTCACAATATCCTCCTCTCCTCATAAAACCCCTGGGAGACACCATCTAACGTCAATGGTACCAAAACCAACCCATCAAGCGCAAGACATGCCAACGTAACACGAGACTCTCACCCATCCCCAAATCCCCCATATGAGTCTTAACTTCCAGATCTTTCACAAACCCAAGCAGCTCCTTTCCCACCTCACAGAGGGAAATTTACACAATCCCCTCACCACCCCTTCTTCAGGTCCCACCCACATTCAGTCACTCACTCACTCACCTCTCATCCACACTCAACTCGCATCCACATCTATCCCACCTCACATCATCACATCCAAATCTCAAATTCATCACACCTCAGTCACTCACCTACCCAATCATCACCAACAACCCAACCAATCACCTCAAAATAAAGTCATGGTATTCAATTAATTTTTATTTATTTCATTCATTCTCTCAATCTCTCATTCTAGCATCCTATCCTATCCTATCCTCTCATCCCACTCCCGCACGCTAACCTCTCATCCTATCCTATCCTATCCTATCCTATCCTCTCCCCCTCCTCCTTCCTCTTCCCCTCCTCCTTCCTCTTCCCCTCCTCCTTCCCCTCTCAATCTCAATCTCAATCTCGATCTCGATCTCGACCCAGAACCACAGCCCGAACTTAGTCTCAGCATTCTTCACCCCAGCATAAGTGGGTTTAGAACCCCCATTATCAACCCTCAATCCCAGTCCCAATCCCCAAAACCCCCAAACCCCCAATCCCAGCCCTCAATCCCAATCCTCCATCTCCCCCCCCAAAACTTCCAAGCCCCCCAACCTTCCTCCTCACTCATTACAGAAGATACAGTCCATGATCCGACACCTAACGCCTGACCGCCCCAAACCCAATCCAGTACTCCAATCATATAACTCTCGCGTCTCATAATGATGATGAAGAAGCGTAGGATAAACTCCAGCTCCAGTCCATTTCCAAAATTTTCCAAAATTTTCAAATTCCAAATGCCAATTCTCTCTCTTCCAAGGCGATGACGCCCCGCCCGCCCAATCTCGAGATAGCCCTATACACCAATTCCAATACCAACACCCGCGCCGCCCTGCGCCGTACCAATCCAAGGCAAGGCAAGTCAAACCAATCTTCAATTTCCAATACGCTATTTCAATGCGTCTCATGCGTGATAACAGTCGTAGTCTTGATCCCCGCCCTCCAATCCACCACCGCCGGCCCCCGCTCATGAGCACCCATCCCCGTATCCCCACTAACAACACTATTCAGTTCCGTCTGACTCTCATTCTCACACCTCTGCTTCTCCCCGCCCGCCGCCCTATCCATAAAACTCTTCCTGCCGGCCTTCCTCCCCGCACTCCTCCCCCCTCCCAACCCCAGCCCCAAAGTCCACCTCCTCCTAAAATGATCTCTCTCCTCGGGACTGCCCCCAGCAGAGATATGCGTCGTGACACCCACTCGACTAAGACCCAGCAGCTCCGCGAATTCCACGCTGTAGTCCTTTGCCGAGACGCTGTTGCGGCGCGCGAAGTGGCTGCGGCTGTCGTTGGAGGGGCGGAGGGTCTCGTCGCTGTCGATGGAGGAGGGGTCGAAGCGCTTGGATGCGAAGGAGGAGAGGAAGTTTTTGAAGAGGGGCCGGAGGGTGGCGATGTTCATGGCGGTGATGGCGATGGCGGGTTCGACCATGGACCATTTGACGAGGTTGATGCCTTCCCAGGCATAGTCGTCGGTTTCGGTGAGGGCTTTGATGTAGACTATGCGGACGATTGTTGCGGTGCTTGCGCTGCGGGGGGTTAGGTTTAGGAGCTGGGAACTGGGGGCAGTGGTGGGAAAGGGGAAGGAGAGGAGAGGACGTACAAGAATCCGAGGGAGAGGATGAGGATGACGGACAGTTTGGTGCGCGGGTTCATTTGCATTTTCCAGACGAAGAAGATGGGGAGGATTCCGAATGACCAATCTGTTATGGCGGACATGGCGCAGTGGGCGTAGGTGACGGCTGAGAGAGTAGTGCTGTTTAAGCAAGTTCCTTTCCCGTCTTCGTTGTATTTCGTCCAGAGGTAGTTGATAGGACTGCATTGGAACATAAGAAAGAAGAAATACATGGTACTGAAAACCATGACTGCTGCGAGGGTGACGTATATCACAACTCGCTGGTATCGTTTACTGGAGAGTCGAAAGAAGTATGCGGCAATGGCGACTTTTGTGACTGTTGTTGCAACGACGTATAGGAGTTCGCAAATGAATACAATCTGCCAGGCGTAAGCATAATCCGCCTGGATATTGTAAGTAGTCTGACCTTGAATCCAGTCTCTAATGACGCGGGCTCAATATTCTCCATATGTGCGCCGAGTCCATAAACCGTTGCTCGTAAACACAGGGAACAGAAGATGGTGAACACGATCTGCAGAAGTCAGTGACCGAAAATATCCTCATCACTATCCACTCTTACCATCGCCGCAATCGTCAACCAATCCTCCCTCCCCACAAACTTCAATATAGCCAATCGTACATAGAATCGCAGGGTGACGGATATCCAAGTCAGGCATAACGAACAGACTGCCACGCCCGTGACCTTGACACATGTCAGTACCCGGTCCATCCCATCACCTCATTGGTCGAAACCCAGACATTCCGCACCGCAAAACACATACCTGAGCACCGCGAGTGACCCCTAAATACATATTTCTGCCTTGTATCGATCACATCCGCGCACGCGACTTTTTGCAGAGGCTCACAGGCGTGTCGGTAGCAAACAAACGAATGTATGAAAAGCTTCTAGGTTAGGTATCGGTAGCGTAGTCGATCCGGAATCGTGGGACCGAGAAGACGCAGAGGTCGAGTGACTAGGTGGGACAAGCAGGTTCTTATTATTCTTATGGCCAGCCTGCAGACCGTGCGTGCTGTGTTCGAGCCGCTGTCAAAAGAAAAAAAGGAAAGAGAAAGGATGGAAGAGGAAGGGATGTGTGATACAGATGCGGGAGAATCGATGGCTTTAGGTGCTTGCTCTAGGTATTGGATTTGGGGCGGTCCGTCATTTTAAAAAAAATTCCGGCGTACAGTAGTGGAAAGACAGACTTTCTTTCTTTCCATCTGGCTGGTTCATGCACGCAGCAGCAAGCAAGCAGCGCCTGGGTCCTGGCAGCGTGAAGTCTCGCCCTCCACTGTGATGGTGGTGGTGGGCATCTCGAATCAAGAAAGCGCGATCTAATGGAACTTATCATAATCATGCAATGGGTCGTCGTCGGCGAACACCTGGGCGAGCTGGGTACGCACCGCACCGCCAACACCTGCCTGTATGCAGCATCTTTTCCACCCTGTCTAGCCCGCTTGGGCAGGTCATGTTGACGATCTCGAGCTTAAGCTTGAGTCGAGCTGCTTTTCGCATTTTTTCCTTTCCTCAGCCCGTCCTTCGTGCTAACCCGGTTGCTCGGAATTGCTGAGCTTGGACGGCGCCCAATAAAGTGTGGTAGCTGCTCAGGTTGGGCTTGCTGGGATAGTGGTGATTGGGTGCTGGTGGTGTTGAGAGGAGAAAGAGAGTGGGAAAAGGGGGCGTGGGCGTTGACGCTATTGAAAGGCGGGATCTACTGGACTTTGCGGCAGGATGACCCGGAGAGTGCGAGTGGAGGTCGAGATCCCAGATCGAGATAAGCGAGCCGAACGAACCAAGAAACAAAACCGAGGGGGAGCAGAGGGGAAATTTGGCTCGTGGGAGGGATGGGGACGGGGGGACGGGGGGACGGGGGGACGGGATGAACGAAAGTTTGTCATATTAAAAGTGCATATAATTTATGTTCTGCGGGGGATGCTTGCTTGCTTGCTTGCTTGGTTATCAAGGGATGGAGATTTTAAGATGAAAGATTGTCACATTTCAGCCATTCAGTGCAAAGCGATTGGGAATTAATGCAAACGATTCGCCATTGTTCATTGGTTCTTTCTGCCAAAACAATGACGCATTGACCAATTCCGCAAGCTGACATGACTGACATATTCATGCGAGTTATCGAACGTGGCTTTTGAGGCTTTGCAGCCACAATCCATTGTTTCTCGCGATGCGGAGACTTTGATTTGTTTGGTTTCTGTCGTCTCCTCTTCGGTGGCGCAGACCCAGTCTGGATGCGAAGCTACTGTAGGTATTTGGTTTGGGATGCGGGACAATGCTCGCTCGGTTAAGGGACGAATTATTCATTAAGTTACCCCTGATTTCGGCGAGTGGCTTGGCTGGGTGTGTGTTCTTTTGCCAGTGGACCTCGTAGACTTCAATTGTTTATTAACGTTGCGACTTGCTGCTGCATAGTAAAGATTTGATTGCAGAAAATGCTTGATACGCCACGAGTTCAAGGTCCGATGTGACTTTGTTGCGTATGTTATGATAAGAATTCTGGCTCGTCTAGGTAATCTCTGAGTTTGCTTTTGTTTCGGTAAGACAATTCTCACATGTTTTGGAAGGCTTTTTTATCAGCTTGCGTCTGTCACAACGGTGTTCATGCTAAACCTACAGATAAACATACTACAGATCATCATATGACCATCTCAGACTCACAATATAACCTCATCGATACATTCCTCTCTCCCCTCCCATTCCCCCATCCCCCCCTACATCACCCACCCACCACCCACACCCTAATGCCCCCCAGTATACCACCACCACATATTCCCATCAACCATCTTCCAATGCTTCTGCTGCGAGGGATACACCGCCCCACTCTGCATATCCGTCACGAATCTATCTATCGCACTCAGGTTACTCAGATTGATCGTTGCTTTGCCGCAGTCGGGACAGGGGACGAAGGAGGAGGGGATGTCGCTGACGGATTGGATGCGGCAGTCTGGGCAAACTTGTGGCATTTTTTTGTTGTGGTTGTTTTTTGTAGTTGGGGGCGAGGAACGTGATGCTGTTGAAAAGGATTCTGCTTGGGGGGTTGTAAGAGGTTTAGGTCGTGTTTTGTAAGGGGCTTATATTTGAAGATGGGTAGTGGGATTCAAGGTGTTGAAGTTGCGGAGAGGACGGTCATTGATGAAAGTAGGTGAACGGTAAACTCACCGCCTGATTCACAAGCTACTCTACAATTGACTTCTTGTGACATGAAGAAGAGATCTTGACTCATGGTGTGAAGAAATCAGCTGGTGGATCAGTCCTAGTGAATACCTGCTCATGATCATTTCAAATTCAATAGGAGATATCAATTGCGATTCGTACAGAAGTACACGGTGCCGTTCCTTGATATGAAACTTAGAGTTCATCCAGATTACACATTGGAAAAGAGCATTGCGCTGTCATAATACCATCACCGCAACACTAAGCAATTCATCATAGTACAGCATAATATTCAACCTTGCGAAAAGGTCTTTCAACACATATGTATATCTCGCTTTCACTTGTAACAACATTATTCCTCCCCTCCCTTCATCCCCCTCTCCACCACATGCACCTTCTCCCCCCTCAAACCCCAACCCCTCCAAAACTCCCTCCTCTCCTCCCCCCTCCTCCTCAACCCCATAATCCACTCATATAACTCCCTCTTTTCCTTCTCCCTCTCTCTCTCCCCATCCCCATTCCTAATCTCATCCCCATCCCCATCCCCATCTCCATCCCCTTCACCCTCCCCCTCCCCACCCTTCAACTTCAACTTCAACTTAAACAACTCCCCACACCCCCTACACCAAACCCACCCCTCCTTATCACACCCCGTACACCCACACCCAACACCCGCATTCTCCTCCACATGTGTATCCCCTCCCCCTCCTCCTCCTCCTCTCTCACCCTCTCCCTCTCCCTCTCCCCCTCCCTCTCTCTCTCCAGCGTCTTCAAACCCCTCATGTTCACACTCCACCTCAGGAGAAGGCCAAACGCCTTTGAAAAGACGAGGATGGGGAATACCTCTCCCACTTTCCATCTCTGACCCTTCTCCTTGCTCAAAATCTACTGATTTAACTCTGACTTTGACATTGACTTCGAAGTTTGAATCTAAAAAGAACTTTCCTCGATTCTTGAAGTCAGTAACACTAGAGTAATAAGGAGATTCCTTGCCATGCGTACAAGGCGGTTTGTTGGGGTGGGTGATTATACAGCAGGGGAAGAGGGGGCCGGAGGGGAAGTATTTGAAGGATGAGGGGGGGTGGGTGTAGATTGGTTGGTTGATCATTTGGTGGATTTTGAGGTTTGATGGGTGAGAGGTGAGGGGTGTTGTTTGGTGTTTGGTGTTTGGTGTTGATGGGGTAGATTTGTTTGTTATTCGGGTTGATGGGATACGTGTACTGTAGGGAAGAGAGACCAAAGGGGAGGGAAGGCAAGGGGTTAGGAGGAGGGAAAGAGGGCATTTTATATTGGGTGTCATGGAAAGGGGTGGAGGGATGAGTCTTGAGATATTTGGATAGGATTGTTGTGTTTGTTTGTTTTTGAACAATAAATTGCTCACAGAAGCATCTGGGATTGTATGGGTTGGTGTGTTGTCGATTCTCGCTTAACACAGTCACAACTTGGAACCCACCGAAACAGTTCCAGAGAGTCGTCACTCAATCCATATTAAGAGCCATCAGAAGATTAGAATCCCCTTTAGAGGCCACTGAGATACTAAATAAACCGTCAGATGCAGCAGCGAGGGCGCCCATCCTTTGTACTACTCAACGCTTCCTATTCCTACCACACTGGTTGGCGGCACAACTCTCTTCACCCCAGCCTCCACAAACGAGCCCTCGAGTCCTGACTCGTCCCCAACTTACCCAAGACTCACAATCACACCATCCAGTTCACCCTCAGTCCACACCACTCTCGCATTATTTCACAAATCGCAGAAACACCGCCAGAAACTCCCCAAACCCGCACCCCCATCTCCCAAACTCCTCTCCCGAACAAATAACCCACAACTCGGACAAGCCGCATACAACTTCGGATTACAAAGAAAACAAGGACAAGCCGGACAGCGACGCGTACACCAGCACTTCCGATGAGGTGCAGGTCTCTCGGCCATGCAATGGTGACAGCCTCGGATTCTGAACGTCGGGTCCGGACATGTGCATGTGATGGGATTCGTCATATTTTCCTTGGTACTGTAGACGGTGTTGACAGTTGCAGTTTTGACCGTTGACTTACGACTCGCAGCTTTAGAAATTGAGTTTGGCCCGTTCCCGGTATTGGGTGATGTGGCGTGTTTAACAATGGGACCGAAAACAGACGGGGAAAGGATGAGGACGTTTCATAGAGCATGAAACATCTTATAAGTATACTTATACCCGGGGATAGGAGATTGTGGGATCCCGAGAATTTTCCAAGATTGCTGTGATTGCGATCAGTGATTCCCATTTTTCTGTGTACGGCTTGTGAGTTATCCGGAGAAGCCATCGTCGAGCTTGAACCATGGTCCGAGAATGGCGAAACGGGATGACTTGAACTAAGCAGAGATTTTGGACGGGAGTACAATCAGATGAGTTTGGGTAAACATGAGGGCTTTTCCTTCCCTTTCTATGAATGGGTGCTTGGGCCTCGAACTCAGATACCCCACACGGAGGTGTCTCCGAAGCGCGGGAGTGGGGGAGCTCGTGCCAAGCGTTCGCAACACCTTACCGAATGGAGAGCGACAATAATGACTCCAGAAACTTATATTACCCCAGATTCCGGGCCCAAAGTCCGGTGAAACGTTATGATTCTCACTTATTGTTCTCTGCTGGACACTATCGCAACGATGATCACGGATTGAGCTGGACCGAGTTAATGTCTGTTGAGGGTTCGTGGAAGATCACTGTACTTATTGAGACTAAGTACCAAATGCCTCGCAACGGAGAATGTGTCAATAGGATGAAGTACTTCTTCTCAACTTCCTAAGAGTGTTTGACGATTCATAGTCGTGGTACTACGTGTAAAGCGGATGTTTTTAATGTTCCTACTTCTCGCTTATTTACGGTGGTCATCGAGTTGGGCCGCCCCGGATCGACGTCCATCTCATACCCACAGTGTACTGTAGTCGGCAGCTTTAACCTTTGCATATCCTACCCAGGACATCGGGATGTCTGAGCCAAAGTCTAAAATCAAGATAAATGTTTGACACTCACGATTAAAGTTTATGTCTACAGATTTCGACTAGTTAGTGATAAGAGCCCATCAACAGTATTCGCTCGCTTGAGAGCTGTGACCATCGGAGTTTCACCCGACTTTGGAATAACCTCCGTTTCACTAGCCATGGAAATGCAAAGTTGACCTCGCATCCCTCATCCGGAGTTCGGGTCAATGCTTGCAATGGAACTTGTACCTTTCTCCGTACTACTCGTCTGAATTGAACAAACCAAACAGACACCATCTCCTGCGGGGGGTTTTGTGATGAACTCTAATGTTGAAGTATACAGACGTGACAGGTTCGCAGTAGAGAAAGAAGTTTAAACCATTTGACATCAGTGTATCAGCCACCAACGTTCCGCGTCTTGGGTAAGACAAGCTCTTTAAGCTTCGAGCTCCAAGATTTCCCAAGGAAATATAAAAGTCTTATACTGAGCTTGTCGCCATGCTGTTTGCGCCTTCTCCAAGATCCGAAATTCCTGCGAATGCTGCGATATGACGATGCGGAACGACGAAGAGATGGCCAGAAAATCTGACGTTTCCGCTTCCTACGCGGAATGGTCGCCTAGGAGGGCCAAATACGAGTCTTGCGACTTTTCTGGTAGTGTCTTCATTATCTCGTCGGATGGGAAGGTCCTCAAGCTGCCCATCCCCACCAAGTCGGCGCAAGATCCACTGAACTGGTCGAAATGGAAGCAAGCACGAGCTTTCTTGGCGCTCTACGTCTTCTCTATCTCTGCGGAGTCGTTGACACAAGGTGCAAGTTTCTTGGTCGAAGAGTTCAGGAATGAGTTTGCTCTGCAAGTACGTTCCGGCGATAACACGAATCCGTGCTTGAACTGACTGATATAAGGATAAAAGTCTAATTAGCCCTGACAGCGCTGTCTCAATGCCAAAGCTGTTCATGGGACTCGGGGCGCTGATTTGGATTCCCTTATCCTTAGCAGTTGGACGAAGACCCGTATTCATCTTGTGTACTCTCGTATTATTCCTTTCATCTCTGCTTGCTGGGTTTGCTACAAATTTTGGCGAGGTTCTAGCAGCTGCTTGTTTCATTGGATTAGCCCAAGGTCTCACTTCGAGTATGGTAAGTTGACTCTACTCTGCGAGACCGTGTCGGAAACCTATCTGATCTGATATAGGCTCTCTTGATGGTTATAGACCTCACCTTCATACACCACCGGCCACAAGCAATTGCCATGCTATTCTGCCTTGTCGGGTTCTTCACTGCGCTACTACTAGGACTTATCCCTCTTTTCATCACCCAGAAAGCCACATGGCGATTATTCTACCACTCTTGGTCTATTCCATCTCTCCTGTCTGTTATCCTAGCTTTCTTCTTCTACCCAGAAACATACTTCATCCGCCCACCCGTCGCATTCAACGGACGCATACTCATGCAAAGCGCCACGGAGAAAGTTCAAGTCTACGAAGACTGGGAGGAGATCCCAGGCGGCAAAGCACTCCCAGACACACCAAGTCGATTCCCCTGGGCTCGCAATCTAAAGATCTGGGGCCTCACACGAGGGGGATGGAAAGCAATGCGAGCATGCTATGCACAAGTCCTAGGATGTCTCTTGAACCCTCTGATATTCTGGGTCGCTATTCTCAACGCCCTCGTCTCCGCCAGCAACCTCTCAATCAGACAAACATACAGCGACATCTTATTACAACCACGCTTCCAGCTCACTCTAGAAGCTTGCTCGTACATCCACTTCTCCGGCGCGGCCGGATGTCTCATTGCGCTGCCAGTGTCAGGGTTCCTGGTCTCATGCGTAATCTGCCGACTCGCAAAACGCAACCTAGGTGTCCGCGATGCAGAGCACTACCTCCCCGCCTTCGTCCTCCCCATCTTCACAGGCACGCTCAACATCATCATCTACGGACTTGCAGTGGGGCGGCACTGGCATCATATGTGGATCTACATCGCGTATGGGCTCAACTACTTCACGGTTGTCAGCTTGGCTACTGCCAATACGCTTTGGGTTACGGAGGCGTTCCCTCGATGGGCGGCGCCAGCGTTGGTTGTGCTTAGTAGTTTTGCGAATTTGGCGAGCTTCGGGGTGGGGTTTGGGATCATGCCGTGGATTAGGTCGCAGGGACATGCGAATGCGGATATGGAGATTGGGATTTTGATTGCGGTTGTGGGGTGTGTGGCGATTCCGATTGCGTTTTGGGGGAAGACGATGAGGCAGCAGATTCATAAGAGGTGGGGGATGAGTGAGAAGGGTGCTTTGAGGCCGCAGTGAGTAGAATGCGTGGCATTTAGGGGTTGGGGGTTGGTTTTTGTAGGCGGGATCCTGCAAGGACGTAACTCCGCTCGCTGGATGCCACTGAATGTATCGTATCGAAGAAGGGGATGTCAGTCAGGGAAGACTGCCGCTCCTAGTTCATTCCCTACATACTGCCACGTGTCGCCTCTTCGTTGAATGTGATTGATGTAGGCAGAGCAAAGGGTTGCATCGAGTGGTAAGAATCGGTCACGATGTGACGAAAAGAAAAGCAGGGTCCTGTGGCTTCACGGAAGTTCTGGGTCCCTTGACCATCTCCACGGAGTCCAGGTTATTTTACGCGGTTCTGGAGGTGACAAGGTCATGGGCCTCGTTACTGTACCTCCTGAACCTTGTTAAGCGAGATCTCGATAAACAGTGTCATCTGCAAGGACTGGCATGGCTTAGAACCCTGATTCTCATCTCGTTTATAATTCTGAGATATTCAAACTTTCTTTCCCATTGCGCTCAATTCTTTAAGATCGTCCAACTCCTTTATGAATCCTTCGAATTTTGCCCTTGCCATTCTCCATGTTGTTAATCCCCTTGAAAGCAAATATCAGCAGGAAAGTCTGATGAATAGATGAAGAAATGCAGTCTAGAACTCTTCTTATGATTTGGGAAAGAAAGAGATGGGCAAGAGTGATACTTACAAAGGCAGTCGAAGCGGAATATTTTGTCCTCGACTAGCAACAGTGTAGAGAGTCTCAGCCAACTTCTCGGGCTCAATCATACCAGCCGCCGCACCGGCATTGATTCCCATCTCGACATAATGCTCCAGCTTTCTGGCCGGCATATCAGGCGCCGCGTATGCAGGATGTGGTTGAATCTTGGCTTTGCTGTGGCCTTCAAACTCGGTTTTCACCCCGCTTGGCTCAACGATACAGAAATTGACTGTGCCACTATTCAGCAATGACAGACACAACCAAAAACTCAAGAACTTACTATTCCAATCAGGATGAACTTCTCTCGCAACAGACTCCGTAAATCCTTCGACAGCAAACTTACTCGCATGGTAATACGCATGACCAGGGAAAGCCACCAATCCCGCCAAAGACGAAATATTGAAAATAAAACCGCCTCGGAACCCTTCACTCTGGCGCATATTCTCAATAGCGCGTGTAGTCACACGTGTAGTTCCAAAGAAAATAGTCTCCAGCTCCTTGTGAGTCTCTTCTTCGGTCGCATTGACCGTATCACCTGACAACGAGTACCCCGCATTGTTGACGACAATGTCGAGATGGAAGTTGGAACCGAAGTGTTGCGCTGCATCAGCGAATGCAGCGTTGACGGATCTAGGGGATGTCACGTCCAGTACCAACTTGACGATGTTGGGGTTGGTGTCGGGGAGGTAGGATAGGTCGGAGAGCTTGCGGGCTGTTGCGATTAAGCGATGCTTGGGTTTGCTGGCTATGAGAGTTGCGATGGCACGACCGATTCCAGATGAGCAGCCGGTAACTGAATACTTGTTAGTGTCTGCAGTTTCATGATTCATGAGATATGGTTGACCAACTTAGCCAAGTTGCATCCTCAGGGAGAGTGTAAGGTTTTGTGTTGACGGGATTCATATCTGGAAAGAAAAATGTGGGATGGCGGTTCGAATATTGTGATTATGAGCGCGAGTTTGATGGTAAAAGAGACTTGACCCTAGAGGATTGATGGGGTTTTATATCGATGAACCTCAGAGACAGTCTAGGCCGCTAAACATATGTCGACCACACAACGAGCTCGACGAAACTGCAGGAAGATTTACAAAATGCATCGGTGATGTGAGTCACTCGGCAGTAAGTCTGCTGTGAAACTTGAGAATAAAGCCGTTTTTGCATTTGATGCATGTTCACTTCAAGATAAATCACTGGTTGGTAGGGATGGATGAGTTCACGTAAATGCCACCACTGGCTGAATACGCGTATTCGGAACGTGGGGGCGGCCCAATGATCAGCCCCCGCATTGGGTTCTTCACAATGATTCGACCGTTACTCGGACGGAGATGATTGGCTGTTTTCCTATTATTTGTCTGGCTGTCTACTTTATTACTTCACCGTTATTACAAAGCTTTAAATCGGCACCTTAGTAATACCGAGTACCAGAAACTTCAACACGCTCAAATTTCCCGGAGCTTCACGTACGTGCCACTGGCACGGCAAGCAATCGGACACCAAATTCACTCATCTTCTAGCAACCTACCCCCGTCCACCTTGAAGAGACAACTGTCAGACGACGCTTCTTTTCGTTTCGAAGCCCAAGGTGTCAATGATCGTGATCGTTCCTGGTAAAAGTGTAAATATTGTAGAGATATGTTCGAGCATCTGAATTCCATACAAATCTGTACCGAATAGTGAACCTCTTATATCTTTCACTTGCTTCCTATAGGCAGATGAAAACTAGATCGCGCTAGCCCTGTACTAGATAGGCGACCGAGAGGTACTTTCCAGTATCAACATTACTTCTAGGCTCGTTCCATTTCCTTAGCATACAACTCCATTTCCACCTTGAACTCATCCTTTGAGGAACAAGAACAATAACTACAGATCTCAATCTCCATCTCCATCTATAGCCGCGCAGTAAGACTCGAACCTCTCGAACGTTGGTCGAACTCAACTTCCTTATCTACGATCTCTGCGACGCGGCTCAAACCCAAGATATCACTTCATCACAAGTCTCAAGGACCACGCTTGACATTCCAGCTCGTATTCAGAAAAGCGCAGCGACTTCAAGACAATAAAGGTACCAAAATACTTCCTCGAGCATGGCTCTCGCATTATTCTCAAATATTCTAACATCTATCAAGTCTCCAAGATGACGTCCATCAACTCCCACGCTCCGAAGGCGATAGAGAGTATTGATCTGCCTCTCGCCAACTCTACAAATTCTCAAATTGAAGTCGAACTCGAGTCAGCTGCTATCGCCTCCGTAGAAGAATTCACTCTCATACAAAAGACCTCCGTGGCAGCCACATCATCGGGAACTGAGGTCATCGCTCCATCCTCAACGAAGGAGGTCATCAGAATGGACTCGGATACTCAAATCACGTTCAACAAATTCACGCTCTTCCCAAAATTGCCGGCTGAAATGCGATGCAAGATCTGGTTCCACTCTCTACCTGGCCCAAAAGTTGTTGAGATTGACTATCAGTATCCCGGAGGCTGGGTCTGCCGTCGGGAGAGTCAAGGCATACCGTCTGGCATGCTTGGAACCAACAAGGAGTCTCGTGCGGAGTTCTTGAAATACTACTCTCCTTTCCTAGAGCTTACGATACCAGTCAAGGTCAACTATTTCGATTACGATGACCACGAAGATGACAACGAAGTTGCTGTCGCACAGAAACATCGATTGCCATTTCTTACTATACCTGGCTCCGTCACATACATCGATCCAATCATTGACATTCTTTACATCTCTGCCAATCATGATGAGACGGAGACGAGTGTCACCCAAGAGTCAATGAAGGAGCTGATGTCGATGACGTGCTTGCACAAGCTCGAAACTATCGCCTGTGAGTACGCTGAAGTCAGGGATAGTATTGGCGATTTCCAAAATTTGGAAGCGCCCACTCCCATATACTTCCCGAATCTCAATGATATCCTGGTTTCGGTGGGTGATTTCAATTTTTGGCATCTCACAAACGATTTAGAGAGATCGGCTGGTGAAGTCCAATTCAAGAACAGAGAGGGCGGGTATGCATACAACACCGAGGAAACTGCTTCTCTCTCGCTGAGAACTGAAGAGGCCAAAAAGATCTTTTTGGGCTCAGCTAGGCAAGGTTTGGCGGTCTGTTCCACAAGCAGAATTTTCCGTGGTGCTGGTGAGATGCGGTTCAAAATTAAAACAACCTGAGTACCATCCCTGCGATAATCACCTATATTGTATAGCTTGTTACTTTAAATCACAATGAGGTCTGAGAACTTGCTCTAAAGGTGGCCGAAGAAATAGAAAAAGTGTTGGAGCCTCCGTAGCGTATCGACGCTCACATGAGGACAGGGTTTATAGCAGCCATCACGAGTACAACAGGAGCTGCAAGCATCCAGCATCGCATACAATCTACAAAATATTCCATTGCCATCTTCTCGTATATTGTGACAACCAGGAAACCAGAGATTCAATTTCGCTAATGCCATATAAGAGCAATCATGCCAGTGTCCATTCTCTCCAAAGGTTAGCCAGTTGGACAATCTCATGATACTGACAGCCCTTCTTCTGTACTCTGCTACTTCAGCCTTCAGGCTCTCACAACAGAATATCCATCCAGATTCATGAACTTCAGATCACAAGAAGGGTACATTAACATGTCCAGGTTGGCAGACCTCTATCAAGAAACCGATATACAAAAGCAGAAGCATTTGAGACGACGATTTCGCTCCATTGTTGCTAAATATTGCAATTCTAGCTCTCAAAATTATGTGAAGATACCTTTCAAGATCTTTGTAGTTGAACTGGCCTAGGTCGGACTTTGCTAGAGACGTTGACAGTAGTAGAACAAGACAACAAAAGGTTCAATGACAATGATCAGAGCTGAACGCCAAGCCTTTGAATTTTCAGAATCCGAGATGATACCAATCCAACAACATCTCAAAAGATTCAATTGGCAATCATTATCTGCAAGAATAGGAATGGAAATTTGCCAACAATCTGCTTCAGACTGCTTCGACGAGCAATGACTACGACTTATTGGCATCTGCGGTGAGGCTTGATGTCTCCGCTGGAGGTCTTTCCTGCATTAAATAACAAAAATAGCCTATTCAGGTCAGGAAGTGAAGCCCAGCCATTTAGAAATACCCGGCGCTCAGGTGGTATTCATATGAGCTGTTTCTGATTCACTTCTTAAGAGAGGGTGTAAATCATAAGATACCTGTCAGAATCAGTGAAATGAAGAAAAGGGGCTGAATATATAAGCCGCCGCAGCATCTAACTTAGAAGTCAGAACGCAACAATGTTATCACAACCATGTACATGTTGGCGGAGGCTGGTGTGCTTGGCCTGATGAGTGCTTTCGTCGTAACTATTTGGGAAGAAAGCTCCTAGGTGGTGAGGAGAATGTGTGATACTGACTAGGGAGAAAAAGTCAACATTCTGATAGGAATTGTGTGAGGCTGAAGTTGGTTTTCGGTGTTCTTAGTACGATTGACAGCAGTGTGAAGGTTGACAGTAATAGTAACCTACTTGGATGACGTCTAAACAAGCGTAAGTAGACGAATACTTCCACCTACCGCTAGCAACACCGAGACTCTTGAGACAGTAACAACCCGAATGAAGCGTGTGGGTAGGTTTTTGCTGCAAGACAGTCTCACCATACGACCTCCGTTAGGGTGTTCTTCTTTTTCTCTGGATGAGATATTCAGTTTAGATATGTTATTTATAGCCAACGTACGTGAGAACAGGAGCAAATCTCCTCTATTTAGCGCCTCCCAATTCAGGACTTTCATTTCGCTCCCAGGCAACTCTCAGGTTTTATTAACATGGAGAAGAATGAGGTTTATAGAGTGAATACCAACAACAATATCCTTCCTTACCGTAGCCATTGACTAGCACCCAACCCCACTAGTCTTATCTTCAGTGCTCCCTCTGAAAAGTAAAAGTGTATATAAACAAGCTCCTTCCTGCCCGTCTTACAGAATCAGAAATCCCACCTTTCCTACACGAAGTGTGTACCTGGACGAGTCTGGATCCACGAATGTTCAGCGGTCAGCTCTAGATAGCAGCACTAATAAGACTGTGTTCTGTTTCTTCCGCCTACTAGTTTTCTTTCCGGAGAATAATTGCATTTTGAAGGGAGGAACAAGATAACAGGTAACAGTACGTGTTCGAGGGCGAGGAACTTCCGACGAGATGAGATGTTGTCATTAAATCAAGTGTTGTCATCCATCCAACTTCATACCTTCAGTCCAGATTGGCAGAGAGAGCGTGGAAACATGAGTGTCATGTGATGCCGGTGGGAGAAATAGAGTGGAAAGGAGGGTAGAAGTTTTGTGAAGATATATGACTTGTAGAGAGTTGGAGCAGGTGGAGCTTGACTTGCTTCTCCTTTTTCTGTATCTCGGGAGCAAGTCTACGAGTTTGTGGTGGCTGGCTGGAGGCAACCGGTGTTTTACAGGGAAACACTGGCGAGTTGTGTGAAAGTGTGGGAATGAGCCACGAGGCTTGTGACATGTTCCATACGAGATAATTTCAGTCTCGTAAGGTGAATTTCCTCAGCTCCATGTCGTCACTGTCACGCGCTCAGTCCCAAAGACAGTTTGCTTGCTTGATAGGGTATCTCGTGCATTCAAGGAGGAACATTCTCCTCCGCCGGCCCCAGACCCGGCTCTGGTTTCGAGCCTCCACTATGCCTCTTCGGCTTAATCATCAACAGAATAAACATTCCCACCACAAGTAATATCAATAAGAAGATAATCCTCCTCTTCGTCCCCTTCTTCTGGTACCCACTCGCAACATTCAGCTCCTTATCCGCAGCTTTGATATCCACAGCCATTCGCTCGACGTTGTAGTCGATACGATCGAGCATGGTTCCTTGGTCGATAATCATGGTTTGGAGTTCTTTGAAGATGTCGGCTAGTTCGATGATGCCTTGGGCGATGTCGGTGATTTCGCGCTCGCGCTGCATGATGGCGGCGTCGTTCGAAGTTAGTTGTTTTTGGGACGTTTGTTGGAGGGTGGATTGGGAGTAGGATTTGTCGGCGTCGGATTCCATGATGGAGGGGTCGGTGTATGGTGTATATGAGGGTGTGGAACTGCGCTCTATGGATGGGTTCATGCCGGAGAGGCCGCGGAGTTCTGGATTAATTAGCTAGGGTCCAAGGGAGATAATGTTAAGAGGCGTACTCTTCAGGTATGCGCTCTGCTTTTTCCTGAATCCTGCGCTGGCTTCTTGTACTCTTCCTGCAAGTGATATCTGTATATTTCTTGCCATAGTTTCTTCGCCTTTACTGATTCCTCCCTGCTGTTTATTTTCTCTAACCATCTGTTCGACTCTCTGAATAGCTTTCTGGCAATCATGGAATCCACGTGTGATATCCTGGGTCAGGCGCTCTATCTCCCCTTCCTCATTCCTTTTGACTTCCTCATCGTCGAATCCAGGCAGTACATGTTTCTGGTGTAACTTTTCCAGCTTCACGCTCTTGGATGCAATGTCTGTAAGGTATTCGGTCACTTCGTCGGATATATCTGCCCATCGCGGGGGGAGGAGGTCCATCTCTATTACTGCGTCACCATCATCCTCGAATGCGCCGGCGGATATGAGGCCTTGTCGCTCCGAGGAGCCCGAGGGGATAGAAGAACTGTAGCCATTGCTTGAGGAGTATTTTGTTTTCTTGGCTGGGTGATGGGCGTACGATTGACGGTAGGAAATGTAGCTGGGGATGTGTTAGCTGCTGGTTTGAATGGTGTACGTGGACGGGATACGGTACAGATTGGTGCGATCGCGCCACATCGTGGCGGTTGTGGCCAAATTGAATCAAGGAGAAGCTGTATTAGTTTATCATCTATGTGGGCACCTCAATAAAAGAATAGAAAGTTGTGGTGTTGTGAGTGGCAGAAGCATGATTGTTGTCCTGTTCCACGAGTCGAGCTTGGCTCCTCAGGCATGAGGCTGATAGAAGATACTGCCACAATGGCTCGTTCAGGTCACCGTTACACCTTTGTTGCCAAACCCACCACTCCACTCGCAGCGCAATCATCCATCAACACTTCTCGTATCGTATACACACAACATCAGGACGAAGCCGACTACCACAATATCCTGACTCACCATCCACGCCCGGCGGAGTACATAAACCTCACGATCTGTACGATCCTCCCTCTTCATCCCTCACACAACCGTCAATATGGTACGAAGCTCCCTCCACGCACGATCGAAATCTCCCCACGACCCCGCGGTACCGGCTTGTCGTCAGTCGCGGGGTGTCCACGATTGCAAGAAGAATGTAGGCTAATGGCTGGAACCTTTGCAGGCTGATTCTCTTACCGAAGAGCAAGTTTCCGAGTTTAAGGAAGCCTTCTCCCTGTTCGTAAGTACACTTCTGGGGTCTTGTTCCTTCTTTTCTTCAGCCCCGTCCAGAGTGGGAAAAGCTTGTTTACAAAGCTGGATACTGACAACTTTTGCTTGGAACAGGACAAGGATGGCGATGGTTAGTACTCCCAAGACATGTCCCCCAATCATTATTTACGATGCACGACTTGGTCGCTTTGGGATAAGGCATTTCGGTCTGCAATGCTTGTTTGGACAAGGCTTCAGGGGTACCAAGGCAAATGGCTGATGGAACTTCTGCAGGACAAATCACTACCAAGGAGCTGGGAACCGTTATGCGCTCGCTCGGCCAGAATCCTTCCGAGTCTGAACTTCAGGATATGATCAACGAGGTCGATGCTGATAACAATGGCACGATCGACTTCCCAGGTGCGTTTCGAGGATGCGGATCAACAAAAGAAGTGAAATAGTGGCGTGATGTTGACTTTTGATGACAGAGTTCCTTACGATGATGGCAAGGAAGATGAAAGATACCGATTCCGAGGAGGAGATCAGAGAGGCATTCAAGGTGTGTACTCCTTCACATCTTGGTATGAAATTGGAAACGGACTTGACTGATCATGGTGCAGGTCTTCGATCGTGACAACAATGGCTTCATTTCCGCGGCTGAGCTCCGTCATGTCATGACATCCATTGGTGAGAAGTTGACGGATGACGAGGTCGATGAGATGATCAGAGAGGCTGATCAGGATGGCGATGGACGAATTGACTGTACCTACTCCTCTCTCCTCTCTCCTCTCCCCTTGTCTCTGCTAACATCACCTAGACAACGAGTTCGTCCAACTCATGATGCAAAAGTAGAGGTTCCATATGCTTTGTAGGAGACAAGCGAGCAGGCTCCGTATCTTGCATGGTCTTTTAGCGTGCCTGTATTTCGGAGACGTAGGGCATGTCTCAAGAATAGAACGAATGAATGGATTGGTGGAAGGATTGGTGGAAGGATTGGAATGGGCTAGGTAGATTGGTTGGCTGGCATGGGTCACAAATAACGTTACAATGATTACCCTTCAATTCAATTGCGTTCTATTTGAGTGGTTTGCTGCTTAACTGATCAGTATTTCTGTTCATGTATTCTCGTTTTAGTTGCTTTCACATGTGCATGCGAGCGTGATGATCTGCCTGCCCAATGTTGTAGGTATTGCTGGAACACGTATGTGTTCCCTGAACTCTACTGGATGGCGCCATTCATTTTCTTTCGTCTTTCCTCACCTACCTTTTTTTTCCTCCACCTACAAAGTCTGCATAGAAAATCAGCCTCGTCCATCAGTACAGTTCGCCAATGAAAGAGCGCCGAGTCAGAGGGTCAGCCCTGACTCATCGCACCCTCAGTCCACAGGTTCATCTGTTATTGAAGAACGTGCACAGAAATACTGAATCCTTAACACTGAAGTTTTATCTTTCTGTTTTAAGTTATGCTTCCTCTCGCAGCTTGTTCGATGAGCGGCTTTGGAGACAAAGAACTTTGTAGTATGGTTGTGGTTCATTGGTAGATAGGATAGCTGATGATAACAAAATAACCACAGCTAGCTGATGATTGTCTTCAGCTCCCTCTCTCACCTCTGTTCTGCGTGTGTGGAGAATATGATGTGGGAAACAGGATGATATATATTTTGTCCGTACCCCGGATCTTGCATTGCTGCGTTGACTTGAGTATTGGGACCAGATCTCTCGATTTGTCGACGGCATTCTCCATGAGCTATACAACATAAGGATGGAGTGTCAATATTGCTCCCGTCTCTTGCATTGAAGATATATGAACATCTCGGTATCATGAAAGACCTTACTATGTAAATACAGCTGTAAATGTGGTGAAAAATAAGAAAGACTGAGAACAAGCTGAAAGTCTGACGAAATACGAATATGAGAAAGCATTCTGTTCAAATCATTGTCGTCACGAATTCATAGGTGTCACTTTGTCCCTTTGGAAAGAAAAGAAAAGAATCAAATATAGACAGGCATATTGGACGAGATGGATTTGACTTTTAGTTTTCAAGTTTAAATCAAATAAATTATCTGATACCAGGCGAAGCTCATGGGGTAACATTCAAGGTTGCAAGCGAAACGAGGGACAGCGAGTCAGCGACCCCTGAATTTAGTCCGGGCATGGATCTCCGCCAAGACGGTAAGTGGAGCATCCAATCAACGTCGGTCGAACCTGGGGAACTGGACTGGGGAAGTACAGAAATACAACACAGGGCCCAGATAAATGCAACGCAACAACGACCACCAACGGTCATTCCAAGAATACATCTCGCCTGCCCCTCTCTCGTTCTACACGCTCGTTTGACTTCTATAATCTATTTATGTTCTAGTTGCAACGTGTTTAATACTTCCCACTCCTACAAGTCGAATCCCTTGCTATCAAGCACACGAGCTATGTACTAAGGAATTGACATTGATGATCGACGGAACGATTGACTTCAATCTCCCTCGTCTAAATTCTTCGATTCTCTTTCCTCCTTTCTACCACAACCAAAATGCCCGCCATACGCCGCTGGCGAGCGTTCGCGCTGGCAATCATCTTCGCCATCACCTCCCTCTACTACCTAACCCACGAACGCAACGTCTGGAACTACGGCTACACGCCCTACATCCCCGTACCCAAAACCTTCCTCGCAGACGGTAAAGTCCATTGGAAGAAGCTCCCCGACCGATACCCTGTCACCTCATTCATCTCCCTCCCCACTGGCCATCCAGTCAAGATCCCCGCCGTACAAGCGCCCCCTCCTGTGGAAGGCGCAAAGGCGAAGGAGACAAGAGTGCAGAGAAGGGCGGCGGTGAAGGAGACCTTTGTGCATAGCTGGACGGGATATAAAGAACATGCGTGGCTACGCGATGAAGTTGCGCCGCTGTCGGGGGCGTATAAAGATACCTTTGGAGGGTGGGCAGCTACTTTGGTGGATGCGCTGGACACGCTGTGGATAATGGGGATGAAAGATGATTTTGAGATTGCGGTTAATGCGGTGCAGGAGATTGATTTCTCTACCACGGAGACGGATACGGTCAATGTGTTTGAGACGACGATTAGGTATATGGGTGGGTTTCTGGCGGCGTATGATATTAGTGGGGGCAAGTATCCGGTATTGTTGGGGAAGGCGGTTGAGGTGGGGGAGTTGTTGATGAGTTGTTTTGATACGCCGAATAGGATGCCGATTAGTAGATGGGATTGGCAGAAGTGAGTTGTCCTGCATGTGGAATTGGATGGTGCTGACATGGATAGGTATGCCAAAGGAAATGCTCAAAAAGCGCCCGACAGAATGCTCGTTTCTGAGTTAGGATCTTTGAGTCTGGAGTTTACAAGACTTTCTCAATTGACAGGAGATATGAAGTACTACGACGCTGTACAGAGGATAGGTGACGAATTCGAGAAAGCTCAAAATGGAACCAAGCTGCCTGGTCTCTGGCCCGTCAGCATTGACGCTTTCAAGCCCTCGTTCGCCGAAGACAACTTCTTCACACTAGGAGGCATGTCAGACTCCTTATACGAGTATTTACCCAAACAGTATCTCCTCCTCGGCGGACGACTCGCTCAACCAAAAACTCTCTATCAAAACTTCATCGACGTAGCAAAAGAACACATGTTTTTCAGAGTCTACAACCCTAAAAATGCCAAACTCACCTTCTCGGGCGACGTGCGCGTGTCCAATGGCGACATAACCATGTTCCCCCGCGGCCAGCACCTGACCTGCTTCACAGGTGGCATGGTCGGCCTCGCATCCAAGATCTTCTCCCGACCAGACGACCTCGCCGTCGCAGAAGAACTCACACATGGCTGTATCTGGGCCTACGACAGTTGTGCGAATGGTATCGCCCCAGAGATCTTCACCGTCATGCCATGTCCCAAAGATAAAACCAAAGAATGTACTTGGAGTGAACAAGTTTGGCATGATGCCTTGAACTCGAATTATCCTCTCCCGAGCTCGACATCGGCTGCTGAGAATGAGAAGCTGCTTAATGCACAGACGGTTATGAAAGAGCGGAGATTGCCCGGAGGAATCACGATGATTGATGATAGACGGTATATCCTCCGTCCCGAAGCTATCGAGTCGGTGTTTTTGATGTACCGCATGACGGGCAAAGAAGAGTATGCCGAGGCGGCGTGGCGGATGTTCCAAGCTGTAGAGAAGATCTCGAGGACGAAGATTGCGGCGGCGGCGATTATGGATGTTACGATTCCGTTTGAGGGGACGGGGAAGGGTGGTGGAGAGGGAGAGGGAGAGAATGCGAAGGAGTTGGGGCAGAAAATGGATAGTATGGAGAGCTTTTGGTTGGCGGAGACGTTGAAGTACTTTTATCTGTGCTTTGAGGAGTGGGATACGGTTAGTTTGGATGAGTGGGTTTTGAATACTGAGGCGCATCCGATGAGGAGGCCGCGTTAGGTCAATTAGCTTGGTTCAGTGAGTTTGGTTATGTTTATTGCCATGGAATGGATTTCGGAAAGCAGGGTGTTGGGATGTATACTATATCTTGGACAGAGGAAGAAGTGGGAGAGTGGACATGGAGGAGGGAGAGGGTGAGAGAGGTGGGAGAGGATATACCCATACAATGTTATGACCGAATATTACTGTATCATTTTACCGCTTGAAGAACCTGAAACTCCACTCCCTAAGTCTGCTTAGACGGCAAGACTCACTCCATCCAAGCCAAAGATCTCGTCAAAGTCACCGACAGTGCGAAGTTAGATATTCACTCAGGGCTAGCCAACCCACCGTATTGCTTATTCCCATCTGATGACCTTCGATCTGCCAATAAATACCCACCGCCTCCCATCCACAGACATCAACAAACACAGGATCATGTCCAAAAGCGGGTCTATGGGCCAAGCCCTGGCAGGGCAGTTACCTCGTCTCCTCCCCAAATGTTGATTCTCGGAGATATGTAAGGGGCGTTGTTTGTGAAGTCAAGCTTGGTCTCTTTCTCCGTATCGTGCGAAGTCAATATCACTTGGCTACATAGAGAGGTTATTTGTATCGGTGACAAGAAATAAAAGAATTGACAATAGCAGGTAGAATGACGGTAATGCTCCGACTGGGTGCTTAGGTCTAGAAGTCTATACTGACCTGTTTTTGGGGCAGAAAAGGGTGTGAAAGGTTTAATGGGGGGTTACGGTCTAAGGGGTTGCTATTGTGGTGTGTGCAGATACAGATAGGGGTATAGCATTGGGTTAGAGTGGACGGCACACTTGGTCTCCATAGTGTTTGGTAGCTATCGCACTCGTGCGGTTGAAGGGGGAATGTTGATGGGAAGAAAGGGGAGGTTATATATAATTTCGGGGATGGTGGGGATCGAAAAGGGGAGGTGAGGTGGCTGGGGCGGAGGTTCGATCGGCCTTAAATTGTACATTGGGAAGCGAAGTGAATGGGTAGCCTTCTGAGGAAATGTGATTGTGTTGGTCGAGGGGGGGGGAGGGGCAAAGTCGAATGTGCTGTACAGTCTGGAGTGATATAAAATAGGGACAGCGATGTAGTAAACTCTTTTGGTCTGTAGACTACCAGACTGATACCAAACTCACCAGAAACTGAGCTGTGTGTTCCTGCATTCTGGTCCTTAACCTGCAAGGGCTCATGTTTGGAAGCATATATTGACATTAGAAAAAATAAGTCAGCTGTCTCAGTAGTGAAAAGATCTATCTCGCAGCACCATAAGGATTTTCTCTTGCATTTCATATGTTGAGAATATAAATTGACAGCAACGAACTTTTTGACGACGACAAAGTACAGTACGTTGAAACGTGGTCTTGGATCTTAAAATGACTAGAAAAATCGTTGATTGGTGGAACTAATACATTCCTGGTAGAAACCAATACAGCGTTACAAACTGTAGAACCATCTAGTTCCATCGTCCACAGCCCAGTACGATCGTTACGAGTTACGTACGTCCATCGGACTCTTGGAGAGCAACTTACAGGGCAAAGGGCTGTTCTTTTTATAGCATTATTCTGAGGTATCTTGGTGTGGATGAATGAGGGGGAATTGACAAATCTCCGACCCCAAACTTTGCGGGGGAGAGAGTGAGGATTGGAGTGAATATTATAGCAAAATTATACATATAATACGAGGTTCTTGAGTGATCAGATCATTATCACTAACTCTAGAATTTATCACAAGAACTTCAGGAGATAGATTGCTGCTGAGGTAGTATTCAGAGCTTGAATCATTAAAGGGGGTTAGACATGAAACTTCCTCCTTTCTCCTGAGATTTCTTCTGGGCTCCCATGGCACAGGCATACCTTTTGTGCCTGATGCTTGAATTTATTAGGCCATGTGATCATTGGCACTAGAAAAAAGTTTGACAACAACATCCAAGCCACTGCTTCTCCTTTAACCACCAGTACATGATCAATCTAGTCAGAATTAACCTTAATTTAATGAATCTCTTCATGGATATCCGTAATATGTTTCCTCTCTGCCTGTCGTGCATGTCTCTCAGCGCATGTTGACGAAGCACTTAAGTCGTTCTATGGCAGGAAACTCTGTGACTATTGCGTCGATGACGATTCAAAGTGGTTTGCTTGTGCATATTTATACCAATTCTTCTAGCCGACAATGAGGCTCGCAGGACTTCGAGGGGAGTATGGGGTCGAGTGAGTAGTCATCGTTACCGTTAGGTGGTTTGGTCCAAGGTGAATAAACGAGGTCTGTGTTGATGATTTTACGGATGTTAAAGTATAAATACAGCACACAGTAAACCTATAGCCCCTCAACAAAAAACAAGAACCCGATGAATGACACGTATGTGAGCCAGGCAAGTACTTTTGCTTAAGCAAAGTTATCACTTACGCTCTCGAACAGTTTGGAAACCATTCCGCTTGCTAGTATTTGATAATCATGGGACGTAACTCCATCCTTGACATCAGCGAGCCATGACTCGCTAGTTCAACAAGCAGGGAAAGAAGGATTGACAATGGCGCATTATTTGGCAACAATCATCTTGAAGCATCTCGCTCCATGCTCCATGTTACGAGATTGACTTTCATTAACTGATGTTACCAGCTCACCTTCAACTTCGAAATCTGTGAAAGTTCAAACTAGGAAGTCGTGTAGCACTCACTTCTCACAAAGCAATATGCATTCGGTGTTGTTTTGTCTTGCTGGATAGGGATTAGTTTTCAATGGGAGAGTACCTTGTTTTGTACGGCGTCTCTTCGGAGATTGATCCAGGACGTCACTACCAAGCAGTTTTCCAGAAGTCTAATAGCGCTCGAAATCGAATGTCTCTGTTTGTATTCATGGAGTTCCACTCGATGTTACTACTGATTTACCTCCTTCTGTCGGCGAAAGAGGTCGTGTCTAGCTCAATAGCCTGTGCACTCCTATCCTGAAATCCAAGCACCCACACACTCCATGTCTTAGACTTTCTCTTCGACTTCCCCTCTACATTCCTGCCCTCGATCTCGTGCGGCAGATCAGGTCCCAACTCGGCAACGACACTCGTACTGTCCAGTTCCAACACCTTCTCGGCTACCTCCAGCCTCTCTCTCTTGTATCTCTGTTGTAGTGTTTCCGGCTGGCGATACTTCCGCCCATCCATATTCTTTCGTCGCCGCATGATCAAGAATATGATGGCTCCAAGAAGTGCCACAATCAAGCCACCAAGGGTGACGCCGATTCCGATTCCGACTTGCTCGGCGGTAGTGATTTTAGTTGTGGATGTACTGATAGGGCTGGGAGCTGTAGATGTTGATGATGTGGGTGAAAGCAATTGTGGAGTGATTGAAGTTGTACCAGAAAGTACTAATGTTGAGCTTTGTGAGGTCGAGAATGGTAGCAATGTTGACTGAGAACCTGAAGAAATTGGCGATGGTATTGTAGATGCTGTTTGTAGATTGAATGGTGTGCTAGAGGTAACTGTCCTTGCTGTCGATGGCACTGTAGCTGAACTGCCACTCTGCACTGCCGAACATAGCTTGAACGCGTTCTGTCTCGCTGTCGGCACAGCGTCAACTCCGGTACAAAGGCCATCGCGGATTCCAAAGTTGATGCAAGCCCCGGATAGGACCCCTAAAGTATCTCCAGAATTGCTTGTAGCAGAACAGAGGCAGTTGAGTGTCGGAGTCGAAGAACATTTGCTCTCTGGGAATTGTTGCTCAACCGAAGACTTCAGGCAGGGCTGTGCACATGCCGGGAGGAACGAGGAAACCTCCGATGGAAGTGTGACTGAGTACGCATTCTGTGATAAGACTTTGCGCACAAAGGAAAGTGATGCCCATAAGAAGAGGAGATTTCGTGAGTGCATAGTTTCTGGCTATGCTGATGGATTCCCAATTCTGACGAACAGTTGGCGAAGAAACGTGCCTTTCAAATTGAGGGGACCTAGACGTCCAGCGCCCTTCAACTAAGAAACGGATTTTTTTGGTAAATGGACGAGCAACATTGAAAGGACAGCAGGACATAAATGTTGCAAGATTTAAAGTTAAGGTAGGCGGAGTTCACGATGGCCTGGGGCCGGCGATGTGTTATACCACAAAAGCTCCGATAGCACCAATTTGGTTCCCACTATGAATACCACAATCGATTGATCGCTACCATGTTTCAGACCTAAATTAAGCAAATGGGGGCTGCGATGTACTGGGTAGTGTTATCCAGCGCTTATTTTGTGGCCGGCGGCTACAGACCAAGTCTTGGCTGCATCGACATGCCATTTTCAGGGCTGTTGAAACGGCTAACAATAAGGCGGAATTTCGAGAATGGGAAGATATTTGTTTATCTTGCGGCAATCACGATGAGCGTATGGATTGTTTAAGCCGCAAATCTAGAAGATATCTACCAAGGTACCCTTTGGGGGATAATCTTGTCTTCCCAGAACCAATGCCCAGGGTCTAAGCGAATCATTTGTCATCAATAAACAATAGAATAACTATTTTGGCTCGTCTTTTCCTGGGAAGAACGTGCCTCATACGCGGAACTCTATGCCTCAAAGTCATACATCATTTACCAAGAGTGTGGCCTGATTAAATTGTACTTGCGCGACAGCAATTTGTGCGTCCAGTCTATCATTCGCACTCCGTAGTAGGAAGAGGAAAGATAAGCCTGATGATTCCGGGCATAGCTTTCTCCACCATGTGAAAGCAAATTGATGTTTTTCTTCTGGTGTTTTATCAAGATTATTTGGTGTAGTGAAAATGGTCATCTTCTGTTCCCTATTTCCGCAGTAAAATGGGTATTTCATGGACTTGCGTGTGTGGCCACGTTATTATCATGCATGGGAGAAATCCTTGTTATTGGCAGAGATGATCCGAGACTCAAGGCAAGAAATCAAATCTGTCCATTTCATCTCGTGATATCCACTCCGTCAATTCCAAGCTTCTTCATTATTCATGCGTCCTGAATTTGAAATCTAAGGTTTAAAGTCAAGCCCCCGCCAAAATCCCGGGTTTTCCTGAGAGAAAGCAACAAACGAATACCATTAGTCTATTCGCAGGCACAGTTATTACAAGATCAAAGCACTCCTCTCAAACCTATTCATTGAAATCTGATGTGAAAAACATTGGCATGAAAATTAAAGTTGTTTACTTTCGCGCCCGCCCATGATCCATCAGCCACTCACAAGCCACCATGAACCTTCCCGGCCCGCCCCCCAGAAACTTTTGTTGCACGTCGTAAAATGCGACAAAATCCACCGATGTCTCTCCCCCAATCATTTGCCCCCACAAACAACGAATCCCGCCAACCAGAACGCCGGATCGCACTATTCTCTCTCCAATTCCAAGATCCAGCAACAGCCAGCAAAGTCTTGACTCTTAATACATACAGTACATAGTTTACTTGCCTTATGTAGCACGAGCTTCTTCTCGTACAGCTAGTCCAGCTACCTCTGTATATATTTTTGAGCTCCTCAATCTGTTCTTCCCATAAGATCGGTTCTTGATCGATTCTATATCAAGTGAATACGGTCAAAAGTGTGGAGCAGGAAAGGGTTTGATCTAGTCCTTGAATTTGATCAAATATATTCAAGGTGGACTGCGATGATGACCAGGTCGATATGCCTCCCCTCTCTCGCGCTCTCTCATTCAGACTTGGTCCAGTGGCTGAGCGAGGTGGATGACTGAATTCAGATGCTGCACAGGCGCACTCTTATCCCGAAGCAAAGCAGCCGAGAGCTACTCAGTGCATGAAAGCACGAGAGACATTGCCTTTGAGGATCATCCATTTATTCTCATCGTCCATGCAGCGCCAGGTCTAAATTACATTCCCAAAATTCGTGGTATCATAAAACATCGGTCCTCTCATTCTCCCATTCCCTATCCCCTTCTCTTCTTTATCAGCCAATCTAACACCCACCCCCTCCACCACCCCCATCTCCTCCTCCACCACCATCACCTCCAAACCATCCTCCTCCTCCTCCACCATGATGTCCGTGGTGACCGTGGTGTCCGCCATGTCCGCTTGAATCGACGAATATGGGCATGGCTGCAGAGTTGCCGTGGCGGTGTTTATTATGCCTGTTGTTTATTGTAATTAGTACAAGGTGTTTTAAAATCATGAAGAGGGATATGTCGAGTTGGGATTATGATGGAGGAAGAAGCAAGGAGGAAGAGGAGAAGACATACTTCACCGGTGCTCCACCATAAGGATTATACGGCCTCGCTCCATAGGCAGGCTGTCCATAATACTGGACTTTTGGTTTCCGTCCGAAACACATGTTGTTGAATGCGTGCTATCCGCAGATGTTTGATTCTCTGCTCTTGGTCTCCGAACTCCAATATGTCGTTATTCTGGTTGTTGGTATGTTTTGTTTTGTTTTGTTGTATGGTGTGGTAATGTATGAGATGAAAATCCCAAAAAACCTGGGACCTACCCAACCATTAAACACCTCTCTCTTCCAGTCTAAACTTTCCGTCCATTCTTCCATCTTTCCTTCGTCCCTCCACAACGTTCGAATATTTCCCCTTCAGGACAAAGACCAGACCCACCTCGATCCGCAGACATAAGCCTTGTGACGCCACGTCTGCCAAGAAGGCGCTCGTTCACTTAAGGCTGAATTGTCGTTTTACCAGTAAGACAAGTAAGTCATCTATACGTGATTGGAAGCGTGCAGGGCTGCGCCTTGGGTTGACAGATGCGATAAGCTAAGCTAAGCTCGTAACCTGTTTGGAGCTTGTTGGTGCGCGGGCGCTGTGATTTGTTGGAATGTTGAAGCCTGGGTTTTAGTCATGATGGGAGGATTTGGGTTGGGGCTGTGGAGGCTGAGGCTGAGTTTGAGCTGGGGATGGATGGTGGGGTGGGGAGAGGCTAACACTACTACTACCACAAAGGTAAAGAGGGGAGGGAGGGACGACTGTACGACTTGACGAGTAATGCGGTGATACTACTGGGAGTTTACGAATGAGGCTGCGAAAAGTTGATGATTAAAAATTTACGTTTTACCTACTGTGGCAAGCCATCTGAAAGAGTATGGATGGGAAATTGTGTATTGATGTCTTGCGCTGGGAGAGACCAACACTGTTCAAGCATTTCAAAATATGCGATTTCAATACTATGATGCTTGAAAACCGACTTTGGCTTTCTTGGTCACTAATCATATGTACGGAGAAGCGTCTGGCTAAGGCATAGTCTTGAGTGATGTATCCTCACTGGCATTCTCCCACTTGGATGCGTGGGCCACTACATTCACCTCAGCAGGAACGGCCTGGTCTTAGGGGTACAGTGAGGATGAAAGGAAACTTGTCATCGTAGTATGTGCTAGTACAGGATACAAGAAGGAGGTCCAAATAATATACACCAAGATCGTCAACAATGCCGTCCGCGATGCAAGACTTTTTATACCGCCAATCATTATACCATACACAATACCCGACACAATATTACCACGAGATCCACAATCGATCCACCATCAGACACTTAAGCCTTTTGGGTCTGTCTCTTCTGGTTCTTTCGCATCTCTTTCTCGCGCTCCTTCTCCAGGTACTTCTTCTGTCCCTTGGCATCCAGAGCCTTGAGCTCGAGATCACGCTTCAATTTCTTGGCCTTTTCGCGCTCGAGATTTCGCTCTTCAGCCTTCTCGTCTTCACCAGCCTTTTGGAGCTTGCGGATGGTATCTTCGCGAGTGGTGCGGACCTTGCGCAGGACTTCAGGACGGAAGTGGGCAGATTGGACAAGGATGTCGGCGACGCGGATGAAGTATTGGAAGAGCGGTAGGACGCTGGAATAATCACCGGAAGAGGGAGTTCGGATGGATAGGTAGATTCGCTTCTTTGGGGTGGTGTCCTCGAGTCTGCAGGAACTTCAGTCAGTACAGTATTGGCGACTAAGACTTGGAACACTTACGTCAATGGTTGATCAACTGGCTGGTCAGTGATGATCAAGTGGTTCAGATACTCCCCGGCATCTTCAACAGCCTTGATGAGCTCAGGAGTGAGAAGGAAATCGGTGATTTCTGCGCTCTCGCTCATGACGGTAGCCCATGCGGGAAGCTTTGCGCTGTCCTTGGTAGTAGTGATTGAGACATCATATCTTGATTCGCGAAGTCCCTTCATAGTCTCCTTGTTCACAATAGCCCAGACGAAACCATCATAGCTGCTCTTGGTATCCTTGCGCAACTCGTGAGCTCCAGGGACCTGGCCAGGGACAGTGAGAGCCTCACGCCCATCGAAGGGGTAGAGGACAGCCTCCATCTTCTCGCCAGGTGCGTCCAAGCTCTCGAAGAACAAGCTGAAGATGAACTCAAAGAGCATGGTGATTGGGCTGTATCGCTTGTAGAGAGTAAGGTTGACATCGACGAATGCAACATTCTGTCTGCCAGTCGCATATGTCGAGAACTCGTTGGGAGCCTTCTCCTTCAATAGCTCTTCTGGGAGCTCGAGGGTTGTAGCCTTAGCCAAGCCTTCAGTTTCGACCTCGTCTACGGTTGGAGCCTTTCGGCCACCAAATCCGACCAGCGCAAACTCCTTTTGTAGAACTGATGCATGCGCGGTAATCCAAGCCTTAGCCTTTCTTCGGTTCGCGCCTGTACCAACCATGTGTATCGTAACAATCACAGCAATCATAGCAATGATCACAGCCTCTTGCTTGAAGTCGCTCAGGGAGTGACGCTCGTGGATGTTGTACCATTTGGTGTAAGGGACAGCTGCGCCTGTAGGAGCTGCACCGGTACCCATGAAGCTGGCTGAAGAGGCAGCGGAGTAAGCAGCAGGTGTTGGCTCTGGAGCTCCAGCAAAGTCGGCGAAGTCTGTAGAAATGGGGGTTAGGAGCTATCCTTTCCCTCTATTTAAATGCGCCGGCAGACTCACCATTATCGCCAGCTGGGATTGGGGATGCAGATGGCTTGGAGCCTCCGAGGAAAGCTTGGAAGAGGCCTGCCATCTTGTGGGGAGTGCACGATTCAATTGAAGGTTGTCGTGTGAGGAAGAAGATGGAAGAGATGGAAGCCAGAAGCCCAGACATGGGCCTGAGGAGCGAATGGAGCTAAATTCACTAGCACTGATCTGGCTCGCGAGGCACCAATGCCGCTTTTATTCATCCACCGCATTCCTGCTTTATTCTCGTGCCGCTCTACCAGCTCCTTAGCAACCACAACCGAAGTAAATCCGCGACCATGACTTCAGATGGTTTTGCCCTGGGCTTGAGATGCTGCTGCCCTTGCCTGGATATCGACGACGAAGGACAAACAAGGTAACTTCTCCCATCTCTTTGTACTGGAATTATTGTTAATATACATCTCAAGGTTCTCTCAGGATCCACTATTATCCAGGTATGTGACAATCCACGACTTCTATTGTTTATCACGTGATGTAAACAGAACCTTCAAGCTGCCTCTCGATTACCCGCTACGACTCTGAAGACGGTCTATCGTCTTGATTCCGCAACTAGCACAACTGCGTTTTACTTGCTCGACCATTCATATCAGTATTTATTAATTCCAATGGCTAATAATGTTGGTCAGAACCCCACCCTTTCCGATGGGTAAGCCTGTCCGCACATATGGCACGCAGCGCCGTCAATACACTTCTGGCTCCTCAAAGGTATTCGGTGTATCCTCCGTAAAAACGACCACCGTAGCTACTATCTCCAATCCCACTCTCCCAGCTGATCCACTTGAGTCATGGCCTGAAGTTCTCGAAACCCTGAATGAGATCCAGAAAGAGTCTCCAAAGAAAGGCTTAAGCAAGAAGGAGCCTGTGGTGGAGTCCGAAGATGAAGAAGATTCAAGCGAATCAGAAGATTATGAGGAGTCGAGCGAGTCAAGTGAGTCTGAGTCTGAGAAGGACGAAGATGACACCGAGGAAGAAGAGCCATCGAGCGATCTCAAACATGATGTCACGTCAAGTACATCTAGTGCTCGGTATACAGCCAGTGAAAATGAGACTGGGTCTCATACAGGAACATGTGAGTTTCAAACCTGCTCATGCAATACATCACCATTGACACCACCAAGCATATGGCGAATCAGCACCAGACCACCTCGCCGTCCTCGCGGACGCCTATCAAACAGACCGCGGCTCGCCCCTCTTTATGAGCACCTGGCCGGAGATCTTACCACCCTCAGCAGAAGTCGAGAAAATAGCGGAAGCATCCTTTGCAGAAGTTTACCGCGTGACGACCTCAGCCGGCTCATCCATCATCAAAGTGTTGCAGCTCAAAGTACCCACCGATCCCGACTCATGCGAAATCGAAACTGCAATCAACGCAGCTGATTTAGTCTCTGAGATCCGTATCATGAACGTCCTTACTGAAGTCCCTGGCTTTGTTGGTTTCAAGGATGCTCATCTGATTAAAGGACGTTTCGCTCCATCGATTGAAGAGGCATATTATGAGTTCATTGCTGATGATGGGGAGTATGAACCGAGGGAAACGCATTTCCCTGACCCGGAAATCTTTACCAAGGAGTCGACTTTCTTGGTCTTGGAACTGGCTGATGCTGGGGATGTGCTTGAGAACTGTTGGATGGAGAGTATTGACCAAGTTTGGGATGTCTTTCTTGGCGTATGTATGGCTCTCAGTCGAGCGGAGTACCTTTGCGAATTTGAAGTAAGAATTACTGTCATATTCTAGTTTCACCGTACTAATTACCGTCCAGCATCGCGATTTGCATGAAAACAATGTCTGTGTAAGGCAAACAATACATCCAGCATCCAAGATAAAACGAAAACCAAAGCCTCGTGATGGGTCTATTAAATTCGGCTTCTCAGACTACAACATCACAATCATCGACTATGGTCTCTCGCGTGCCAAACTTGAGAACGGCGACGTCGTCTTTCAAGATCTGGAGAACGATCTTGCTGTCTTCCACAGCACCGGTAGCGGGCTTGCTGGAATGCAATTTGACAACTATCGTCGGTACGTTTTCTCTCTGACCACATTTACCCCTGCAATCTACGTCTTGTTATTCCCTAACATCTCCAGAATGCGCAACCACCTCCTAACCGGAACCCGCACAATGCAACCCGCCTCCTTCCACAGCACACCCATTTCAGAACTCTCACCCTCAGAAACCAACAACCACACCTGGAAAGATCACATACCCTACAGCAACGTCCTCTGGATTCGGTACATACTCTCCTTCCTTACAAAACAGTTTAAACGACATTCTCGTGGTCCCAAAGCAACGAAGGATTTGGCGACTTTCGAGGCGGAGATTAAGGATTTGAAGAGGAGGTTAGATGTTAGGACAAAAGTTGAGAATGGGGCGTTTGTGAGCGCGTGTCAGGTGCTGGATTATGTGTTTGGGAAGGGGTGGGTTAGTGAGGAGCAGTTGGGGAGTGCGGGGGTGGATAGTTGAGAAGATGGGTGAGGTGATGGAACTGAGTATGAAGAGGTATCTGTTATCTGCATTTGATACCGGGTGAAGAGGGCGTATAAAAGGGGCAGCATAGCATTAGGCGTCAACTTGATTATTTACCTGAAGGGCTCCTGCGGTCCAGTAGAAGATGTGCGATCATCAACTCGATTATTATGAACAGTCTCTTTACTTGTTTAAGACCGAATTCAACCTCGACTCAAAGAAATAATTCCGGGATATCATTATGTTCCTCCTTTTGCTCCAACAAGAAAGTAAGTTCCATCTCAACCTTCCATACACCAATTCTCATCCCAACCATCACAACGCTAACTCCTCTACCTAGTCCCCAAACAGACCTTCAGCCAACTCTTCGCCTTCGCATTCTCGTACACATCGCTCGGCAGCCTAACCACCGTCTCCCTATACAGACAATCATTCCCAAACCTCCAACTACACAACACCGCCCTCAACATACCCCCCTCCCTGCCACAAAGCAACGCCACAGTCGGCGGCCTCTCCGCGCTGAAGACACAAACACTCAAACATCCCGTATCCACCAATGTAAACAAATGATGGCCCTTCGGCAAGCCCTGCAACACAGCATTCAAGCCACTCGGATCCGTCCTCGAACTCGCAATCCAGCCAGGCTCCAAGCCCACCCTCTCCCTCGCATCGCGATAATGATAACTAAATGGCGTAGCCGACGGCGCATACGACAACCTCCCACTACAATTCCCAAACACAATCTTCTCTAACTTCTTCAACTCCATCACGCCCTCAAACCCCACCAGACAAGGCGCCGATCTCAAAACCTGCCCGCCATACAACCGCCGAACAGAAAACGGCGCCACAAGCGAGAACATGAAAGCCACAGCACCGAGCCCCGCGTCCAGCCACTGCAGCACCCTGACCAGCAACCCCAGCGTCCAGAACAGCCGCCGCAGTTCAGGAACCTGCTCCTCATCTTTCAAGTGTTCGTGTAGAGCAATGAATGGCGCGAAGGCGACAGTCAGGGCGAAGGCTAACAGAAACCACCAAGCTCCTGCGTGGACGAACAGTCGGGCAACGAGCTTCTTCAGGCCGTAGTCTCGCACGACCTTCATGCGCGGGAAGTTTTTCCAGCGGATGTGCAGGGCCTTGCAGTTGTCGAGGAGGATGGTGTTGTCTTCGTCGGCGACGCCGACGATCTGGCAGAGGGGCGTGATGTCCCAGAGGTGCGTGTGGTAGAGGTCTGGGCGGGCGAGGAGCTCGAAGGGGGAGCGTTTGGTTGGAGATTGAGGTTGTGATGGTGATGGTGATGGTGATGTTGATGGTACTTGGAATTGGTGGTGAGGATCGGGGAAGAGGCAGACCATGCGCTCGATGAGGCGGTCGGAGTCGTTGGAGAGGGAGAGCCGCGCGATGGCTTGGAAGGGCGTGTCGTCTTTGTCTTTGGAGATGTGGTAGTGGAGGAGGCCCATGAGGGCGTATGCGATGTCTGCTTTAGCGAAGGCCTTGTAGTTATTTGCGAAGCGGTCGCTGAGCGTTACAATGGCGTTTGAGAGGATCTCGAGACGAGAAAGCGTGAGGAGGCCGGAGAAGTGTTCGGCGAGGAGGCGGGTTGGGCCACCGTCTTCTCCGGATGAGATAGGGTCATCCCAGACTGTGCCGGTCATTTCGACCTTGAGCAGGGAAGTGAGTTTGAAGCTTGATTTATTTGGATCTGTGTCTCGGCTTGGTGTGCAGAAGTAGATGCGATCCCCTGGTGCGAGGAGCGCTTCTGGGAGTGTCCACATCCTCGATCCCCATTCTTGCTTCAGTTTGTTGTCATTCCCTTTCAACATGACGACAACTTGATAGCAGCCACGGATGACATCGCACATTCTGTACACATCTGAATCAAGGAGCGAGCCATTTCCCGGAGCACGGCAGCGAAAGTCAAGCCAATAAGCAGTCTTCCCCGCTTGAAGCGAAGCATATGCAGCCATTTCTTCAATCTGATCTCGACCCGTTGCCGAATTATCGGCATCAAAATGCATATTCGTATAACTGATAAACAAGTACGAGATGTCTTTTGCGGGATTATCATCCAACTCAAACTTCCCATCCCGCAAGACCATCAGCTGTCTAGGACGCAACATTCTTTTTCGTGACGAGACTTCCTTGACTGCCATATCAGTAGACGGTTTGCCGGGTCTTCTATCAAGAGGATTGATAGCATGTTTCGGCCATCTCCAATGATATCCAGGGAAATCCTTATAAAAGTCCGTAACCTCATCATCATCCCACGAGGAAGTGGTAGGCAGCACCAACAGAATCTGAAGCGGGACCGCCACCATCAAGATCCTGAAAAATGTTTCGACTCGCCCAAGAACACTTTTCCTCCCCCTCGCATCCGGATTCGATGGTCTCAACGCCCACTCCGAAACTCTCAGAACAGTCGGGACCGACCCCGTCACACTGGTACGCCCCCAATCCCCTTCCTCTCTCCGATTCTCATACACGAACCTCGTAGCTTGCACAACCAGCCGTCGAGGTTTAAAGATCGTCGGACTCAGGTACGCAGCCACATCTTCGTATTTATGCGCTACCTGACCAAAATGGTTGCGGAATAGGTAGCGGCCTTTCTCATCTGATTCGAGTATCGCGGCATTGTCAAAGGGTGTTTGTGCAGGGTCTTGCTTGATAGGGCGGTGGAAGAACTGCCCGTCGAAACCTCGCTTGCCGTTGAATTCTTTGGCGAGGTGGGCAGCGAGGCGGTCGGAGACGGTTTTTGTCTTTGTTTTGGGGCCTGCCGAGAAGTAACTGGCCGAGACGGGTGTGACTTCTGGGATGGGCTCGTGGGGGATGTCGTAGTTGTCCATTATATCTTGAGGTGTTGAGTTGGTGGTCAAACACTAGCCTGGAAATCGTACGAAGTAAACAAACAAACCACCTCGCCTGCGAATAAGTCAACAGGATAATGTTGTAGCGAGTGACAAGTTAAAGAAAAAGAAGAGAAATAGAACAGGTAGTAGGATCTTGGGGGACAAGCACCATACTTGAGTTCCCCTCCCCTCTGTAATTCATGTGCAACCCCAACAGTGATTTGGGGGCCATCGCATGCGAGCCAGGATAGGCGGCTACAGAACAATATGACTTACCCACCACCCATCCACACCATCAGAAACAAAACAAGGACTCTCATCTCCCCTCCCAATCATCCACTTTCTTTCTCTGATCAATCGATCCGATCATTCGTGCTTCGTGATTTGGACTTTGCATATATATCCCAGTCGATGACTGCTTGCTGGCTGGCTGCTTGCACCCCAGACGGCGTGACCTGAAGAAGTTGGCGAGTACATTGTGCTGTACGCCACGCCAGGTGCAAACGAGTCTTAGACAAGGAATTATCTTCCAACAGTATAGGAGGCGAGCTTATTGTCGTGATAACCGTCCTGCAACCTATCTAATCCACGCGAACCGAATCAACTCCCGCCTAGCAGCTGCTTAAATTATGGGAGTATTGAAGAGGCCACCAGGCACACACACACGCAGAAACACACACCTACATAAATTAAACCATAGTAGGCACAACTGTCACTTTAATAAGCGAGAATCCCCTTTCAAAAGCTCAAATTTGCACTCATTAAAGAGTTTTCAGAAGAAATGTTACGAATTCAGTTAGATCGATCAGGTGTAAGATATATCATACTCAAGTGATACACTAGTCTACAAGCTAGTAATCAAAACTAGGTAGGTAATTGTTTCGCTACGTTGTAACATGCCCATATTATCAAAAACACATCCAAGTGCAAGTGCGGGGCGCGGCGCGGTTACCTACCTAGGCTGAGTACTTCTACTTAAGGTATGCCCCCTTCAACACCGAATGGAACACACTTTTACAAGGAGTATATAGCCTAGGTAGGTATCAAGACCCTGTAGGCAATCAAGCGAAGAACGCTGGGGGCTGCTGGAATTTCTTTCTACCTAAGGTATGCTGTGTTCCAATTGTAAGGTATGTATGTACCCTAGCTACCTAGTCCAGGCTGGAGGAACCCTAGGCCTCATTACGTTGGAGCGAGCGGTGTGTTCTCGGCAGTTGAGGGGATAAGGTAGGTACCGTACCTTACTGTAAGGTAAGCTCTCTTTGCAGACCCGCCCCCGCCTTTGATCGAGCTGGGCCGAGCCGCATTTAAGTCAGGGGATGTGTACAGTACGAGGTATGCATTTAGCACCACTTTAACCTGCAAGTCCGGGTCGGATTATTCTTTTGGGATACTGGGCAGGGCAGGGCAGGGGTTGGAGATTCATGGATTGGTGCCCTCCTGCCCTGCTGCCTTCCCGCAAGGGTTTGGTTTTCGGGGTGGTCATTGGATAAAGCTGGGGTTGGAGAGACTGTTCATTTCTGGATAAATAGAACTTGGGGGTGTCGAGCAGTGTTGGTTTTGTCTTCACAATTTAATGTTTGTCCCACTTTCTGTTTAGAGGCAGCCTGCCCGAAGGTTCTGCTGGTTGGTTGGTTGGTTGGTTGGCGGGCTATTACCGCCCCCATGCCAGCTCGATACAGTATCTGGCGCAGGGGAGGGGAGCCCGAGCAGGGAGATACTGTATGTGGATGTTGAGTGGATGTAAGCCACATCTTACATGCATGCGAGATCACGCTATCTCCGGAAGAGCCTCTGTAGTTGGTATTTACTTGCGAGAACATGCGGGGACGTTTTGACAAGGGATTTGTGAACGGTATCTCGTGTATTATATTTACAGCGGGCTGGGGGAGTGTGCATCGGCAAGCGAAAGGAAACAAAACCAAACAAAACAAAACATGAGGAGTAATACGACATAACAGACTAACACAATGAAACATCCCATCTCATAACAGATCGAATCCCTCTCATTGTCAAACCTTCAACCCATCCAACCTCGGGACAACAACCGGCGCAGGCACATCCTTAATCCCCTCCGGCTCAACATAATCCCTCCATCCATTAACCCTCAACCTCAACTTCCTACTCTCCGCATACACCACCCTCCTCATTCTATTCGTGCTTCCTAGGGGCTGGTGCGCTTTCAAACCATGCCAGCCGTTAAGCGTGATGCGGTCGTCCCACCAGACGCGGAATTCGGGCAGCCAGGAGTCCTGGGGCTCGAATTCGAGAGTGGCGATTTCTTCGAAGGGGTATTTGGCGGTGGGCCACTCGATACCGATGTCGTCGACGGGTTGGTCTTTTAGGTTCTGAAGGGGTGGAAGACGTTAGAGAGGTGTGGAGTTGGGAGTGGATGGGGATTGCGGTGAGAGATTGAGGGAATTTGAGGTAGAAGGGGGGAGGAAAGGGAGTTTTTAGGGAGTTTTACCTGAAGAAGTTGTGCGCAGAAGGTGTAGGTTACTTTGTGCTTGAGGTGGAATTCGCGGGTGTGTTGTGACTGTGGGGGAGGTGGAGTTAGTAAGTGGTCTGGCTTCAAGTTTTGAAAACTATCAGATGGGGAGGGGATCTTGATGGAGGACTTACAATAGCGTTGACAGGTGCATCTTCAGATATTGTTTCCTTTTCGATGTTCTTCTGTTCTTCACCGAGTGGGAAGACGCCGAATTTAGCGACGTAGTCTCCATATCTGTACGCCGACTGAGAATACTCCGGCATAGCAACCACTATTCAATACTCATTAGCACGTCTCCTTCCTATTTCCTCTTCCTCATTCTCCTTCCTATCTCAATCAAACCACAACTAAAAAAAAAGAGCTGCAAAACTCACTCCACTGCCTCGGCAACGTCCCTGGCAAACACGCCAACTCCTTATCCTCCCTCTTCCCCAACTCCTCTCCAAACTTATCCAACTGATTCCAATTCCTCTCCAAACTATCCGCAATCTCATTTGTCGTCTTCGGATCTCGCAGTTCCAGAACAGGGTAATTGTTGAATGTGAAGTCTTGGGTTTGTTTGTCATCGCCCCAGATCTTTTCGCCGGCTACTCCGAAGACTTTGATGCCGATGCCGCGGGGGGCGGGGATGTTGTCGGGGACGAGTTTGGGGGTTAAGGAGGAGTACCGCATTATCATGCCGTATCTGTGGGAAGGCGGTTAGTGAGGTTGGGAGGAAGGTGGATTGAGGGGTGGGGAGGAGGGAAATGGGAGGGGACGTACTCTCCGCCTTTGGCGAACATGCCTTGTGCGAGATGCGGTGGGAGGTTATCCTTTACTTTGAACTTGCCCATGACACACTGTGGGATTCCATCAGTCATAATATTCAACCAAAAGCCCCATATAAATTCATATCTTCCCTTCCCACATCCATTTCCATCTTATGCCCAATACCATCTCCTATCTCACGAGCCTCGGACCGGTATGGAGACGTTGTACGTACCCCCTGTGTCTTCAAATGCGTGCCTCTCAAGCAATGATGATGTTCGTTAAAATTCATCATCTGAAAACGCTTGAATTGATCGGAAACTTCTTGGATCTTCTCTGCTTCGCCTGGCTGGATGACTTCCACACCTGGTGCGTCCCTGTAGCACGCTGTTAGCTACAGACTCACTTGTCTGGAATTGAGCTTGGGAATTGTACCATTTGATATATTCCGGCATTTTGAGTCGAGTTTACTGTCAATCAAATGATCTGGTGGTCCTTTCGGTATACTCTGAAGATTGGAGCTGCACCATCTCACAAAAGTAGACAACCAAGCAGAATATATATACCCCACCACCCCGCTCCTCCGCCAACCCGAGGACCCTCGGGCTCCTCACCAATCCCCCATTTCAAAATCCCATGGCTTAAACATGCTTAGAACAAGATTGACGATCTAGAACTGACGAATGCGGGGTTGGATTCGAGTGAGACAGCCTCGAGAACGGCACTGTTTATGCACGGCTGAGAGGCTAGTTTGAGCCCGGTGAGAACTGATGTGCTGTGGAATGACAAATTGTGAATCCTGGGGATGGGATTGGGGAGTTGTGAGGCTCGATGCTGGTGTTGGCGGGGTAGATCGAGGGGAGCTATTTTAGGGGGACGGAGCGGAAGTGTACCCCGCATTTGGTGGGATTGGCTTGATTACTGGGAGTGGGAAGGGAGCAACCTTAGGTTGGCTTGAGGAAGCTTTGATTGGTACGTAGGTAGGATTAAAAAAGGAAAGAAGTTTACTTATCAAGGATTAGGGAGAAATGGGGAGGTGGTAAGATGCTGCTCTTGAGAAGGATCACAGAAACTTGATCGCCAATCGTCGAACAAATACGAATCTACAGCCAGAACCAGGCGAAGTAGAGACACAGCTCTACTAACAAATAAACTGATCCCCATGAAGTAAGCTTGAGAACTAAAGCATCGAAGAAAAAGGGATAATAGGAACAACAGCTTAAAATAAGCAGCGATCGATCATCCACTTCTCCAAGGCCCAAAGAAGATCTGCTATGATTTCCCCAAGTTCCTCTAACATTTCGTTCATCGAACATGTCCAATGCATTCAAGGGTTCCACAAACTCGACTCTGATGCCCCTGCTCAATTCTTGGGTAGGAATACTCGTGATGAGCGTAACCTTGTATTTCGTTCCACGAGATGCTGTGTAAATCACCAGCGAAAAGAAATGACAGGAAGATGGCAGTGCACCGGTCACCACAGGAATAAGTGATCTGAGCCACGTTTCCAGTAGATTAATATTGAACCTGGAAGCTCTTGACAATTTAGGGCGAGGCTGTGGCACCGCAGGAGGCTTTCATCGTGCTGCACTCAATCTCCCTCGCAGAACATTCCTCCTGAGCATGAAAACCTCATGAACGTAACATAACAAACGCAACAGCTTTTAAAACTTTCGCGAATTGTTCTAATCTGACAGATCTAGTCACTTGACGGCGATTGCAGAGTATCGCTATAACCAATTCAACATCAATCCCCACCCCTCCAACGCTTGAACGAATCAAGAGCCTGCCAAACTCAGAGCCAGCCAACAATCCTCACCATAGAGATCACGCATGCAACAAATCTCCACCTCTCTTCAAATTTCGGATTTTGACTCTCTTCAGGTCAACTCATTGTGTTTGCAAAAGCACTTGCAGCAATTCCAATGCATAACATACTTGCATCGCAGCAGTTTTCAGTCATGTTACGCGGTCACCTCTTCGCCGCAAATTTTGTATGAGAGAGGGCGGCCCGCTAGTGAATCTTCAATGATCCTTGCTTCCTGGCTCTTGGGCAGAGAACATGCTTACAGGGTATACCGTGACCAATCGTCTGTTTCTGTTCTTGTTTTGCTGATGCATTGAGAACGGCTGCTGCATGCCAGGGTATGGACACGTGAGCACGGGCGGCAAGGACCGAAATCCATGCGGCTTGGCGAGATGGATGCGATGGATCAACGTCAGACGAGGCGGCTGGAGGCACCAGATACAATACATGTGGCAGCAACATGGCTATGGACGAGTGAATAGCTACACGGCAGGACATGAACACAAGCGACTCGTGATTCTTTCCGTCCCGTTGCACGAGACCGCCCTCCTCCACTTCCGACTACGGAGCTTTTATTTTCTCCTGCGATATATCACAAATGCGACACCGATAACAGCAATATATCCTCGCCCATTTACTGTGACAGGACGGCTCAGCAACCATGGGCGAAGATATCTCTGCGATGGATAAGCTACGCGCTCTATTCAAAGCCTCGAATAGTGAGCCGCAGTATGAGCCTGTTGATTCGGACTATGGGACTGGGGATGAGGATGTGCGGAGACCGATACTGATAGTACCAGAGGCGGATGAGGGGGAGGAGTTCTCGTGGTTCGAATACTCTATCTTCCTCCTGTTGGGAATAGCTATGCTATGGGCATGGTAAGATATCTGGCTTCCACAAATACAGAATCAAGTTCTGATTAGAATACAGGAACATGTTCCTCGCAGCAGCACCCTATTTCCAAACCCGATTCGCAGACAACAGCAACATCCTCGAACACTTCCAACCCGCCATCACATCCGTAGGATGCATCACCAACCTCCTCTCGATGCTCATCCTCGGCCAAATGCAAGCCAAAGCCTCCTACCCAAAACGCATACTCCTGGCGCTCGTCCTAAACTTCATCGTCTTCACCCTCCTCGCATTATCCGTCACATTCTTCCGCAGCATCTCCGCAACAGGCTACTTCGTCTTCACCCTGATCATGGTATTCTCGACCTCAGTAGCTACAGGTCTCTGTCAAAACGGCGCCTTCGCATTCGCGTCTAGTTTCGGCCGCCCAGAATACATCCAAGCCATCATGACCGGCCAAGCCGTCGCCGGCGTCCTCCCCTCCGTAGCACAAATCCTCTCCGTGCTCGCCGTCCCAGCACCCTCCCACTCCGCGACGACAGCAGAACAGCTGCAAAGCACAAACACCGAGAACACCACCTCCGCAACAGTGTACTTCTCGACCGCGACGGTAATCTCCTTCCTCACGCTCTTCGCCGTCGTGCCCCTCATCCGGAAACACAACCGCATCCTAGAGAGCAAGATGATGACGTCTATAACCAGTATTGAGGAGGCGGAGCAGGCGAAGAGGAAGGTGGTGGGGATGTGGACGCTGTATAAGAAGTTGCATTGGTTGGCTGCGAGTGTGTTTCTGTGTTTTGCAGTGACGATGTTCTTCCCCGTCTTCACGCAAAAGATCGTCTCCAATAAACCACAAGACCACGCCCCACGCCTATTCCAACCCTCTGCTTTCATCCCCCTCGGTTTCCTGATCTGGAACATCGGCGATTTGGCAGGTCGACTCATTACACTCGGCCCATTAAACCTGCGACATCGGCCGGCGGTGCTGTTTGTGTTTTCGATTGCGAGGGGGGGTTTCTTGCCGATGTATTTGTTGTGTAATATTCTTGGGAAGGGAGCCGTGGTTAGGAGTGATGCGTTTTATCTTTTTGGGGTGCAGTTTCTGTTTGGGGTTAGTAATGGCTGGTTGGGGAGTTGCTGTATGATGGCTGCGGGGGAGTATGTGGAGGATGGGGAGAGGGAGGCTGCGGGGGGATTTATGGCGATTAATCTTGTGGGTGGGTTGACGGCGGGGTCGTTGTTGAGTTTTGCGGCTGCGGGGGTGAAGTAGTGTACGAGGTTGCGTTTTGTGGTTGGAGTTTTGCATTGGTGCTTGGAGTGGTTTGGGATTGGTGTTGGGAGGCGTTTGAGTAAGGTTGCATTGTAGGCGTGATATTGGCTTTTGTTTGAGAGCTGGATAAATGGTGCATACTTGGGTGTATCTGTCTCTTAAGACAGTGTTGTGAGGATAAACACTTCCCTTGCACATATTCAGGTAGTTCTGCATATAGCAACCTCGATAGTATGCTACAGGTAAATAAGCCATGGGCATCTGGATAGAAACACCTAGAATACACAGAAACTGCCCTGTATTCCCTTGCTTCAACTCGCTTTGCTTTACTTTGCTCTGTTCTTCTCTTAATCATAACCGTCCGTATTCGTTACCATTGGACCCGCTGCTTGTAACTTGATGTGGGCTTCTCTGCTCTGCTCTGCCGACTCCCAGTTCGCGTACGATAGTTTTCTCAACGAGATTATTGCTTCCTACACATGTTAAGCTGGGATGCCCTGAGTTTAGTACTTCTGTTGATGTTGAGATTGAGATCAAGATTTGAGTAATTACAATGTCCGTTGGTGAATAAGCGACTTTGAACACGAGGAAAGTAAACAAAGCTTACTGCCTAGATTCAGCGCGCATTGCATTCAGCGCCCAATCTCATAGAATGTATAGTCTGTAGCTCGAGGCTTCTACTTTACCCTCTTTCAAGAATATCTGTACAGTCTCTCCTGTTCCTCTCCTTCCCTTCCTAGTGTGGGATGCGTTCTAATTCTGGTCCTCTCTTTCCACCACCGAGCTGAATGGGCGACATTTTACCTGCTACCTAGCGCGACATCGCTTGGGTGATGTTGCTGGTTTGATTATTTCCCAGCTTTTGGGTAGGCTAGCACGCGAAGTTCTTTGTTTACCTACCGACCTAGCGTCATCCACACCCGGCACGATATCACCTACAACTTCGACATCGCACAATATCTTCCTCTAGACACTTCCTTCCTTGCTCCCTTTTCCTGCATCTTGAGTACACTAAAAACACAACAGAATAACAAAACTTTAGCTCGAGTACCTCCTTTGCATTACAAGACAAAACAAGCAGGAGGTTGTCAGAGAAAGGTGAAGTGGAGCAGGGAATTGAGAGCGCCAACAACGAGAAAAAGGACCAAGATGGCGCCCTCGAAATGGAAGTGTACGCATCCCAATTGTGGGGCGATTGCGAAGAATGAGGCGGGCTCGATTGAGCATTGGGGGGTATGTATTGTGTGTATTGTGTTTTTCTGGTGCTTTTGAGTTTACTTTAAACAAGAGAGGGTGAGGGAGTGGAGTGACGGATTCTCCATCACCCTTTCGTGTGTTATGGCAAGATATCTTTCACACTTGAACACCCATGTTATGTTGATCATATCACACACGCCATCATATCTTCCGTATAAAAATCTCCTTGAACGCATGTCGCCTTCTCACATTACACTGTCATCGCTTAATCCCAGCACATCACAAAACAGCACAACACTAACACGTCATCAGGATTATCACTTTGAAGAAGACTACCCTGGCCCAACGATTAACAAAACTGCTAGCAAGGCCTCCAACAAGGCTACCCCTCCCGTGTCACTGGGACCCCAACTGGCATCAGTAAAACACCAGTCTCTACTCAGGCCGCTAGAGCGACACGCACTTCAAAGCCAGTAGAAATGACGGAACCGAAAGAGGAAGAGCTTGAGGGCGAGGACGGAGGCAATGGGACGGATATGGATGGTATACCTGAAGCTTTCAGTGAACTTGCCGGGGAGGTAGCTGTTACAAGCAGCAACGGAGCAAACTCTAACTCAACTAGTAAGAGGAAGGCAGCTGGCACTCCGAGCGTAAGTCACCATCAACTTGATCCTCCCTCATCTTGAACCATTACTGACAGTCCTCCTTCTTAGACTTCCGCACCTCCCTGCAAGAAACCCACAGTACCAGCGCGTAAACCAACATCGACATCCATATCAACCCCAAAAACCATCCTCGCTCGCCTCCAGGCCACCAAATCCTCGACACCTCGCACGCCCGCTACGAGACGACGAACAGCAGTTACTGAGGGAGGTGATGATGACGATCCGCCTGATATCACGCCGAGAACGCTGGGTGCGAGAGCGATTGCGAGATTGACGGAGAAGGCTTCGAATGATCCGTCGAGAGATTTACAGCCTATTCGTCGGCCGTTGCCGCCTAGGTTTCAGGATTGGAATAGTGATTCGGTGAGTCTGTATCTACGTGCAATGTACCTTTCTTCATATCAGGCAATGAAAAGCTAATAATGTTACCCATAGGACTCCGACATTGGCGCCCACGATTCCTCCTCTGATGATGAACCCTCAGTCCCCCCACCAACCTCCAACACCAACCTTACCAACCCACATATCGAGGATCCCTTCTACAATCAAGACCTGTCGGACTCCGATGCATCAACCGGTATCTCTGAATCTCCCAATGGCACCCCGCGTGCATATTCCCCCTCTGCACCAGGTCCTGATACCCTCCACCCATTTTCTACATCCGCCAAATACCGTATCATGCCTCCTCGAGGAATCGTCAAAAACCCTGATGGCAGCACTATCGACTTCGACTCTTGCATGACTTTCCCAGAGATTCCTGATCTGGAAACCCTGAACAGAAACAAAAACGCTGGAACAAAGAAGATGGAGGATGTAGGCGAGAGTGTCATCCCGCAGAGAAAGGTCGTGTTGATGAGCTTTTCAGATAACATCACCACACCAGACATCAACTGGACTGTTCACAAAACCCAAACCTCCTCCTCCAACGCCAACACCAACTCAGACAAAGTCACAATCGGCGAACCCCTCTCACCACCCCTCCACTCCAGCTCGCTCAACCTCTCCACTACCGGCGACGCCATCATGCTCGCTTACATCGAAGCCAATAATCGCGCTAAGGCCAAGGCTAAAGAGAAGAAACAGAAGGGGAAGGGGAAGAAGGGTGGAGGGGATGGAGAAGGAGATGGGGTGGTTAGGAAGAAGAAGAAGGCGTTGAGACAGCCTAAGTATGAGAAGAGGAAGTATACGTGGAAGGATAGTACGAGGAAGAATAAGGGGAGATTGTATGATACTCGGAAGGCGGAGGCGGAGGGTGAGAAGGGTTGTGAGGGCGAGGGCGAGGAGTGATGGTATGTGGTGGTGGTTGGGAGTTTTGTCACATTTCGAGGGGGTTTCTGCTATTTGGGCTGTTGGTCATGAGGGGTGTTATTTGGTTGGGGCGTTGTTTGATTTTCTGGACTGCTGGAGGGGATCTTCTCATGAGTTTTGAGGACTTTGATGGACGAGGGGCGGATAAAAGGGGTGAATGGTGGATTTGTACGATATAGCAGGATGACAAGACGAAATGACATGCGAGTGCCATACCTAGATATACCCAGATGAGTAGTTTCCTTAAATGGGCATGAAAATTGGGAATGAACAAGTGAATCAAAGAATCAATAAACCCCACTTCCCGGAATGTTCTTCAAAAGAAGGTTAGACCTCCCCAACATCTGTAATCCACAATGAGTATATAAATAAGTACCGTTTCCCAGCCTATTTCTGCACCCCAATTCCCTTACCAGTGACACATCCAGAGGCAATAGTGGTGAGACAGGGCGCTTGGTGGATTTCGAAGAGCATTAGCATCTTATGGCTCTTTTCGGCGGAGATTATAGAGAGTTTGAGTATTTACGAATCGTGTGATTCGTTGAAAGTGAGCGCGGGAGATTTTGGGTGGGAGAGAATGGGAAGGAGGATGGAGAATGGTGACTGAGAATAGAGATTGACGGTAAATCATGGGGCGACAACAAAATTCTCAACAGTCCAGTTGATCCACGTAGCTTTTGCCTCTCTTCTGAAGACCGATTTTGCTCCGAGCATAGGAAAGTTACATAGACTCGGTATGAATGTCAAAGTATTGCTTGTCACCCACTTACGATATGGACGCAAATCATACCAAGGCAAGAAGTCGTGATTATAGGTTGACTTTGGTGGCATGAGTTTCCCGGAAATAAATAGTTATGAGGCGGTTGACTTTAAAGAGGATTTATATTTACGGTGAGAGGAGCTGAGTTCGTGGGTTCTTGCGAGGGAGGTGAAGAGATCTCGCTTAGCTGGGAATGTAAACAAACTACCAGTGACCCGGCATTTGCACATTCTGGCGGGTTATTGAGCGCGATTCACTCGTATTACGAGAGGGGGGTGGGAGTATATAAAGAGTGTTTTCATGTCTTGCGCACAATCATCGTCACGCATACAGAGCAAAACACTCCATAATTGGGAAGTGTGCGGAGCTCTGAGATGTGGTATCAAAGATTAGTGTTGAGCTGGAAGAACTGGTTGATTTATTGGATCAAAGAGTGACAAGGTCGGTTGAGACTTTCATTTATTCTAGTTGGTATTCTTAGTATGATGTGAGTGGATCGTACGGAAGTTTTGACAATGAAGGGGAAGAATGACAGCAATGCAAGGGTTCGCAGCAAAGTCATAAAGTACTAGCCAGGAACTGAACTGCCTAGCTCTTTCTGCAGAGTCTTTGAGAAATCATATATCTTCACCCACTTTGGAGAGTCATTTTTGAATGTGTATTATCACGTGTCAACCCAGAGCAAGACGTCTCTCCACATGGCTTGTGGCATTATGTATCGACTGATCCGGCCTCAAGTAGACTCGTGGTTCACCTTTATTTCTATTGTCTCAAAAAAGATTCCTCTGTACCCAGCCTCAATCGATTCATGAGATTGTCACTTCTAGTTGTCCCCATCTCCGATTTTAAATTACTCGCTTCTCCGATGCACTTCGTACTTACGCCCCTTACAAGTAATCCTCAATTTTGTTATTCTCTACCTTTCAGCATATACCTGGTTTAGTCTCTGGCACATCGCAACCTACTTGTCACCCCTCCGTTTCCGCTCTGTCAGACTCGTAGACCTACACCTTCTTACATCAATACCCCCAACATGCCAATTGATCATCATCTGCCTGTAATCTACAAATCAGGACAGAACAAGTGATGCGTGACAGTGACGGTGTAGTCCTGCATCAGGATCTGCTGCACTGGACATCCTTACCAAGGTACGGCGGCCAAGTATCATTCCTAATTCCCCTCAGAATTCTATTTTCTACCGCTTCCGCCTCTCTGTTTTCTCATTTCTGACTCCTTTAATGTTTCTGGTTAGGTTATGGCCTGCGAGGCAGTGGTAGAAGATATCGGCTAGTTCCCAAGGCACAGCCTCCTTGACTTTCGAGCAATCCTTAGCAGCCGCCAACCAAATCACAAAAACCTCCCTCGCCAACGTCACCAATCTTCTGATCCTCTGGATCTCTTCCGCGGAATCATTCTCGAAAGGCACCTCGAGAAGCGTGAACAATAGCTTCCCCCTCCTACTCAAGCCAAGGTTTTTCATCTCAAACTTCGGCGCCTCGTTCTCGGTGTAGCGCGACCACGACAGGAGATTTTCTTTTCTGCTCTCCAGGCCACCACCATACATGCTGGCAGAGCCGACCCAGAGATAGCATTCATCGTCGAAGGGGTGGATCGATCCCGTCGGCTTCAAGACCCATCCATAGACCCCTGCAGCGTTGGTGGGGGACCATTCGATTGACTCGAGCTTGGCAATGTTCGGCGGCTGGTGCGATGCAAGGATTGATTTGACGTGTTTGGGAGTATATTCTTCGATCATTGAAAGCCATGATTCGGACTGCGATTCTGAAAGTACCTCGGCCCACTCCTGGGTCGTTCGAAGCGTCATCAATCCTTCCCATACTGTCTCCAGTCTGGATCGGAAAATGGAACTCTCGAGTTCTGGGGGAAGAGCCTGGGGGCCTTCATACAACGGTGTTTTGTTACTGTCTTGGAAGTACCCCGAAAGATGCTTGATTTGGACTCTCACGGATGCTTCATCTCGTGCTAGACGATGAGCAATGATCCGAGGGTGCTCGCGCTCCTCGCGCATCTTCTTCAGAATTTCGGTTTCCTCTTCTGTCCAAGGTCCCGTCACTAAGGCTGACTTTTCAATCCCCTGTCGTGTCACTGCGAAACTGCGCTTTCCGGTCCGTTTCAAACTTTCTAGCTCTTTCGTGGTGAATGCGCGGTTGGTGAGTATCTCACGCATTCGGGAGTGGAGTTTAACCTCCCACTTCAGGGCCTTGAACATCCTAGGAGCATCCCTAAAGAAATCAGGCTCGTAGTCTTCGAGGCTTGCTAGTGGTCTTCGAATGTCGTGCGGTCTTGTTACGGCAGCGAGATTGGCAGCTGATTGTTTTGGAGAAGGTTGCTGGTCAGGAGAGCTATCTTGAGAATGGGGCGGTTCCTTGATCCAAGTGTTAGCATTTCCTACTATTTATCAATGAGCACTGGTGCCACACCTCTTTCTTGTTATCTTTATGACTGAGGGAGGTCTGAGAGAACCTTCGGACCTGGAGTATGTCCAGCGTCATTGCCACAACATGCCTATGGCACCTGCTTGCGTTACCAGCGACATGGTAGATAGGACACTGAAAAGTTCTCATAACTCGCCTCTTTAGGACTTTTGCTTGGAAAAAAGTACTGGTGAGGGCCGATCAAGAGGTAAAGAGAACTTTTACAGGAGGAAACGCGGTTGTATTGAACAGTCTACAAACACGGATACCTGCTTTCTAAAAACCGACGAGACAGCGATCTAGCCTTCTCATGGTGAGCGGAAGGTTGAACGTGTTTGGCAAGGATACGGTCGAATTGGTATGAGAACGATAGGTCACTTTTCCTGTTTCCTCCTTTTGTACCTTCGTACTAGTTTTATTATCACTTCCGGAAGTGTGCATGTGTTTTTGTTTGTTTGTGGTGATTGCGTGCTGACCAGACCAGGTCGAGAAGGTGCTGGCTGAACTTGGACATGTGCAACGGTCCAAAAATGTCAACTACTAATAGATTTCACGAGAAAGGTAATATATGAAATACGGTCTACAATCTACTCACGTCTTTTCCTCAAGATGCAAAATTGCTCCTTCCCAAATCTCCAGTTCGCTAAATCATAGGACCTAATCTCGCTCTCCAGCTTCTCCCGCAGCCGTCCAGCATTTCCTTACACGAGGCGAGTCCAGGCGCACGGGAGGAACAGATCTGCGCCGCGGCGCGCGCTGCTTCCGTCTACATGCAGCATCTCCAACGGGATTTGGGAACCTAAGAACTTCTCTTTCGTTTGCTTGGTTTACCTTGAATTCGAATGTAGGTATCTAACAATCTCCTCCTTCAATCCACTCTTTCTCCTAGTATCTGGCCTTCATTGTACCAAGCGCGGTCAGAGAAGCAAGAAGCATTTCATCTGGCTGAAAAGCCCCCGTTGCGTCCCTTATGATAGAGAGCACCAAAGTCATACGCGTTGGCCACAGAAATAAGTTGATACTTGATGAGAACGCGATTTTGAACATTTCAATGGAGTAAAAACATTTTCCCATTTTCTCCTTACTTACTGGCCATTTTAAACCCCTTGGTCCGAATCCAGTAATAGTAAGCTTCCTCTGCAAGCCCTAATCTCTCTTTCTCTCCCTTCCTCCAAAATCAAAAACCTTCCAGGCCAGTTCTCATGACTGCTCCGTTCATGAATGGATCAAGACCTATCCCCTTCCCATGTAGTCACTCTTGCCAATCTCCACACCCTCCTTCCTAAGAAGCCCATACGCCGTAACGAAATGGAAGAAGAAGTTCGGGAGGGCGAATTGAGTGGCGTAGGCTGTTTGTCACTCGTTAGTGAACTCATTCCTCAATCAAACCCTCTTTTCAGAACCCATCAAAAGCTCCCCGTCCCCTTCCAACCCTCCATTTCCCCTCTCTTCCCTCCTTTCCTTTCCCCTTCACCCACCTCTCCCATGACCCCGCATCAACCGCCCCTCCTCCAAAAAAGCAAAAACAAAAAACAAAGAGAAGAAAAAATGCACTCACAAAACCCCGTAAACTTCAACTCCGCCGTCCTCGTCTTAAGAATAACCTCCTCCTCCTCCTTCCCATTAATATCCTCCTCCTTTACCCCCTCCAAAATCTCAATCGTCTTAGCAATCCGCGTCTGCAGATCCTCCATCGTCTTCTCGTTGTCTTCCAGCGCGACGGCTTCGATCTTGGCGACGCGGACGCAGAAGCCCTTAGAGGTGTCGGAGATGCGCTGGACTGGTAAAAAAAAGAACTCTTGTTAGGCTGGGCTTGAGTTTCTTAGGTAGGGTTTGATTGTGGTGGAAGGATGGGAATGAGGAATGTGGGGTTTGGGGAGTGGCTTTGGGGAGAAATAAAGTAAAATAACTTACTCTGATACACCAGATCGCCCATATCAGCAATCAATCTCGACCCGACTAGCTTCTCCTCTGTAAGTTCATTCCCGCCATCCTTCGCGTGCGCCGTTCCCTTTGCAAGGAGCTTTTGCAGGGTTCGTAGGTTCTTGAGGAAGATGGGGATGGTGATGGAGTAGAGTGTGATTGCCATTTTTGTTCGTTTCTGCTGTTGAGTATCGAAGGGCGTGTGGTTGTGGATGTGGAAGAAAGGCTTGTGTTGGTGAGAGAGGTGATGGCAAGAGGGAGAAGTTTCAATCTGGTATTGGGAGGTTGAAAGGTGCGAATTATTGGTAAGGTTTGGTATGAGGTAAAGTCAAGTCAAGTCTCGAGTCAATCCCAAGGAGGGACATCTCCCACCTTTAAATAAACCTCCCTCCCCCTCGGTAGTTAACTACCCCGCCAACCCCTCTTTCCCAAAACAGTAACAAGCTCAACCTCTCCTCTCCACTCCACAAACAACCACCACCAACTTTAACCCAGTACGGCTTAACAAGATCCCGAAGAACGGGTGAATTTGTCAGCTACCCGATATTTTCAATGCTTGATTTCAAAGCCGCGTTTCAGCTTCAGCCTTTACCTAGGTATTGCAGGTAGTACGAAAGTAAGGCGAGTAAGAGAGCTTCACCGCCAATTGCCACCCACCCACCCACCTTATTCGACGTGGATGCCTTGCAAGCCAACCCACCAAATTTCCAGAGGCGAAGGCGAAGGTAATTGAGTGCAATTCAACAGTAAGGTACCTAGTATAAAACACCCCATCCCATCCAATCATCAAGCCCTCATTAGAGGTACCTTAAGGTAAAGCAAGTTGTCCCGTGTCCGAATCGGGTAAGCAGGAATTTCGGTTCCAGAAGAGAAGGGATGATTACTGTACTGATCACCCAAACCCCTTCCTTTGTGTGTATTTTAGAGATGGGGTCGGTGCAACTTCACACCACAATAATCATCATGCAAACCATGCAAGAGTGCCGTGTCGATGCCGAAGTATCTGATATCAACACTTCACAGATACCTACTTGGTGCATTGTGTAATATTCCAACAAAGGGTACCTAAAGGTAGGTACGCGAGAGGAGGAAAAATAACCTTAAATAACCCAGCACACTTTACTGGTTCAGCCCTGCCTTGGTGGCCTTTGCGTCATTTGGCGGCTGTATTGTAAACAGGTCCCTAGCGAGCGTCACTCGTACATACTCGAGATAGGGGCTGTAAGGCTGCCCATAATTTCTCGGCCGCTGTTTAAATGCGTTGTATGGAGAAACAAGGAGATACGTGGGAGAGTCAGAAGAAAGAGCAAGAGAAAGATACGGGATGTAGTATTGAAGATTGTCCATTTGCTCTATACCAGTACCAATACCCATGAGGCAGGCAAGTAGGTATGGCATTGGATGAAGTGTGGTGTGTACACTAGTATTACTGTGTACAGTAGTATTACAATACAGTGAGTTGCTCTGCTCTGCTCTGCTTTCAAGCCTCCTCGCTTTCCAGCTCTCCTGGCAAAGGTCCTTATCTCGAAGAAACCCCAGCCGTCTTCCTTATACCCAGGCCCACCCAACCCTGCCAAATCTTTCCACCTCTATCCCACACTCCCCAAGACAAAGGAAAAAGTATATCTCGACATCTAGTGTCAGTTTGTATGTAAACAAATCCGCAATCCCAACCACCCACCAATCCCCAATTTCCAAATATACACGGGTCTCAACTAGAGTCTGATCCCATCCATCCATTATCACCCGCCCAGCCAGACCAGACCAGACCCGAATATCCCCATTAAACCGACCAAGACCAGTACCGACCAGGCAAGAGCCTCCCATTCCGTCCAATAAAACAGAGTTGTCCACGTCAGGACAGAAAGAGTGACCCAGTGTCCCAAGCCAAGCCGGCCAGCCCAAGCCTCAAAACCAAACGCTAAATCGCAGCAAAATAAAATCACAAGAGGGGAGTCTTGTTGTTGCCTATCCATTACATCCCAAACGCCATTGAAACGCCTCCCATTTTTGGTATGATCGAATGACAAAGGAAATTCTATGATCTTGATGATCTAGAGTGGTATTCTGTTTTTGTTTCTGTTTACTGGGCTTTCGCCTCATATGCTGGTGGAGGAGAATCTTCTCTCTCGCTTTGTGATTGAGACCAGAATCCTTCACGAGCTGTCTTCTCATCGTGTGCACGGCGGGCAATCTCACCTGCCATCTTCAAGACCCAAGCTTGTTCCAAGATACCACCTGCTGCAGAGGGGTTTTCAGACAAGAATGGTGCAGGTTGAAGGGCAGCTGAAGAAGCCTTCTCCAGTGGATAAGGAGCGAAGTTTGATCGATTGTATGTAGGTCTGTGTTCACGGCTGAAGATGGGAGCTGTTTGCTCGGCCCTTTCTTGTGGAGAGTCAATAATGACTTGTTCGGGGAATGCGCCACTGAGTGCAGGACGAGGAAAAGATGGTCGAGATCTCCTCGGCGAGTCACCCAAGTCAATGCTATTAGTGCGGAAGCGTACTCTCTGTGAAGGAGAGTGGGGAGGATCGATGATATTGTCTTCTGGTTCCTCGGGAATTTGAGTTGGGATAGCAGGCTCGGATGCTGCCACAAGTGATGCCGTCTCACTATCACCAAAGTCACTGATATCATCGGTAGTCTTTGGTTTCCTCAAGTTCACAACACGAGTCTTCTTCTTGCGTAGATGCGATCGTGGATGTCGACCTGCACCAAGAGCAAGGCCAGTTGTTGCCGAATGCATGCTGACAAGCGAAGGTCTAGACGGCAGTCCATTACCATCATCTGATCCCTTGTTTGTAAATGTATAAGTCGTGCTGGTGCTTCCTATTGAAGAGTGGGATCGGATCAAACTTGGTGTAGCTGGAGTAGAACTACCAGCACTCTCGTTCCGTTCTGATGGACCTGCCCAAGCTCTGAATACTGCATCTCGAATAGAAGGTGTGAATAGAGAAAGAGTTCGATGTGAGTCCGTAAGAGCAGCCAAGCGAAGCAGGTTCTTCTGAGAGAACAATGAATGGATCTCCGAGCCACCATCAAGCGATAACGATGATATCTCGCTAGCATCCAAGACATTCCCTCTCGAGTCAACTGCATCTTGTGGAGGGCTTCCAAAAGGATCCACAACCTCTTCCTTTTCCAATTTCTCGGCTTGTGCCAGTTCTTCTGCTTCTCTGGCCTTGTATTCCGGACACCATAATCTCAATGAGAGCTTGTGAATGATCGCAGGCAATTCGTCCATCATCAAATTGCGCAACTGCTTCTCAATTTCCTTCTGCAAGTAATCCCGAACAAAAGGTATCGAGTCGAATGTCGACGACACTTTGAGCGATTCGAGGGGATCATTGCGGAAAACCAGGGTAAGTCCTTTTTGTCGCGAGAAGACTAATATGATGAATGCCGACAATTTGATTTCGGATAACGTAATTTGCAAAGGGATCGTCAAGCCAGAGGAAGCTGCCAGAGGCTGGGGTGACGTAAAGGATGGCTTGGAGTAGAGATAAGTGTTCAAGGGGTTCGCCTGTTGTTGATATATTAGCGATCAGTTATAACACGACCAGGATACCGCGATGAAGTCCTTGCGCGCGTATCCTGGTGCAAAAATAATCCTCCCCGACCCATCCACGGATTAAGGGGTCTGCTGTCAGAGTGGGAGCTTTGCGCATTTGCAGTGCGACGTACTTGGACTCTTGTTTTGAGGGTCAGGAAGGCATCTCCAGAATAGCACATCTTGAAAATGCCCCGAAACCTATCTTCTGCCAAATCTCCAATCTCCAATATTTCTAGCTCCGGAGGTACGCTCCCAAGGTTCAGCTCATTAACCAGAATGTCGTCGACGATGATCGGAGGCTTCGGCGATTTATTCAGTGCGGTTGTTAGCATCTCTTGTGCCCTCTTGTAGAAATCCGCATCTGCCGTTAACGGCGACCAGTTGAAATTGAAAGCCATGTTGAGATGGCATTAGAGGATGCGCAGACAAATGTCGTTATTGTATATTGAGGCCGTGATGAATGCGATGGTGGTCCTCAGTCCTTGTGTTGTCGCGTGAGGACTGCTTGACCTGGTGATAAGACCTCGGGATCAATGGATAGCGAGTGATGCTGCAGCTGCGCCCGGCGATGACCTGAATCAATGAAGATGCCAGTCGTGTCGCTCGTCGATGGATAAGATGAGGATATATTGTCGGATTGATTAGGGTGTAGGAGGGAGATGGGGTCGGAGTTGGAGTAAAGTGGTGTTGTTGTGGGCGACCGGAAGAACTCGAGTTGTTTCCCTCTCCTTAGCTTTGCTTGTGATCCCTTGTTTTTCCTTCCCTTCCCGTTTCTCCTCATTCGGCAGGGAAGGACGTTTTTGCCAGGGCGCTAATGCGCAAAAGCGTCATTGGTCGAAGCGAGCTCTTTTGTGCTGCTGCATAAGTTGTGCTTCCGATTTATCCCCGCGGATCAGGTGACTATGAACTAGAGGGGGTTTCGAAAGCTTTGTTACGAAACGCCAAACAATAAGTGGAATGTTTTTGGACTGTGGTTTGCAGTTGGAGCGTGAATGGAATGAACGACTTCATGTATGTTGGGTTACCACAAGGTGAATCACCACGCCAAGGCATCTGAAGTGTAAGCGAGGGCGAGGGAATGGAGAAGAGCTGAATCAACAAAGCGCCGAATTGGAAAATTCCTTCGAATCCTGGTCGAGGAGATCAAGAAAGCGAAAGTCTTGTAAGTTAGAAGTCCAAGGTCTGGATGATGTCGCCTCAACTCTGCGAACAGTCATACAGGCCGCTGTTGAGAGTCTCTCCTTTGGAAATCACAGCTTCCTCATATTTCGCAAAATGTCAAAGAATTTTATGATGAAGCCAATGGTATTGCATGATTTTGTATCATTCTCTGTCGAGTGTATCTTGCTACTCATTGTGTCTCCCGTTGATGTCTCAGCTTAGCACACTCTATTCAAACCGCTTCTTCGTTTGGTACTATTCTTGTCTGAGTGCTATTCTTGTAATAATAACAATTGTATCAATGTAGTAGAATTAAGGCTATAGAGCTATAGAGATTCATAGTAAATAATAACTAATTCTCAGTACGCCGGAGGTATATTATACAGAACAGCCGGAAATCCTATATTTCTAACACTGCCCATATGGTGCGGAGTATCCGGATCGGGAAATCCCCCTCCTCGGCACCTTTGAACACACCCGCAAGCTGCAGAATCTGACTTGCAATATCAACTTGAACATCGGTTAGAACTGCCAGCGCAGGGCAAAGAGTCCACAGGTCAAGGCATGTGTGAATAGATCGTCATTGGCTGTCCCATCTGGTTGCGGTGAATATGCAGAATTTCAGAATAATTGTTTTACAAAGGACTGATTCGAGTCAAATAAATGCGTATGGTCATTATAAATTCAATTCCTGCGTATTTCAGTGTGCTTGATCCATTGAGGCACCCTTAATAGCCCAAAATTTTATTCACATCACGCGCAAGCGCCTCTTGCCTCGCGGTTGCTCCATCAATTTTCAAGGGACTCAAACCCATAGCAACCTTGCCAAATCCATCCAAGATATCTTCTTTCTTCGCTCTATCAGTGAATTCAGATTCTCCGACCCCACCAGGGAAGTCCGGCGGGGGAACTCCTTTCAAAAAAGAGTCTCGCTGCTGCGCGATATATTGCTGTGTGACGTTAGATCAAAATCCCCAGGAGGACAGAACAAAGCTTCTTACCGCGTTATTGAGAGTGAGCGGAACCGATGGAATATAAAAGACGCAAGCATCTGTGTTTCCTGTGTTCTCGCTTTCTGTGCCATGAATGGTGTCCGCACTCCAGAAAACTGAGAAAATTAGCTCGACTCTGCTTCAGGTTGACAGATACTTACCCGTATCACCCGGCTCTACAGTAGGATACGGTATCATGGTTTCACTTAGCATCAAATGAGGGTGGTGATCAGGATTATGCTCTTGCGCAGTCCCAGGATTTGCCCCGTGAAGAAAAACGTTACCGTCATCATCGTCAAGGGAGAATTTCCATCCATTCAGCGAGCCCTTCTGTGTAGGTTTGAAGAATGGTCTGAGCATCCAATAAGCGGTGGACGGCTGCAGTATAGGGTGGGTAACAAGAGTTTCTGAGTTCGCTAGCGATACTCGATGCGATTGCGTACCACCGACTCACCTTCATTCGGCCCATGACGAGACAACCCAAGCCAGCCTTGGAATGTTCGGAAAACTGAGCATCCTCCTGGTCCATCGTACATGTTCATATTTGCATCAAGCCGGCCGGTCAGATCCCATGGGTCGTACTCTTGCCACTGTACATATTTAGTGAAGTATTCAATATGGAATGTGAGATGTCCCCTTACCTTTCCTTGGAAAATCTTACGATAAACGTGATTATATGCTTTGTCTTCCCACCTCTCGATGCCTCCTCCGTCAACATGAGGGGCAAGCGAGAATAGTTTGTCCCCTGGGGGCCGGATTTGCACTCGGTCACAATATGTGAGCGGAACTGTTAAATCAACTGTCGCAACTCAATTAGCTTGACTGGAAGATGGGATATCTAAATATGAGACAAACTTTTCTGGTCAGAATCAGCAGTATATAACTGGTTCATCCATGACTGCGTGGCAAACATGTTTGGATGCGATCTTGCCTTGACTTGAGATGAACTCCAGTAAGACTCGTAGACAACCTCATACAGGTCAGCATTCGATCGCAGGGGAAACAAAAGGCCACTATACCTTTTCGTCGGCGTTCGACTGGAATCCTTTGAATTTGTGTGCCGAAAGATATTGGCGAACGTCAGAAAGAAGCGATTGAGTGACGTTTTCAGGCATGACCCCTCGAATAACAGCGACACCAGTTCGTCGAATAGCATCGATGCTGGCTGAAGGTACAGTACCATCCCGAATGTCCGTGAACTTGATCTGAGGAATTATCTGTTTTGTTTAGCAGCACATTCGCTTGTATGCGAGTAGACTTTCGCCATGAACGAGATTTGGATTGAACGTACAGATTCTCTCTTGGTAGCAACTTCTTCGGTCCGTACTTTCAGAACCTCAACTAAATCGTCCCATGATTTTTGAATCTGCTCCTCAAATCCAACAGTGAGCTTGTGTTTCAGGTCCCGAAATCGTTCGGGCAGAGGTTCGGCCTTCCGACCAGAGAATGTCGTAAAAGAGGACGATATGTCTCCTTCTTGTTTATCTTTTCGGGTAAGAGGTGTAGCTTCGGTCGCTAAGCGTCGCTTAGCTGGCAGAGGGGCCATGCCTGAGCATTTTCCGGCACGAAATGTTGGGCATTTCAAGCACTTGGATCTCAGAGCCCTGTTCATTATGAGACTCAGTAGAACTCTACTTTGTGGAGTAGGGAATTCGACAATCTGGAGTGAAAATTGAGCGAGCGAGTTGCATGGCTCAAGCAACAAGGCGTCTTCTGAGCCTTTATAATGTGCTCGCTCCGCTACTTTGGTCTGACGATCTACTTAACATCGTCGCTGATGATGCTTGACAATTCATCACATAAGTGTGCACCTCCGCTCATTCAGAGTTGTTGTTTCAATACTGCAAGATCGGTGCATAACTCGATTGGGTATCTCCGCAGTTAGTCTATCCGCCGTGCTGCTACAGTACCTGAAAGAGGATCGCGGCATTAACTGGGCACAGACCTAACCTAACGCGACGAATTTCCGAAGCGGTGATGCTAAAATGGACGTCCGACACTTACACCCTGTTCCCAATGTGCTGATCAGTTGATCGAGAGGAAATGATAATGGTCACAAGTTGAACCGCTCATAAATGCCGGTTTTGATCATAGCATCCTCCCTGTGCAAGCACACACTCTAGAGTTTGAAGTTCCCATCTTTCTCTATCATCTTTCCGACCGCTTGAGGTGGTCATCATCCAATAGTAACCTGCATCCTTTTTGCAAAGGGAAAGGCCGGGACAAGAAGCTGATCGACATCGCGCGGATTAACTCTTTCAGCACTCTTCGTTCAGCGTACTTGAGGATAGCTCAGAGAGCCTGCTCTCCAGTTACCTCAATCCGCTGACCCTGACTGCTATCGCGGGTTTTCGTCAGACCAATCTTCCCCGGCATGATGAGACAGGCTCGCCACCGCAAGAACCACACTGCTGTCAACCCTTGAACAGACTCTATCCAGCCACTATTAACATCGATCAATGAATAAGTAAAATGTCTTGATGGTTTAAGACTATTCAAAAAGGGGGAAACCCAAAAAGTGACCAACCCGACATCTGGGTTCGTGTTTGCTCGTCTGCTCCCTGTCGTTGTCTGTCGTTACCTAACTTACAGCACTTCCCTTACGGTGACCCGACTTTCGGTAAGAGTGCAGTCCTCCCGATGACTGCATGCATGCGTGCATATGCATCGGGAGTGAAGCCCTGATCTCATCACCTACCGCTTCGGGAACGATATACGGGCGCGGGTTACAAGTAGCTTGGCTGATGGTGTTTGGGTGCTTGGGGTGCTTGGGGTGCGGCGAGGTGAGGCGAGGTGAGCCTTCCTGGGCTCGCTCTCGCTCTCGCTCTTGGTAATCCCGTTGCTGATGCTCTTAGTGGAGAGAATGGGAAATGGTGGAGGGGGAAAGATGCGGATGAAGGCGAGGGTGGATCAGTGGACTTGTGCATATGTATGGTACAAGGGGTTGAAGACGCAAGCGGGGGACGCTGCTATATTGAGATGGATTGCATTTGTTCATTTTTTTTTTTTTTTTTTGCTTCCTGGTCCAAAGTTTTGTCTTTTCTTCTGACCGGAGATATTCGGCGTCGGGATCGGGGTACATGGGCGGCGATATTTGGCTGGGTTTTGAGTCGGATCTAGCTTTGGAACTTCGTCACAACTTCTTGGAGTCTTCGGTGTTTCCAACAAATGCTGCCCACTCCGACCGCACTTCCAGCAGTTCGGGATTCTAAGTAATCGAAGATGGAAATCCATCCTAAAGTAACGCTCTCCAGCCTACCTCCTGAGATTCTCCAACAAATTGCGACATACCTCCCACCCATCACGGTCATCTCCATACTACTAGTCTCTCACTCTCTAAGAAAAGTAATTGATAGTCGGGTCGTATGGAAGGTGTTTATTGTGAACAATGCGAGATTTCCAAATGGAATTCCGGACTCGGTTGGCGAAGAGCGGGGAGACGGAGATAAGGAGACGAAGTTGAAGAGTTTTGTTTTGGCTGACATTCTGGCGGAGAGGTGGGAGGATAGTAGGAGGAGGTTTGAGGAGACGGATTTGAGGTGGTTGCCTATGTTGACTGTTGTTGGTCGTAAGACTTGCTTTCTCTTTCCCCTCTCTTCCCGGGGACGTCTGGTTCGAGGAACGTGTACGAAGCTGACAGCTCTAATGGAATCATAGATCCAGTCTTAAAGAGTCTAACACCATATCTTTTGGAACACCTTGCAGTTCAACTATCAGGATCATTACAAACAGACACTCCACTCTTTGATATCCCACCAAGGAAAGATGGACGAGATCAACAAAATCCGTTGATATTCCCCGTCAACCCAAACACATCATTCTCCCTAGAACAATGGCAGAGCCAATTAACCGGCTCATTCTGTTTTGCCATGACACGCATGTCAACTCTCTCGCTCCAAAAAGCAACCGAGGAAGACCTCCGCCTTCATCAGCAACAGACTGACTCGCCACAAGACGACGACCCAGAACCATATCCAGAAATATCCACGATCCCACCACCTATTCCTCAACTTTCCAAGATCCCTTGGTTCAACTTCAACCCGCGCGAGCCATCCTTATCCCTCTCGCCTGAGAAGAGGGGGATATTGATAACAGCCTTACACGCCCTCTCACTCACAGCCATAGCACATTTCAGCACCGAACTAGACCTCGCTATTTCCGAATATCGAGTTGCATCTACGACTATCGACCAGGTTTCGCATCCGCCTACGTCCAAAACTATCGCGAAACATCTCTGGACGCTGGCTTCCTCAGATTCATCCCCGTCTTCCTATCCATCTGGATTTCCTCCGCCATTCAGTCCACTCTGTATAGACAAGTTTGGAAAGAGTCATCTAAGCTACATGGCAACAGAGCAATTCTTCGAAGACGGCGAATGGACTGGTGCGTTTGCTTATACGGGTCTTTGGGCCGTGAAAGGTGTGGGTGGTCTTGGTAGGGATGTGTTTGATTGTGTTGGAGGTGTGAATAGGATGGTGAAGTTGGGTGGGTGGGATGTTCCTAATCATGGTGAGAGAGGGGAGGGGAAGCGGAGGGATGGAAACGGGTTGGTTGTAGAGGGTGTTGTCAGGTTTAGGAGGGTGGTTGGTGTAACCGAGGATGGTGCTGACATGGACGGACAGAACGAAATGGAGGGAGGGAACGTTGGAGGGAAGAAAGAGAAGAGTGATGTCTTTATGCTGAGGAGTAATGCCTTCTACAGCCAGATCGGGACTTATATCCTCGAATTACGAGTCCAGAGAAGTACGGGCTTGATCGCTGTTAAGCAACGTGATGCTCTTGCTCATGTTCGTGGTGTGGGAGGGGGTTGTAGGAATGGGAGGGGTGATGGGAGTTGTTGGGGTGCGGCTTTGACGCCATTTGGAGTTGTGGGGGCTGTAGGAGTCGGTGGAAGTTGGATGTGGTTGTGGAAGAGGGACTGGAGTGGTGGTGTTGAGAGGGAGGTGTGAATGAGAGCGAGTGTGCTTGACGAAAATACCACGGTGTGTGTAACGAAAGCAGTTACACTTGAGATTTGGAGGTAGTAGTGCGAGAATTTTGACTTGTAAGGATGAGACGAGAAGATGACCAGGGAATAATTGAGTATTACCTTTCCGAAGAAGCATGATCATCCTGCCTTGAGAGTGAAGTAAGAAAGAACCTAAGAAGCGAACATGTTGGGGGAAGGCTACGTGGGATGGCAGCGCCGCGCTGATGACCTAGACTAGCATCTCGGTCTCCAGCTCCAGAATTCAGCGTCCAGATAAACTGGATCTTTGCCCCTGTATTTCTCGCGATGTGACCTCTAATAATCGAAGAGAAAGTACCCGAGGACCCATGCAGTTGCGCTGCGGCCAAGAGAAGGAAATGGGTTAGTGTACCATCCTCGCCGCTAAATCTTCTTGTCATCAATAGCTACGAACTCTCTCGGACTCTCTGCCAACCTCATTAGACACGGAAATGCCCGATTTAGAATATGAACCTGGCGGTCAGGACGTGAAGCAGAATAGTAACTTCTTGTCATTTCTGGTGTGTTTTGACAGAACCAGGGCTAAAGCAGAGGATATAATGCAGCACTAACCTACAAAGGACCACACACTGTCTAGTTTCATTTCTTCGATCTGAAATTCTCCATTCAACCCCCTTCTATCCTGACACAAATCCTACAACGAACCCTTAACAACACACTCTCTCCCCGGCAGACAAACATCCGTTCTATCCAAATGCTTGAACCACGGGCCCTGTGGCCCAGGAATCCACTTAACATACCCATAAAACTCCTCCTGGCCCTTCTTACTCTGGGGAAACTGGTCGTCTCCCCACTTCCCCTCAAAGTACAAATAGTTCACCGGGGTGTCTTCCACCGCTGGCACGAACTCCTTTCTCTCAACTTCATACGTGTAATAGTATGCTGAAAGGGTCGGATCCCATAGTTTACCTTGCTGCGTGCGATCGTAAACGATGTGGGCGGGGATGAGGCCATCTGGGAGAAGTGTGTTAGTAAGTGTGTGTGGGCTTGAGGTGAGTGGGTCAGGATTTATAGGAAATGGAATGCAAGGTACTGGTGTTGTGGAGATCGATATTACCAGCTACTACGTAGTTTGCGTGGGAGCCTTTGGCGCTGAAAGAGACTGGTCTTTTGCCGATTTTTTGGACAGCAGAGTAGGTAAAGGCGAAGCCGAATTCGTGCTGCGAGTACCAGACTGCAGTTGGGGTGCCGTTTTGAAAACGGACCATGTTGTGTTCCCTCAAGGGATGTTAGTGGTGGGAGGATGTTGAAAGGGAGGGTGGGGATGTACCAGTCTCCGAGATGGTTTCCAACTTGGTGGCCGAGTGCAGAAGGGCCGTCATTGAAAATGTACCAGTACATGTAGAAAGCGTCGATGATGCCGTTGCCTTTGTCCACGACGATTACGACGCAGCTTTTGGCATTGTCGGTTCGGTAGGTTACTGGATTGGGCTCTTGTCCATGCAAGAACTTAGGTAGAGTGGTGACATCCTCTTTGGAAGAGAGGAATATGTCTTCTCCGCCCAGCTTGTTCAACTCATTTAAATTGTCAAGCGTGAGAGGATCGGGACCACCAGCCACAGCAGTGAAGTTGATCGTGGGGTGAACGTTCTCCAGATGCTTGGCCATATCACTTGGACAGTAGACATCGTCTCGGTGGAGATAGACGTATGGAGCTGGTAACAATTGTCAGCTTGCTCAATGTCAAAGTGACAGGAGACTCACCATATTCAAGAACGTATCCTGGAATTGACGTATGATTCAAACTCTTCGCGAGTTGGTCTTGTAAAGCTATCGACTCTGGAGATATATTGACTGCCAGTGCCTCATTTACGTTCATATACGCAGAAACGGACAGACCCAGGACAAACACCACCAATACAACAAACATGAGCTGGCACGTGACAGTGTCAACATATAGACAGACTTGGGGGAATTTGGATTTCGCTTACCCAGACTTTGGAGATGTTCTCGACAAATTTTCGTATCCGGGGTGGAATCCATCTTGTGAGAATACTTTGCTGTTTGAAGATAGGTTTGGAGGTGTCCTCTCGGGGAAGGAAAGCGTCATTCTCCAGCTCTCCTAACTCGATGTCTTCGTGTGCATCATGATCATGCATGGTTGGATGCGACATGCAAGATCCACGTGCATCCAAGGTTGATTAAGAAGGATATGTCTATCGATTCGATATCCCCTGGTGATGGTGGTCGGCGAGGCAGATAAACAGGAGATCGTTGTCGCGCATCATAACACGGAAGACCCGGAAATGCCTGATGGTAATCGATGAGTGCCCCTTAAAGCTGCGTATGTATTTGTCGCTATAAGCTTGTGAATAGGCTCATGGTGAAAAGGCCATGGATGAAATGTGATCAAAACAGTTGGATAGAGGACAAATATGGTCCCCGTTTGAGGTTGACGAGTCGCTGAGTCAGCTTTGAGATCCACAAGCCAGACAAGGTACACTTCACGAAAAATGAACCCCATCTCATTTGATATGCCATCTCAGGGCATTCTAGGATGCGAAAATATGAAAGAAACGTCAATTGAATTGTAGAAGCGTACGGCTTGTGGGGGCCTGAAAATCTGACAGCACGCTAATCACGTGATATTCACCACCTCCTCAGGGCATCGTCTTCCAGCGAGGAAGCAGACACGATAAAGTCCTAACTGAATATAGATACTATTACCATACGAGAAAGACACAGCTTTGAATATGACCATCAGACTTGTTTATTGGCAATCGTAAAGTCAGCTTCCCGTAGTATATGAATCACGTCTGCTCCTCATGGGGTTTATGTCAGCCATAGAAAAGAGGAATATGTTTCTTCTCCATTGTAATATTCATACGCTGTTACTCGACAACTGCGGTTCCTCTATCTTGAGGCCAGTGGTTAATCTATGCAGGGAAGCACACCATCCTGGTCAACATGTGTTTCGCGAAGGGGGGGAAACTCTCGAAGTACAGCAATGATAAGATAAGATGAACTTGATTGAGAATGTTCAGAGGCAGTATATCTTAGTGGTGCTTATTATCGATCAGGTCAGTCGTGCTAGGCGTTGAATGTTTTGGATGAAGCAGTTCACGAGAGTCGTCCCTCGGCTGACAGGAGACAAATTCAACACAGCTCTCTCTTGGAGCAGTGCAGGTCCGGTACTCAACAACAAAGAAAACTGTAATGTTCAGTCCATTTCGGGTTGACGAGCTTGCGAAGCCTGATATTTGATATCTTTCGACAGAAGGGGCGCAGTCTCGCTTGGCAGCTTAAGCGAGAAAAGGGGGCATCGGATGACCGCGTGGCCTGCTTTACCCAGCATCGCAAGAGGAATTTTACGGCAGACGGTATGCGGGCCGGCCTTGCAGGGCATCGGTATTTCTGATACTGGTGAAGTGAATGGTGATAATCAAGTGCGTTTGGCTATCAATTGCTGTTGCATGCCTAGATGTAGTGTTGGCAATACTGGGGCGTACATTGGCATGCATGCGCCACCCAACTCTCGTCTATTCATCGAGTTACATCTTTATCATGACCCTGGGACAGGTGAGATTGCTTTTATTCTTGGCCTTAAGAACACTGATCCCCACATAACGTCGATTTTGGGTTTCAAGTCTCGAACAACCACTTTCGATTAATCAAGCCCCACATCTCAGATTGTTGACATCAACAGCTGTCTCCTCACCCACACAACATCGAGAAGCCATTTTGTCATCCTCAGAGGAGATTTGAGTTCGTTATGGCAGTTCTTACTATATTTGCGATTCTTGTCGGCGTAATTGTGTTTTTCATGCTCGTCGCTGGAGTGGTGGGCTTGGTAAAAGCACGCAACAACAGAGCAAGATATGGACCACGAGCAGCAGCGCCAGGAAGACCCAGGCAGACTCGGACGAAAGGAATTGCGCTGGCAGTTCTGGACAGCATTCCGATCGTCAAGTTTGGTGCTAAGAGCAAGCAGTCGGACGTCGTGCCGAAAGATGTCGAGTTGGGAGAAAGAAAGAGTACTGTGAACGAAGAGCCGACGATTGCGTCAGAGGCGAGAGCGACAAGGAAACTAGATGAGGATGAGCGAGTCGAGTCAATTAATATTGATCAGTCATCTAAGATCGCTTTCCAGGCTACTGTCGATGAAAATCAGTGTGCAATCTGTATATCAGACTTTGTCGCAGATGAAGAAGTTCGCGTCTTGCCCTGCAACCATCGTTACCATCCCGAGTGTATCGACCCTTGGCTTCTAAACATTTCCGGAACCTGTCCTATATGGTAAGCAAAGTTTGAGTTCTCCAAGTATACAAATGAGATCTAACACATCACAGTCGATACGATCTTCGACCTAACGATCCAAATGCAGAAAACACTGAAGACATTTCAATTCCAGAGCAGCCTTATGTTCCAGTCTCAAGCCCTATTGGCTATATCCGGGCTGAAGCTTTGCGACAAGAAGCTGCTCGTCTTGAAGCCTTTGCAAATCCAATAGATGCTACCACTCCTGCCGCCTCCCCAATAAGTCCGAGAGAAAGAATGTCTATTCGATCTCGTCTGAGAGAGATTCGTCAAGCGTCACATACTGGCCCAGAGTACGTTGCTGCACTGGGCAACTTTTACCGGGATCGTGAGAATCGGCGTCCGAGTATGGAAGCTCAACGTGTTGCTTTATGAATGTTTGATGGGAGTTAGGATCGGAGAGAGAGTTTCATTGGTTGCGGCGGGGGACAAGTTATTGTAACTGTATTTGATCCGAATTTATGGCTGATACGACGATTGGAGCTGGGGCGAATGGGCAAGATTCTTCCTGTACGATATTGAGAGGTGGACCTAAAACGCTACGTTGGGATGATCGTCTCGTTGGCGTCAGGGGCTGAAGATTGGTATATGACGAATTACTCGAACAAAATATTTTGAACAAACTTGCTTGTGGCATGCCAGCGTAGACTTTTGGTCAGTTACTTACAGCTTATCCAGGGGGGTTTGGCGTGGTAGATGTTAGCCATTTGTTTACCTCGCGCACAACGTGGGAAAAAACAATAGTTCATGACAGACAGCCTAAGAGAGTGTTAGAACTCTGATGTACTTGTGATGAACATGATGCATCCACATGGAAAGAGTATAGATTTTAATCCGGTCAGATTATAGATTCCACGGCAAGGTCTCCCTTTCAGACTCATGGTGCTCTGGGCATTTCACCCTCTCGATAGACCACATCAATTCCAAACTCATCTCTATCCTCCCAAAGAGCCTTCTCGTTGATGGCAGAAATCTTGCTGTAATCCTCATCTGCATGCATCTCTGCTTCCATAACAATACTATCGACGTCGTCGTATCTTGATTGCGGTTCGTCATGAGATACGAAAAATGTCTTCTTCCCACTTTCCCAGTCTCTTGCTATAACTGTAAGAATGCCATTCGGATCAAATTCAAAAGTGACTTCGACAATAAGTTCACCAGCTGGTCTAGGAGTGAGGTTTGTTACGTTGAAAGTTCCGAAGAGTTTGTTATTGACCACGAAAGGTCGCTCTCCTTCGAATATGTTGAACACAATCTTCGTCTGGTTGTCATTGATTGTAGTGACATTCACAGTCGATCGCTTTGGCATCACAGTGTTTCGAGGGATGATTTTCTCGTAAAGACCACCGTTCGTTTCGATACCCAGTGAAAGAACAGAGATATCGAAAGCACCTACCCAGTCTGAGCCTGAGCCGCTGGAAAAGATTTCGGCTTGGTGTGCTGCTCCCTGGAGAATGGCTTGATCGGACGGAACGAGCGAGTGAGCTTTCTTGCCGTCGAAGAAGGCTTCAAGGAATGGTTGCATTTTCGATACCTGGGCCGTATTGCCTGTGATGATCAAGTGTGAGATATTTGTTTTCTGGAGCTTTGCGTCTTTGAGAACGGCTCCTATATGTTCGACACTTTTGTCGAAAAGTGATTTGTGGAGAGTCTGAAGTTCGTTCTGCGTGATAGTGAGAGTCACGCCTTCATAGTCGATCATTGCTGATGATTGTGCCGACAATGCAACCTCAGCTTTCTTGACTTCTCTCTTCAAGCTCGCCAACACACCCAAGCTTGAATCCGGATCGACTTTGCTGGTGGTTTGAACCTTGCCAGATACATAATCCAAGAGAGTATCGTCGAATTTCTGGCCACATACCGACCTGTCATTGGCCATTCCCAGTATCTCGAAAACTCCCATCTCGATACTGGATACCGTGATATCCACATGATTCTCTCCCAAATTATACACGACAATGAACTCCTCGCAATCGTCATTTGTACAGTCCTGCCGATCGACATGATGGGCTATGGCCGCCGCTGTGGGCTCATTGACAAGTCGAAGAACTTCGAAACCTGCACTTACACCGGCATCTTTTGTTGCCTGGCGTTGGTTGTCGTTGAAGTACGCCGGCACTGTAAAGATAGTGGAATTGACGTCCTGGCCATAGTAGTTGCTTGCTACTGTTTTCAACTTCTTCAACACTTCCATATGGACTTCTTCAGGGGTGATGAACTTTTCTTGACCATTGAGGTGGACTTTGATGATGGGCTTGTCGTCTTGCATCACCACGTCGTATGGCAATGAATCGATGTCTCTTTGAAGCGAAGGGTCTGTTGAAAATCTGCGGCCTATGATTCGTCTGAGTGGACCATTAGCCAAGTATTTCATTTTGGAGTGAGGAAGGATGACCGTACCGGACATCAAAGATTGTATTCTTTGAAATACCCTCCGCTTGATCTTTTGCTTCCTGGCCAACCAAAATACCATGATCGGTATATGCGACATAATTTGGCATTTTTTGTTGGCCATCGATGTCGAAGACCTGTACAGAGCTATTGATGGGCGCTCCAACTCTAGAATATGATTCTCCAATCTCGATGGCAAGAACTAAACCAATCATAGAATATTAGGAGTTGTCCTAGTCAAGGGGCTTTGCGTGACAATTGGGGTAAGAGTTACCACATCCATTGATGTATTCATCATCGTATGCATTTCCACAGTATGGAGGTGGCTGTTGCTCGACTTCTTGTGCCTGCGTCATTTTTGAGACTTCGTAAGTGCTGGGCACAACTGTGTCATGCTGCACTTTCTGCCAGTTCAATATTAAAGCGGCAGATATTGCAACGAACACTCCGAGGACTGCAAGCAGTGTGTAACTCCTGGCTCCTGAGCTAACAGAATCATCAGTGGAACTGAGTTTCTTGCTAGCCAAAGGCTTTTGGGTTGTTGGGTTGTCCTGCGACTGGATCTTGATGGTTGTCATATTGTTGATAGATGTGCGGTGCCAGAGTTCGTATCTTCTAGTTTCATCCGAGTAATCAAAGCCCAGAGCATCCAACGTGGACTATTCCATCTTATCAATTTCCATTGCAGATGCGGCGTAGTAAATGAGAACTGTCCTCGCTTTCATTCTCGTATCAGAATCCAGCATGAGCGTGAGTCATCAGAAGGCATCCCTTGCGATACTTTGTTCTTCAACACCCATCAATATCTGGTATCAGAACGGAAGACAGATTTCATTTGCTTCCAGCAGTCATTTCTGGCTCCGTAAACGTTTTGTTGTCGACAGAATCCCCAAATTCAAGAGGTAGAGACGTTCAGGCACGGACGATGTGACGGGGATTTTCAGGAGGACATGCCTAAATATAGTTGGCGCCAGGGTGCTGTGGGGTTGAATTTAGCGAGCTTTACCCCGCTATGTCTCTGGACAGCCCTGAAAAAGACAACACTCGTCTAGCTGGAGCATGAACCGTGGAGAACAAAAAAAAACCTAAGAAAATATAAAACAAACATAACTTAATTGTCTACAACGAGCCCAATTTTTCACTTCGGTAACCCCACACCCGAAAATTCTTCACAAATCCTTAAGAACTCCTCTTGGACACCTTCATCATTGGCTCGAGGATGAGGCCCTTCTCTACCACCTTGAGCCGCGTAGTATTTCCCACTCCCAATATCTTTCTGGTCACCAGTAGTAAGCCATGATAACATATCGTCCGCCTTCTTCAAAGAATCTGGTGCTGAAGCACCACCCATCTTAGTCTTCACCCAACCTGGTGAAACTGCGTTGCTAGACACTTCAGGCCAGTGTCGTGCAACTGCCAGCGCGAGAATGAGATCCATCAATCTATTACAAAGTCAGCACCTATCGCATTTCACAGAATGTCAGAATTCACGCTGGAGTACTCACTTTGAATCACCATAAGCCTGAAACCCATCCCACTTTTTCTCCTTCCACCCTACATCCACCAAACTCACATCCCCGCCCCTATGCAGTCCAGAACTAACATAAACCAACCTCTTCGGTCTGCAAGTCAGAATATACGGCGCCAACACATTCACTGCAAAAAGCTGAGCAATCCCATCGTCCGTCTTCCTAAATCCCGGTCCATATCCAACCCCAGCATTATGCACAACGGCATCAAAGACACCCGATTTGTTAGCTTCGGCTGCGAGCTGTTTTGTTTGAGATATACTGCTGAGATCCGCTATGAGGATATTAGATGCGCCGGGTGTTTTTGAGAGGGTTTCTTTGGCGCGCTCGGCGCTGCGGGCGTGCAGGGTCACGCTGTGGCCTTGGGAGATAAGGGATTTGGCGAGGTTGTGGCCGATGCCGTCTGAGGAACCGGTGATGAATATGCGTGCCATCTTGGTTTTGTGGGATTTATTGGGATTTGATGGTTTGGTATTGCTGTCTTTAAGAGGATGTTGATGCGGGGTATATATACATTCTGCTCGGCGATTATTTCGGCTGCACATAATTAAATCCGACGCTTCTACTGTGAGGCCGATCATGATATATTGAGTGCCCTGGGCAATGACCCACAGACTATGATCTACTTGGCCAAAAATGCAGCTTCCTGTAATATCCGTGGAGATGGATCGCGGTTTGCCGTTGTTTCGTAACCCTGACATTGATATCTCAAGTCAAAGGACAGCTTTCTCCATGACGTACAGAATATATTACGCAGAAACACGAAGTACCACTGTAAAGCATTTACATGATTCTCTCATATATCCGATTATTAGATATGTTAATACTTGTTCATCTTCTGTCCAGATTTCCAGCTCCAGAAATAGCGTAAGCGAGGCGTTTCTTTCGCTTGCTTCTTGTGTCTTGACTATTGACTTCTTCCATTCTCATGTCGCCAAGAGCTGCAGCCTTTTTACATCCAAAGCCAGAGTTATAAATTTATCTACTCTGATCTCACTTTTTCCCAGCACCTTCCAGCATTAAACCTCTGGAGAAAGCACCACTTTTAACTGCCCGAATCTCGAATGCAGCGCAGAACCTCATTACTATCATCACGTCCAAACCCAAGCCAAATCAGCATTCGCTAAGATTTGCGGTATATACGACTCATCTACAATAGCTGCTTTACTTGAATATTAAGCTCAGCGATATTTTCCAGACTGCTGCACAGTGAATCTACCTACAGTACCCTGTCTTCCTTGCCATCCCTGAGTCTCAACAATACATCTTGTAGGTCTTGTCTAGAAGGACGTTTTGTACGAGTAGCACGAAAATATTGCAAAGACAGAATACAAGAAAACAAATCCAGTCGAATCCAGAGACAGTAGTCTCTTAGGCACGAAGATAAAACGAGATACACAAGTGTAGAAAGCCAAGTCTTCAGAACCAACACCTTAAATTAAATCTTTGCTTTAGAGCTAAAGGGTATTGTCGGAGTAGCACTGAACCCCACCCATCTCGCAGCGCTCTGGGAAGTGTCTATGTACGTCTGGCCTAACTAGCCTACTGCTCTGCCGAATGCCTGACTTTGTCACTTTGCGCGTCTGGAGGCGGTAGCTGGTGTTTGTTTCGTGCTACAGAGCAATTGCGGCCAGAGGCATGGAGCTTGCGTCGCTCTTAACGACTGCGCTTTCATCGCGAAGTCCAGCTTGTTCTTCAGCCTCCGTTCTGCAGCTTCTCCAATAATGCCTGCTTCTCCTTGATTTCTTTCTTCATGTCCTCTGTCAGCTGGTTGACTTTCACCAGCGCAGTCTCTAATTTCTTCAACTCCAACTTCTCCGTCTCACGACTATACGGCTGTTCCGGCCTCGTCGTCAACGGAATAGTCGCCGTCCGTTCACCCACACTCCCTACCATACCACCCTTCATGACCCTCGTGCCTTTTCCCCCACCACCCTTGACCCTCTCCATCGGACTCGTCAAAATATCAAAGAAATTCTCGTAAGGTTCGTTGAACAGCTGCTCTTCGTATTGCCAAGCGTTGATAGAGGGCGCGAGGCGCATCTTCTCTTTCTCTTCGTCGGTGCCGTAGGGGTGGAGTGTAAGGTGGTGGTAGAGGGTTTGTGGTTTCTCGAGGGACTCGGGCGTGTAGTAGAGTTTTATTGTGATTTCGAATTCTCCCCAGCCGGTTTCGTGGACTTCGAAGGGGTCGCCGGGCTGGACGTCGTCGACCACTGCACAGTGACCGCATTAGCATTTTCGTCTCATCACTCCACTAATCACCGCGCCACCACAACTCAATGCCACGAGAATGGAGGAAGGACTCACTTCTCATTGGATTCGGAATTGACTCGTGCAGCTTGAACTGCACTTTCTTGCACCAGTATGTGATATCCGTATCATCAACGCCCTTCACAAAAACCGTCCAGGCATGCGTATGATCCGCAGGCGTGCCCGCTGGCTTTGGGAATTCGTCGCTGAACTTCTTCGCCGTCGTGCCATAAATGAACGGTCTGTATATCTGGACGCCCTTGACGCGCTTCTGAGTATTGGGTGGTGCCATATTGCCTGCTTCCGCGTCGCGCTTCTTCTGGCTGGGGATGATTATTCTGGTGTTTCTTGTGCCGTTGCGATTCTTTGGCGCGGTCATCGTGCCTGAGTGCTGGGCGCTCAGGGTGTGTCGATAAGGTTTAGCGGCGGGGTCTAGTGCTGCACAGTGGTCAGTGCTGAGAAAGATCAAGTTGATGTCGTCAGGCGATGGATGGATCGGAAGGTTGTTGGGGATAGCTTCATAAACATACAATCGAAGAGATGTCTGCTACGAAGAAGCTTGTTGTTTGTGGTGGAAATGGATTCTTGGGGTCGAGGATATGTAAATCGGCAGTCGCGAGGGGATGGGATGTGACTTCAATCAGGCAAGTAGCTCCTTTCACTCTCTGGGTTCACTATCCAGTTTCACTCTTCAGCTTTGAAAGGCGAACAGCATTGCATTGTCCTTGTTACTGACAATTACTTACAGTCGTTCCGGCGAACCAACATGGTCCTCAGTCACCGCATCATCAACTCCCCCGTCATGGGCTCACAAAGTAACCTGGGAACGCGCCGACATCCTCAAGCCCAAAACATACGCCCCTCTCCTCAAAAACGCAGACTACGTCGTCCACAGCATGGGGATACTTCTCGAAGCCGACTACAAAGGTGTAATCTCCGGCAAAGAGTCTCCAATCAGCGGTCTCCAGCGCGCATTCTCATCCACCAAAGCCGGATCACAGAATCCCTTGACCAGGAAAGCAGACGAAGATTTGCAGCCGCAGGAGAAGGATGGACAATTGACGTACGAGCTTATGAATAGGGACTCGGCTATCACGTTGGCGCAGGAGGCAAATAAGGAGAAGGTTCCAGCATTTGTGTATATCAGTGCTGCGGGTGGTGCGCCGGTCTTGCCTGCGAGGTATATTCAGACCAAACGACAGGCGGAGAGTACGATAAGTAGCGAGTTTCCTACTATGAGGAGCATTTTCATACGACCGGGTTTCTTGTATGACAGCTCACGGTCGTTTACGGTGCCATTGGCGGCCATGACTGGGCTAGGTGCGGCGTTCAATGGTCTCACGGGAGGGATCTTTGGAGGACTTATGGGTGCTGCGGGTGTCAAGCCTTTGAAGGCAGATCTGGTCGCCGATGCAGTGGTTGAGGCTCTGGGCGATGATACGACTAAGGGCCCCGTCGAATTGAAGGAGATTGAGGAACTTGCTCAGAAGGCCTGGAGGAAAGGTATGCTCTGAAGGAGCAGATAATGGATGATTGAGGCTCATAGCCTTGTATTGTACTATATTTGGTGTACAGACCCAGCTCTATGGTATCACGCCACCCAATCGACGACAATTTATATCATTGTTCCACGCTCAAAACTGTCCCTAATTTCTGCGGTGTACTAGAAGAAGTTAGTACGAGATACATCCATAGTTGAAAGAAAAACATACCTTGTTGTAAAACCTGTTCAACTTTTGGTTGAACTGCTTATTCTTGTCGTTGATATACGTGACATCACCCTCATCACCATTTGCACCCATCCTCTCTCTCCTCTTCTTCAACCTTGCTTCTTCAGCTTCCGTCAAGTCTTTCACTAGCCTGTCCACAGCATCCTTTGGCGGTTTATGTTCGACAAACCCAGTAGAATCTGCAGTTGAATAGAATGTGCCATCCTTATCCACAGCAACTAGCTCGCCGTCCTCCGTCTCTACAATCTCCAAACCACCACTCGCAGCAGCTTTCTCTATTGCTTCATTCTTCTGCTTTTCGTAGTAGTCCATATCCACTTTCAGATCTCGTATCTGTCGTTTGTAGACTTTCCTGCTGTCCTGTCGGTAATCCTGGAATGCCTGGTCGTCTCTATGTGCATCCTTCTTCTTGATGCGCTTATCCCACCGTTCACTCTCTTCGATCGTCCAATCCCAGGCTCTCTTCCGCTCAAAATCACCCCCTGAAATCTCTGTATCTGCCTTCAGTAGGTTGTGAGAAGCTATCGCAGACTTCCGGTTCAGAGATGTAAGAAGGTTCGGATCGGTGGCTAGGCGTTGCGATTCTAGTGTTGCTTCCTTCAAGTTCTTCTGTGCTCCAGTTTTGGCGCGTGCTTGCAGGGCCTTGAATCTTTCCATGCGCTCCTTTGCCTTTGCCGCCGCATCAGATGTTGACGTGGAAGGGCCTGCCTGTGATTCCTCTACAACTGGTGTGTCTTGAACAGGCGCCGATACTTCTTCCGATGCCGTGCTGGTCTCGAGAGCTTTCGAGGAGGAAGGGGCCTCGTCCACAGCTTCGGCTGTCGCTCTAGTCTTGCGTTTCTTTGCTGGAGGCATTTTATGTCTGTATTGGTGGGTGAGTTGCTGTGCGTGGGGAAATGGTGCGATGATAGAAGTACCTAGGTAGGGCCCTGGGTTTTGACGGAAACTCGTTTTGGTGACGCCAAACCTTAATTTCCTAGCACATCTGCTGACTAAGATTTCAATATCAGAAGCTGGGGACGCGGAAACTCGATCCAAATTGTCAACAAGCACGCATCATACCCAGCATGCATCATCAATCACGATAAAATTATACCAGATGAGGGGCAAGCAATCAATATGTCTCTTCTGCAAACATGCGGCCCATGTGCGAAGTCGAATCAATTTTCCCAAGCGACTTGCTTCAGTCCCCAGCGCTGAGCCATATGTCCTTCCCCGGTTAGTCATAGATCTGGATGCGGCAGACAGCACGTTCGTTCGAAAGGTGGATAATGCACCGGTACCAGAGGATTCTCGAGAGAAACCACGCCGGCGTCGAGACTCTTTCGAGGAGGAAAAAGTGGTGAAGCGGACTTCACGACCAAAGGCGCCTCTCCGACCACTCAAGGTCCAGCCCATAGATCTATGGGCATATGGTCTGCTAGGAGTTACCGACTTTACTGAGCATCCTAACAGTCAAAATTTACGGCACATCGTCTCCAATAGAGCAATATTTTCCGTGGACAGCGCAGATACTGTCGTCAAAGAGATCTTGAGCGCCTTTTACATTGATCCGTCGACGAATCTTCAACGAGCTGGGTACTACGAGACGAAAGAGCCAGCTATTGCCTATCAGATCCGGAAGGTTAATTCTTTTCCCAAGTTACGCCGCATCATCTCGTTTTTATCCTCCACCACGGCCGGGTGCCGCTTTCTCGCTGCGAACGGAGTATTCATCCTAGCTGCCATCAGAGAGGCTAGAAAGGCCCAGAATTGGACACAATCTGCGGAAAGGGTCCCAACAGTGGCAGTATTAGACCTATTCAACAATCTGCAAATAAATCTGGAGTCGAAGGGTTTATTGCTGGGACCAGAACTGTGCAATGCCGCCCTCTATTATGCTTCGAAATCTTACAACATCGCTGCTGTGAAGAAATACCTGGAGCTTTTACGAACAAACAACTATGCGCCTGATTGGAGGGCTCGAAAGGCCCTTCTGTCAATCATTTCGGGTCTAATTAATGCTGAGAACGCCTTGAGTGGAGAGCAGAGCAGGAGAGAGACAATGGAGCTCATCACAGGCTGGCCAGGCGGCCTTGCCCCTAAAGGAGGGGAGCTCAGGTCAACTTCCTTCGCGTATTTATCATATCTCAACACCAAAGCAGACATCGTTCACACCATGTACCCCGCCTACATTCTTGGGCTCGGAGAGTTGGGTTTATCTGGACAAATTTATGCCGAATTCATGGCCGAAGATCCAAGACGAATGGACCATGTACTCCTAGGCGACGAGCACTTGCGATTTCGTGCTCAGATGTTTGCAATTGCACTTCTACTCGCCAAAGATGAGCAGCTTGCCCTTCAAGTCCTTGAATCGGTTCCTGCTAGCCACAAGGATGCCACTTGCCGCGAGGATAAGAACACGCTGCGAACCTGGCGCCCGAACAGTAGTCCAATAACCTCCAAACAATTCACCCCTACTCCGAAAAGCAGCAATGTGTGGCTGCTGACCCTTCTCCGCGATCACTACAGTTTCCACCTCTGCAGGCCAACACCACAGCTGAAGGAGCATCTCGCGAGGACTTTAGTTCAGCTGCCACATGACCCGCATGTTGTGCTAATGACACTTAAAAGTCTTCTCTTGCTGAATCTGGATCTCCCGCGTCTTCCGATAGGCTCTGCAAAAGATGCCAGAAAGTACATTACTTGGGCTGAAGTGGACGGAGAGGAAGGCATACAACTTTTTGCTGGCGAGAAATCGTACCGTGTCGAGGGAGATTCGGGAGCTCCAACATTCTGAGGCCGAGGCGCTTAGATTTCATCTGCTCAAGTTCAGTGAGCAGTTCTGTAATATATTTGTGGTGATACAATAAGATACCCTATAAGCTCGAGCCTTCTTCCACATGTCTTGTTCATTCCTCATTTTCGATGTCTGGTTATATTCTGTTGCGTTGTGCTTTTGGAGTTGTGCTTAAAGTGAGGGGGACTGAGCTCTTTATCAAGTCACATAAGCAGTCTCACTTGACCAAATCTATGTTACATCATGATGTATTCAATAAAAGCACTGAGACAGCTTGCTTCCACAGTCGACGAGCGCCCAGACCTAGACTCGGACAATGCTGTCATCGAAGTTGTACACGTTATCTCGGCTGAAATACATTCGACCGACAATTCAAGGACTGAAGGATTTCACATCAACCTTTACATCTCGCAGTAACCATTTTCATTTGCTCCTGCGCCGGCAATTGAAGACCGCGGGTGGCTCGCCAAAGACAGCTCATCAAGAAAAGTCAATCGGCTATATGAGACATAAATCCCGGACGACTTTTCTGCAAGATGTGAAGATGGTTGCTTTGTCACGCCGTTGTTGGCATGACCACCATTACGTCTGTTGACATGTGTAAGGGAGGAAACATTTGAATCTGCTCGACCGATTGTATGTGTCTCCGCACGCAAGAAGTAGTTCCTCCAAGCATGAGAGCATTCAATTATCCAAAGTCCATTTTCATATGCTATTAACATTTGAATAATATGTCTCATGTCATCATAAATACTTGTCACCGATCCTAGGCCTTTCCACCTTCTCGCTGCTAAAACAGCAATGGCCCGGGGTCCCATCTTCTGCTTCATGCCTAACCGCCCCCCACATAACCCGTCTCTTCTCAGCGCCCTCATCCTTCTCCCTATGACAGGCCGCAGAAATTGCCAGACTATTATTCCCCACCAATACACTGCCATCCGTTAACTTCCTAAACCCATTCAAGATTACCACGATTACCATGGTGACGCCGAAGAGTAGAGCGATGAGGATGGAGAGCGGGTTGTACCCGACATTCATGTACGAGATTGGCTCAGGTTCGCCGCGCGTGTTGAGGATTTCCGTACGAGACACGAAGAGCGATTGCGAGACTAGCCAATGCAGGACGGCGCTTGCTACGGCGAGAGGGAGGGCATAAGTCCAGGGTAGAGAGAGCCAGTATGTGGATCTTTGCTCGCCTCTGGGGTCTGTGGTTCTCAGTGCTTTCCTGTGGACTGTGAAGCGACTCCATTCATCGGCTGAGACCATAGACGTATAGATGGTGTTATAGGCGAAATATAAACAGGAAACAATGACTTGCGGCAAGTTAGCAACAGCGACCATAGCTATCAGGATTCTGTTCGAGTCGAAGTCCGCGGCTGTCAGGTAGGTTGTGCCATCCGAGAACATATTGAGCGTAGCGTATTCGCTGTAGGTCCCAAATCCTACATCGTACGGAGATGTGTATTCTCCCGAAGCATAGCCTAGAAACGAGGCATTGCCATAGGTTAAGAGTTTGCCGGTGATCGAGATAGCGAGGATACAGAAGAAGAGCGTAACGAGCCAACGTATCCAGGACGGTGCTTGCCACCAGCGAAGTTTGTATGGGTGGTAAGGCGCCGCTACTCCACTGCTACCCACCTTGAACTGTCGTGCTTGGCCGCGGGAGAGAAATGGTCGGTTGATCGTCACTGGATCAGGAATCTCGAGGAACGAGGATATGGCGTCGCCGATCGTAGCAAGAACTGTGTCGACGTGTGTGGTGAGGATATATACGATACAAACAACCTTCGTCACGTTTGCGAGAAGAACTGCGAGCATGATTACCAGACTGTATTGCAGCTGGCACATACCTGTGAGGTGGGTTGGCTCAGCGAGGCAATAGTCGATAGGCCACTCTTCGCCGAGTACAAACTTCCAATTCTCTTCCTTGGTGCCCTTGAGACGAGCCAGACTCCAAGAGTCTGCTGATTTCTTTGCCATCTGCTTGTAGTTGCATTTATTATTGTTAGCAGCAAGGTAACTTGGGTCGCAGATCCAGCGGTTGCCTGTGAAGGTCGAGACGAATTGCTCGTATTTGAAGGACATGAGGACTGTGTTATTCGTGGTCGCGGGTTTCTCCTTCGTCACAGCCAGTAGGTTTGCGTAGCCTTTCATCAGCGCACTTCCAGGTCCATAGGCAGTGATGCAAGCTGCATTGTCGAGCCTCGTGAGTGAACCATCAATTGCATTTGCTTGTAATGCTTGTGAAATGTTGCACATGTCGTTTGACCACCAATAGTTATCAGAAATGGTCTGATTCCAGTAGTTCAGTCTTGTGGAATTTAAAGGTTTGATCTGGTTGTAATCTGTGGTTGATGTGGGCTTCCGACCGAATCCTACTGTGGCGTTTTGATTACAGTCTACTGTAGCATTGGTTAAGAAGTCGGGTGTGACCACATAAACATTGTAATCAAGACGTTGGGTCGTGGTGAATACTGCTGAGTTCCATCTTGGCAAGTGTTAGATGTATTCTGCCAGAACAAAACGCCGAACAAATTGGAAATAGCAAGGAGTATGAAGTGTAGATTCATACTTACAAGAAATGCAACGGCAAAGTTGAGACGACCAGTAATGTAAATAAGATTTTCTTCTTCCAGCCGTGCAAATTCCTGAAACTCGGTAATCCGACGTCCATATATTTCCCCATTGCATGTGCCACGTCAACTTCACTCCGCGTTGGAGAACTCAGACATTGCATCGTGTAGTTGCTGGCCCCTAGTAATAGAGTTCCCATTACGTTAATCGCAACATGTATCCAAGAATCAGCCTTGTGTACCGTACCACATTCTCCAGTATATAGAGTTCCAAGCTTCATCCCACTCTTAGATGTCGCTCCTGCCCATATCGTGAAGATCAAATTGATTAAAAGCACAGTTCCAGCACTCGTAGCTCCGAGAAACACCCCCCCTCGCCAACCACTATATTTGACTGGCTTCCTAGAAGGATCGATCGCGCGTTCGTAGGAGATGTGAGAGGCATAATTGCCCGATCGGAGGAAGAAGCGCAAGAATCTGTGGAAGCCATTCTTCACTGCTGGCCGGGATTTGCTCGTGAAAGTTCCAGATATAGTCGACCGATCTGGTATTCGTCTAATGTTTCTGTAAAATGTCAATTCGAATCCTCGCTTCTGTTAGGTCTTCGCAGATAGTGCTAGCGGTGTCGTACTCCTTGAATGTCCCTGCCCGCTTTCCATCACCGATTTCTGGATCTTTGTCCCACCCAGACGAATATCCTGGAGGACATTGGGGACCTCTTTGTGACCCAATGTCCGAAGAATTGACGTCTCGAAGCTGGAATCCCTCGTACGAATCGTCATTTCGCATTGATTCTGGTACGCTGGGTGACCTTGGAATGTACACATAATCATCTAACAAGTGAAGCTGATCTTGAGCGTCTCTCCTCCACATATTTTATGTTCGGAATCGCAATAGCACTCATTCAATGCAAGACCCATTCGCAAGTAACACAGCAGTTCCAGTAGCGGCCGTGAGAAGACTTTACAGGTGTTAAGAACGATCAAATGACACCGCAAGAAGCAGTTGCAGTGAATCCTTAAATAAGCTTACAGAGGAGAGACCGTGGCTATGTAGAGAGGCGCACACGCGAGTTGGATTCTTTCCGCGGATCGAAGCTCTAATCAAAGGTTCTTGGCGCTCAACTGATGAAACGAGAGGGCTCATTCCTTCATTGAGACCGGGAAAGAATGAAGGAAGACATCCTGACAGAAAGCGCCGCGGTGGAGGCTGGAGGCAGCAAACCCACTGAAGGAGCTCTGTGGCAGACATGATCGTCGGTGCTGTGCCGCTCAATAGGCTTAAATTGGGCATATCTTGGCTGGTCATTGACGTAAATAGATCGCTGCGGTTTCAAGAAGGGACTCTAAGAGTATTAATTCATCGTTCCGAAAATGAGGATATAAATCTTGGAAAAGTCGGAGTTGATGTCCAGGCGCGGTTTACGTTCGGTCATTTTCGAGTGTCCAATGCCGTTGTGTCGTGGCTTTCACTGCCCGTGTGGTCCACCAAACAGCCAATGCGTGAGCGATCTTGGCAACGACGACCCCATCTCAGGTCAGCAAGGTGTCTTGCCAAGTTATTATCGATATCGCGAACATATCACTCCACAAATATGATTGATGAAGTCGGACATTGAGACGGGATTTTTTATACTTATCTTGATTACTCAGCTATGTATTCAGGCAAGATCCTGCTTTGTGCCGAGTTGTTGACGGGCACAAAACAGTGTCCTAAGGTGTCTCCCCGGCCTCTCAATGGATCTTTCCAAATGTTTGGGATCCAAGCTCTGTACATATAGAGCTCCAGTTTACATGCTCAGAACACGTTAATTCAATCTTCTCTTGTGTCTGCGATCTGAAAGCCCAGCTAGTCTCTCATTTCCACTCGAGCCTACCTCGAACAGAGGTGGACCACAAGGACACAACTGATAACAAAACTTGGAAGCGTCAAATGAAGCTGGAAATTCTCTACTAAGCAAGCTTGAACCAAAAGGTGCATTTATTCTGCCGTTGAAACATTGCCGATAGCTAGCCGAGACTGTTTACTTTGGCTCGGTAAATCGGGCAGGTCAACATTGGCCAAAAATCTGTCAAGCAGTGGCACCGATTGTCATTCATTTCAATCCCGTTCGAATTTTGTTGACTATGAGACACTTTCATCTGTTGTCAATACAATTTAAACATGTCGATTGATCGCATCTATGGTCAAATGAGGCGCACCATAAGCTGCTGCAGCGAGAAGTTCCGCTGCAGTCCTCCACTCGTGGTAGCCTGATCACAATTCTTCATAATCACTTCAGTGGCCTTCTCATCAAGTCTGGTACTCAGAATGGACGTTGTTCTACACTGGATCTGTACACACTCTAGCCCCGAGTGTGGTGATTGCCAGATGTTGCACCTTGTTGCCGCATTTATCATAGTGTCAATCACTTCTTGAGCCTGTTTTAGCCACAATATGAGAACAAATTTGATTCAGATTCGTCGAATATGAGTGGTAACTGGTAGCATATGATAGCATAAGGTCGAAGGAGCCAGAGTGATGAGCCCGGGAGGACTCATCTGATACGGCGAACATCGCTTTCGCTTAATGGCACTTAGCAAATTCATGAAAGTCATGTCATCCAAAGTTCACGTTGTGCAAACTTCACTGCGAGATGTACGGAAGGAACTTTCTAGCTTTCGATCTGCTCTCTGCTGGTCCCGAAAACGAGGAACGCTGACGTGCAGCAGGTCTCGCGATTAGCGTACAGGGGGTCCTGTCGCGTCCTGTACAGACGCCACGCCACGCACGTCGAACCAAAATCTTGTCGCTCATGAGGCATCACATCCTGCAGCGCTTCATCGTGTTAACATGCGCCTGATATGCATGCGGGTGGATTCAGGTTGACGCACGACTTTCACGGGCTAGGCTGATGGAATATGCCCCGCACCCAAAGCACAGGACATATCTACAAACAGCTTTCTGCATGTTATCGAGTTCTGCAACTTCCTTTCAGGGATGGAATTGGGTATCAACGAGTGTTGTTGTCCAAATTTATTTATATGTTCTGCATGGCAGATTGTGGATTGGCTACACGTGGCACGACTCCCGAGGAACAGACAGTTGCCTACCACCGAAGTCGGTATAATCGGGGGTAAAGTCCGTTCCAACATCTCTTTTGCCGAGTTCAGCCCAATGATAGAAGAATTTATCGTGGATTGGTTCGCAAGAGCAACCTCTCCGACAGTGGCGTGAGGTCGAAGTCTGATGATCAGTTTTGCTGACAGGTGTGGTGGGACGACGCACGAAGTTTGAGCTTTAGGCTGATCTTCCCAAAGGAATACGGAAATTGTTGCTCTTACGGCTCGGACCGCAAAACTGGTCAAACTGATACATTCTCGATCGATGTAACTTCTGACTAGTCATCTCGCTTAACTTTGGCTCTGCAATCAGCGATTCATCTTGGTGTCGATTACGCCCGAGTACTTAAAGAAGTAGCTCCTAAGCATCACCGGGGAGATGTTGGCTGCCACATCGTGCCTTGTGGTGGCGCACGATTGCGACCTTTCTATCGGAACCGATGTCTTAAAAGCCCGGGGTCTGTCCAGATGATCATGCATGTTGGACGGCACGCATGTGGGGGGCATGCATTCTGCATATTCGTGCTGATAGGGGTGGCAGGCCACAGTCCCAATCATCTGTCACCATGCGGGCATATACCTCGCTGCTTTATTCTGGACTTTTCATTAACTGGATTTAAGAATTGACTTCAGCCTTGAGTGGCAGTCTTACCATCTTTCTGAACCTTCAGGTCGCGATAACGGCCTTCCTTCCAGTGCTCCTCACTATGAGGTCATTACTCATGACTGCTTCCTTCTTATCCGTCAGTTCATTTGCTTCCAAGAAAACCTAATATTAAGCGGGGCTGTGTTGACTGGGACGAAAATGTTCATAGATGCCTTTGAACGTCGAGCGACGGTCAACATGAATGACCGCTACCAATTGACAGCTACTTCTTCCATGAGAAGCTTCGGTGATCTGAGCTTCTAATTGTGTTGGTGAATATCGAGGTGTTTTCTCTCATCATATCGCTCCATCTCTGAATTCGCCTGTGATTGTGGAGGGGAAGGTGGGATTAGTGGCCCAGAGCACAAGGAGCGAGAGTCAGTTGTTGGCTCGTAAACCCTCCTCTCTCGTTCCGCATCTTGTTCGCGTAAGTTGACTGCATCAAAAGTCATGGACCTTTCTGATGGTTGGCCTGTCCCATACTCCTGGTTATTTTCATTCTGCTTTGGTGGTTTTGTGATGGTCTTGTATTGTGCCTCGGTTCGTATCTGTTGTATGCTGCTCGCGAAACTGGACTTCTCGTGACCGAATCGAACATTTGCAGCTCCGTCTAGCTCCCAGTAAGCTATGACAAGTTGTGACCAGTTCGAAGGTGCGGGTTTGTGCTCTGCTGCCAGTTGAGTTTTCACAATACTATACAGTGATGTCGCCTCCAGGTGAGATTCAAGTATATTGCCCTCCAGCCACTTGTTGATTCTGTCTCTTTTCGACTTGAAGTTAAGGACTAGATGAGGGTACAGTTCAAGGCTCGAATAGCTTCTCTCGGGAAGTGGTTGCGGCGGTCCTTGTATGTTATCTTCTGGCAAGCCATCCAAGGACCCATTGATGTCACCAACGTCAGAACCAGTTGAGTCATCTCCTATTTCTGCTGTAATACCTTCCAGACCTGGTAGTATGATGTCCCGGGCCCTTAACTCTGCATCGTGAGGAGACGATTCGTCGACTAGAGGCTGTAGCAGAAGACTCGATGTCGAGGCGACGGATCCTGATATTCGATGCGGAATAATCATTCGACCTATGTTTGGAGTGCTTTCGTCCTTGTCTTCCTTGCTTGTCCCAGTCAAGGAGCCATATTGACTTGTGACATCGCTTGAAGCAGCCGATGGGTAGGTATGAGCAACTGAAAATTCGCGATTAAACTCGTTGTATAGCCGTTCTTCGGCTTGCCGTAGTATATAGATTTGACCCTCCCAGCATTGTTCTGCCTCAGTTCCCTCTTGTTCAAGAGGACCTAAATCGTCCCTGGCACTTTGACATGAAAGAGCAAGTCTTTGTAACTCTTCAAATCCCGCTAGATTTCCACTTGCCGAGAGTTTTTGGATTTCACCCATAAACTTTCCATCCCAGATCCAAACTTCTTGCCGTTTGAAGGCCGCCTCACGCCTCTTTTGGCGAGCTTCAATTCGAGCACTGGTGGCTTCCCGCTGTAAACTTGAAATTTTTTGCAGCGCATGCATCAAGTCGGCGAAGCGAAGTCCATCCATTTCTCCCACCGACGTTTCTTTTCTCAAGTCGTGTCCGTTTTTTGTAACAGATGATCCTCGCCTCATTCCATCATGGTTGTCGTTCTCGTACCTCTTCGTGTTCGAAAGCATGGATCCCATCCCCAGTGGGAGGGTCTTTGCTTTAAAATTCCGGAGATCTGCTGTAAGGTTCGAACAAGTCGATCTAAGCTGTGTCCCTGTCTGATGTCAGTTTATCCGACATATTAGGTCTCGTTCGACTAGGTAGCTTCTCGCTACCTTGAGAGAATAGAGAATCACAGATCTTATGGATGGTCAGCTACGGAGAGCTTCAAACCTGATCGGAAGACTTCCCTTTTTGGTTCGGATTGTGGAGGGTTGTTAACAGCATTCATGGGTTTGTCGACGGTTGTTGGTTCCTGAGAATTGGAAATGTAAGGCATATCACGACCTGCCAATGCAACAATAATTTACTTTTCACCACGGAGAGATTCTTGATTCAGCCGTGCGACCTAGAAACGGAACGAGACGGTTGTCAGCGGGACGCGTGGGGTGGTAATAAATCTGGCCTAATCGTCGAGCGAAGCAAGCCGAGCGCTTCCTACCAGTAAAAGCAGCAAGGTATTCAGCCAACAACATGTCTCGAGAACTAGGATTATTATTTGCCAACGTACCCAACCTGAAATGGATACCACCATTGGTAATTATGGACCACCATTTTACCACGTCTGCAACCATTACAGCCCGAGAAAATGGCCGCTGTGGTGCAAGTGGAACCTCAAAGCAAAATCATGTCAAGTCCACCAATCGAACAAATGGCAACAGGATGCTGCAGAAGATCTCTAAGTGAACAAATTAATCAAAGGAAACTTGCTCTGCTGGCTAATGAACTTCTGGGGCTGCGGCTCCAAGAGATATGGGTTGTTTCTACAATAGGAAACGGGCATAAAAGCACTATGAGTCCGCAGAAGGGGTGAAAACGCATACTTGCTGGTCATGGTATTCATACATCATTTCAGCGCCTAAAATGGCTTCTTACAATGCGCCCAGTAGTTCCACTGACAAATCATCATCTTGGTCAGATTGGACTTGGGATCAACGTGGTTTCTGGGTGTCTAGTCGATATGGCCCATCTGGGACGGTGGAGTATGATTACAAGTTCTCCGAAACACCACAAACTTCCAAGCAAGATCAAGCAACGCCTCGAACTGCAGATACAGATTACATCAAGCATCCAGAAAATTTGAATTTCTCCTACGAAAGCTTTGATGCAGGCAGTTACGCTACACCAGAAGATCAAGTCCAGGCTAGATACACGACCAATTTCAGTAGCTCCATTCAATCCCAGAGCGCCTCAAGCTATCGGCACACACCTTCATCTTATGCCAAAGATGATAACGAATATGCTACTTCATCAGTCAGGCAAGAGTGGAGTGCGAGTGGCGGATCTAACACAGCAAGCCAACCAAGCCAAAATTATGGCACAGCAGATCTTCCTACTCGACTGACGGGATTGAACATCAACAAGACAACTCCTTTTCAGCAACAAAGTACACCAACTCTATGTATTTGTCCAGAAATTTGATACTGATAGGTATTAGGCTACGCTTTGCCAGGGAACTATCAACCAAACACTGGGAAGTCAACAAGTAGAGCTGCCAGCTTCACCGGTGGGGAACTTGATGAAAGTGAGAGTCCAAAATTCAGCCTCCTTCGGCCCCTTGCTGACAGGATATAAGGATACAAAGTTGTAGATACCCGGAATCAAAAGAAGTTTTGGCAAGTTGGACGGGTATTTATGGTTTTGTGGACCGAGCCAGCCGGCATACAATGTACTTGGAGGGAAAAGGGGAATCAGTACGGATCTCAGTTGAGTACAACGTACTTAAATGGGACTGCCTACACCGAGATACGGCGTTTTGTTGTGATTGGAGAGGGTTACGGCAACAGCATATGCTCGTAAGTGTAAATGCATAGTGAATGTCAATTTATTCTCTAACATCTGACTGCAGACCCATCCATACTTATTCTGGCCAAGCAACTCTGAAGGGGAATTTGCCCGACGCGAAACAGCATGCTATAATACACACAAGCAAGAGGGCTCCCGAAGAGCATTCACTGCAAGCGGAAGATGGAACAATTATCAAGGAGAATCTGCCCAAGGAGCCCATCAGGGTCAATTCTGAACAGATGGGAGAAGAAGGAGACCTTGGTGTGTTGTCAAGAGTCAACTATGCCAAGATATATACAGTCGAGCATTACGTTCGAGTGTTGAACATCGGAAAAGTACACCCGATGTCGATGCCTAGTCTTGAGAAAAACTGCATGTTCACGAGACGTGTCGATGAGCCACCCCAACCGCCTAGGGGTCAATCTTTGTCTTCGAAGAAAGATGCCACCAAGAAGAAGTCGTCAACGAAGCCCAGCTCAAGCAGAAAACATAGCAGCAAGCACGATGACTAGGATATCCACATCTCCGACTCTTCCAAGACCAGAACACCCAGCCAGTTCCTGACTCGACCTCGGCCGACCCTTCAATGCTTCTCCCACCACCCACTCAATAGTCCAGATAATTGGATCTCTGCCCTGCAGTGCTATCCTGTTCAGATTGTTCTTTCATGTTCTATCAAGAAAAATTCTCGAATGGATTTTAGCTTTCTTCTCATTCGAATCGCTTGATACTTGTTTCGGTTCATTTTGCGGGAATTATACGTTGTCTGGTCACCGACATACTACTAGGTTTGGAAGGAGGCAGCCTTAGGTTAGGGAGAACAAAACTCCTACTGGAAGCTTCGACTTCTTTACGACCACTGGCACAAGTCGCTATTGACATTCTTGCCATTAGGCCACTCTACCACTACATACTTAACCAAAAGTCTTCAAACAATTACCCATATGAATACACGAGCAAATGAAACTCGCCTGCAAAATGTATTTTGTCTTGCTGTTTTAATAATCTACCTGCTATTGTCCCCACCACCCAAATTTCAGTCTAAGAACTCCACAAAATTGCTAAATTACCAAGTTGTGTCTTGCTAAACCCATGTAGGCTTAACCTTCCAAAGTTGACTGCCTACCCAGATGTCCATCGCCCAACAGCATCGTTTCATGGCTTCATACCAACTTCAAATGTCTGACTTGATTGCCTAGACTTCGCCAGAGCATTATTCTCATTTGCTTCGATTGCCTTAAATATTAACAGGTCATTGGAACGGACTTCTGCTTTCAGTTCGCTTAATGATGAATCCTCGACCTCCAAGTTGTTGGCGCAGTGTAAACCTCACACTTAGCTGCCAGAGGGGTCTCAGGGGCTGAATTATATAATATTAGTACGTCTAAAGAGAGAAAGGAGAAAGAGAGCGTAGGGCTCTCCTAATATAGGTAACTAAGCTAGTGCACATAACTTATAATATCCCTTCTCCCTATAAGTGTTCTCTCTAAGAACGAAAGTACTTTTTTTAAAAAGAAAGAAAAGAAAGAAATAATATAATAATACTTTATTTACTAAGTTAACTATCCTAATACTTCTTAATCCTAACTATCTTACTATCTAGTACTAACCTTAGCTTACTATCTAGTACTATTTCCGCCTTACTATCTAGCGTTTATATTAACTTATTCCTATCCTCCTTATCCTCTATTCTATCCTTTATTCTATCTTTTATTCTAGTCTATCTTAGGTACTTAGGCTTCAGGGTTTATAGCCTCTTACTAGAAAGTGACTAAATCTTAGAACTTCTTAAGTATCTAGCTTTATATAATAATATTCTTAGAAGAGTAAATAAATTAGTAGTCTAACTTAATAGAGGAAGGTAGTATAAACTTAAAGCTAAAGATTTACTTATTATCTTTAGTAATAATATCGAAACTAAGGGCTAAGATACTACCTGAGATATTAAAGATTCTAGTAGTAACTAGGCTTTCTAAGAGGACTATAACTATAGGGTAGAGGTAGTAGATATAATTAAGTTCTAAGTAAATAATAGTATAAGCTATATTATTAAAAGGAAGAAGAAGGGAAGCCTCTAGAACTAAGTAAGTATTAGAGAAAATAATAAAGTCGTCTTTATCTTTAGAAAGTAAAGTAGCGTAAGTAGTAGGCTAGTTCTAGCGGAGCGAAGTAACTAAAAACTAAGTATTAAAGGAAGAGTATTACTTAGTGATTTCCTGGAGTTTAAGAAGGAACTAATCCTTAGGAGAAGCGCTATTAAAAGAGAAATTAGTATACTTACGGAAAACTAATACACTTATACTATAAATATCGGAGATTATACGAGCTATTATATCCTTTTTAGTCTCGATCTTAAGTGCCTTATAGAGCTTAGGGTAACGCTTTATATATAGCTCGCGTTTAGTAGCTAAATTAGTATCGGAGATAATATTAGTACTAAATATATTAGTAATAGTTAGTATAGTAGAATAAGTCTTAGGATTATACTTAGTACTATATTTATAGTATACTAAGTACTTAGGATATTACTTAGTCTAATAGATACCGGAATTATAATAAAGAGAGTACTTTAACTTAAGGTAGTTCTTATACTTATATTTAGTACTTATATAGTAACCGCACTAAGGGAAAGGGCAGGTGTTAGTTATATAACTAGTATCCTTATAATACTTATAAACCTTATATCTCTTTATAATATAACCCTCTAGTCTATACTTTTAGCACACGAGAATAGCTTAACCCTTCTTATAGAAGGTCTTTAGCTGAGAGTATTTAGCGTTAAAGTATCTAAGAGCGTAATAATTAGAGTAGATAGATCCTATCTAGGTGTAGTTATCCTTTATATAACCTAGATAGTAGTACTTAAAGTAGATTCTACTCTCCTTTATAAGAATAGAAGTAATCTACTTATATCCTTAGAAGAAAAGGAAATACTAAGTATTTATCTTAGTATAGTTAACTTTTAATATAAAGGTTATATCCTTTACTCTATTAGTTTAAAGACTAATAAATTCTTCTATAATAAGATAGAGATAGCTATATTTCTAACGTATAAATGTAACGAGATTATCCTAAGGGGTACTAGTAAAGTTAGTAATTATATCCGAAAGCTGGATTATAATAGAGAAGGAAGTATTAGTTCCTTAATAAATATTATAAGTTAAGATAAAGATCTTATAAGTTAGATCCGGAAGAAGGACTCTATTCTTAAGCTAGTTTATAATACTAAGGTAAGGAAATAGAATCTAAACTATAAAGTTCTTCTTATTTAGATATTAATCTTAATAGTTAGTGAAAAAGGCGTAGAAATAGTTAAGGAAACCTAAGAGCTATTATTATTAGCTAATATTAACTATAGATAGAGATCTATGTAGCTTTAAAAGCTTACTTTTTTCATATAGAGCTATAACTATATTAGAATTAATATTAAACTTATACTAAAAGAAAGTATATATAAGCTTAGTCTTAAGTATAGTTTTTCCCTTATTACTATCTACTATAGTAGAGTTATAGTAGTAGTTAGAGAGTATCTTTACTAAGTTTATATTAAATATACAGAACTAGATATTAAGGAATATTCTACTAATACTAAGATCGTAAAGTTAAGTAAAAAAGGAGTATCTTAGAAAGTTTACCTAAGGAGTAAAGATATCTTTTATAATAAAAGATTAAAAGTAAGGCAACTTCTACTCTTAGTCTCCAGATAAGATACTTAGTGAAAAGGACTTAGCGTAAGTACTTATTAAAGCAGGGAAAAACTAATATAGAGATTAGTAATCTTTATCCTTAATAAGGAAGACCGGATTATAAGCTTATATTATAAATAAACAGAGAGATATACCGCAAGTAGTAAACAGAATATTAGCACTTACTAAAGTTTTATCACGAAAGAGATTTAAGAGTTTAGTAATCTTAGCGTTCTTAATACTATTGTTAAGAGGATTCTTAGTATACTTCTTTAAGAGATTAATTAGAGCGTTCTAAGTATCTTATAGATTAGTCTTAATAAAGTCGACTATAGCTTAGAATAAAGATAAGAAACAGAGCTTAAGATTAAGTCTTAAGTTACTACGCTTCTTTTAATTATTATTAGCGCGTCTGAGATTATTAATAAGCTCTTAAACTATGAACTTAGAAGTAACTTCTATACTTATAAAATTATAATATAACTTAGGATTATACTTAGTTAAGAAGAGGTTAGACTCTATAGTCTAAGTACTAACGCGAATAATCTTAATTAGCTTAGTAATTAGATCGGAGGCGGATTTATAATAAGAATAGAAATAGTCTACGACTTTGTTATACGACTTTGTTAATAAAGGAATTACTATCTATAATAAAGAGGATCTAAGCTAGCTTCTCTCTAAGGGCTTAAGTAAAAGCTACTATAAGATATTTAATAATTATGGTTTTTCCTATAGTAGGTATACTAAAGATAAGATAAATACTATAAGCGAAAGACTTAGGGTCTATTATAATCTTATAGTAATAATCCTTTTAATAAGGTCTAAGGCTAGAACTAAACTTCTCTTAGTTAAGAGAGTAGAAGTTACAGAGGATAACTTCTTAGTAAGGTAGGCTCTAATCGCCTCTAGTAGAGAATTCTGCTATATAAGCTAATAAGCTAGTTATAGTAGCTCTTAGGGAATAATCTAATTTAATAAAATTATTTAGGCCGTGAACTAAGTTATTAAAAGTTAAGTTACTAACCTTTATTAAGATAAAGATATTATAAAGGTTAAGATCCTTATCCTTTAAAATATCTCTTATACGCTTAAAATTATTAATATAAGTCTTAATAAAAAGAATAACTGTACTAACTATAGAGGCGTTATCTCTATTAATACTAGTATATAGATTATTAATTAGATAGTAGAGAGTAAAAGTAGGATATATAGTAGGGTTTAACTCAGAGGAAGGTAAGGCGATAATATACTAATAGGAATAGGAGATAATAGTATTCTCTATCTAAGTCTCTAGGATATAATTATTCTTATCCTTATTTATTTTATAAAATATAATAAAGTCTCTATAATTGTTAATACTATTATTATTATTTATAAGGAGAGGGCCTCTATGAACAGCGATGATACTATCTATAGGTAAAGAGTAGTCTAGAATAGTAAAGGGGAGGGTAAAAGTATATAAGTTACCTTCCTTAGGATAAGCTATAAGGTACTTATCCTACTTAATATAAGTAATAATAATCTTAGGAAGCTTATTATCTAGAGGATAAGTTTTCACGTAAGAGAAGAGTACTAGAAGGAAAGCAGCTTTAAAGATATAAGAACTAATACTATTAGCCTTTATATAAGATAGAATATACTTATTATTTAAAGTATAGATTAAAGGAATAAGAAAGTTCTCCTAAGAGCTTAGAATCCGAATATTCTTAATTCTATATTATAAAAGAGAAGGTTTAGTGTTAAGAGGATAGATATTTCCTTAATAAAGCTTATAAAAGTAAGAGGACTCCTTTATCTAAGTATATATAAGAGTACCGGACTTCTCTCTCTTAATCTTAGATATAAATTTAGCTATTATTAACTTTAGATCCTTATTAATAATAAGATTAAACTAGAAAGGTCCGCTATTAACTCTATATTTAGTAATATCTCTAATTAGAGTTTCTAAAGATACCTAATTCTTTTCATTAGTTAAAAGAGAAATAGTTATATCTCCTTAAAAGATAATTAACTTAGTAAAGAGGGAAACATAGATCTTATTAGCTATATTAGTACCTTTAGGAATAATAAAGCACTTAGGAATAAGCTTATTAAACTTATACTTAGTAATCTCCTAGGTGTAGATAATAAAGTTAATATAGAAGAACTTATAGTTATATAGATTATTAATAGGATTATTCTAGATATATTTAACCTTAATAATAAAAGTAAGGGAGCTAGTAAGATTAGACTAAGTAGTGAAGATCTTAATATTAAAAGCTATCTTATAGATAAGATTATTATTTATAAGAGAGATTTAATCGTAGGTACTATAGACTTTATTATTAAAGGCCTAGTAA